TTCTACAATTCAAGACAAATTGTCCAACAATTTGAGTTCTTCTTCTCTCAAAACACAACAGAAACATCTGAAAACAGATTACACCAGCACCAGAACAAGTTTCACATAGTTCTACAAGTATGTTAACAAGAGCACAATTTCAAGATTTAATTTCTCTTGAACAATATTCGAGTAACGAAACACAAAAACGACGACTGTAACCTCTCGCTACCCGAATCCATTCAAAGAAAATACGCCATGAAAAGACTGAAATTGTTGTATAAACTTCTTAACAATTGGGGGTCGAAGACAACACAGATTATAGTGAAATGTTTAACAAAGTCATAGAATCTCTTAAACCAATTGAAAACGACATAAAAAAATCCCGGTGTTCTTGTAGACCTTTTCGCCTCAAAATTACCAGTTACAACTAATCTAATAGCAACACAAGCTATAGAGCAATTTATTTTATGTTTTCCCAAGCAATATAGACAACACCTGAGGGAAACAAGAATAGGAAAATTTCAATTGGTGTATCCTACAACATACAACTATTACGAAGAAGCAAGCAAATGAATATGGAGAACTCTCGTTCCATTTCACACTTTCAGTTCCTGAGGGAGAAGAAAAAGCAATCTATCATGTACAATCTCTTGCAGGATGTGAAGGAAAACCTCACATAATAACTACTGTTGCAATTGACAAACCTGCAAGAGTCGAAGACGATGTTTTGTTCGCGTCCATTGCTGGTTTTGGCATGGGAGAACCAATTCCAATTTCCCATTTCACAGAATACTCAGCACAACATTTTCAAAATGTAGAATTCGTGTTCTACGACCATCAAAAGTTCCTGCTAACAAAACCAAAGAAACAATTTGTCTCAATATTTGTTGCTGGTCATGTGGCTGACAAAGAGCCATCAGATACTGACTATGAAGAAGAGGAGGAGGAAGAAGAAAACGATAGCGATGTCGTTCTTATCGAATAAAAACTTTAATTTCTTACTATATAATTTTTTAGTTCTCCTCTAGGTTTTTTAGGGGCTAGAAGGGGCGCAGCCCCTGGAAGCCCCACTACCTTTTTTTTTTTTTTTTTTTTTTCAATACAAACAATCGAAGAAAATGCATTTTGGTCTTGTTTTAGTTTAGGCGATATTGGAATTTCATGACACTAATCCAAAAAAATGCTATCGTCTTGCCTACATCTCCAAAAATTGAATGGTTTACATCGAGTTTTTTTAAATAATGAGTTTAGCACTGAATAAAATTCATCAAAAATTCTAACTCATCCTGGAGGTGCATCTCATGCGCTTGTGCAGGATATGAATTCTGATTGAAGATATAATTTTGGAGAATCCGTCTAAACTATGTGACATGTACATAGAATGATTGAGAATATCCTAGCGATATCTATGGAAAAGAGTGTGGTCGGTCATTGATATTTCTCAAGAATCACATAAGATTCATAAAGTCCAAATTATAGTTTAAACTTGTATAAATAACATTAGTGATTTATTTTTCGATAATCTAAATCTATGATAAGTTATAATTTTAGTTGTTATATAGGCTAACAAAATAATATCTATAAACTTCATTAAAAATAAATTTATAAAATATTTTATATATCATGTAAAAATTTCTCATATATAAATATATGTAGTGTCTCTTTAACTGTACTTCATCATGTCAACAAAAAACTCAGATGAGGAACAAACTCAACAATCAACAACTGATTGTCGACAAAAGACTTGAAAGATTGTAACAAACAATCTTTTAAGTCTCTGTTCCTCATCTGAGGTACAATACCTTATCAAGTACCTCAGATGAGGAACAAAGTCTACAATCAACAACTGATTGTCGACAAAAGACTTGAAATATTGTAACAAACAATCTTCGAAGTCTTTGTTCCTCATCTGAGGTACGATACCTCATCAAGTACCTCAGATGAGGAACAAACTCAACAATCAACAACTGATTGTCGACTAATGTCTTCGAAGACTATCATAAGCAGTCTGTGAAGTCTTTGTTCCTCATCTGAGGTACAATACCTTATCAAGTACCTCAGATGAGGAACAAAGTCTACAATCAACAACTGATTGTCGACAAAAGACTTGAAATATTGTAACAAACAATCTTCGAAGTCTTTGTTCCTCATCTGAGGTACGATACCTCATCAAGTACCTCAGATGAGGAACAAACTCAACAATCAGATGTTGATTGTTGCCAAAAGACATGAAAGACTGTTTATTACAATCTTTCAAGTCTTTGTTCCTCATCTGAGGTACTTGATGAGGTATTGTACCTCAGATGAGGAACAGAGTCAACAATCAGATGTTGATTGTTGCCAAAAAACATGAAAGACTGTTTATTACAATCTTTCAAGTCTTTGTTCCTCATCTGAGGTACAATACCTTATCAAGTACCTCAGATGAGGAACAAACTCAACAATCAGCATCTGATTGTCATCCAAGAACACTAAAGATTGTTCTTAAGAGTCTCTAAAGTCTTTGTTCCTCATATAAGGTACAATACCTTATCAAATACCTCAGATGAGGAACAAAGTCTACAATCAACAACTGATTGTCGACAAAAGACTTGAAATATTGTAACAAACAATCTTCGAAGTCTTTGTTCCTCATCTGAGGTACGATACCTCATCAAGTACCTCAGATGAGGAACAAAGTCTACAATCAACATCTGATTGTCGACTAAAGTCTTTTTAAACTCCTTCAAGCAGCTATTAAAGTCTTTTTACCTCATCTGGATTATAATACCTCAACAAGTACACCAGATGAGGAACAAAAACTTCAATCAAATTGTAATTTGAAACTCTCTTGCATAACCTAATTTATTTCACATATATATTATATTATCACACAACATACATCATTGCTCAACAATCAAGATAATCATTAACTCATATTTTGATTCTCATATTTTGTGAATCTTAAAAATCTCTCAGATTTCAAATCCATCAACATATTAACATTGTATAGAAACTAAATTTTCATGCTTCAAACTCCTTTAACCCGAATGTTGAATTTTGTTCGAAATCTTTCTTATGCAATTTCGCATTAAATCTAACATTATGGTCTGAGAAGATAGACATCTTTAAATAATTTTTCTCGAATTTTTGGTGCTAGTCCCAGGTCGAAATTCGAAGTTTTGTCCGATCAAACTGAAAAAAAAGCTCACTTTTGGCGATGTAGGCAGGACGATAGGATTTTTTTGGATACATCTCGGAATTTCATCAACGCAAATCTCAAAAATTAACGAGTTTGCATTTCAAAACAGCGGTCTTACAACATTTGTTAATACAAAGAATTCACTCACAATCAGTATACTCAATTTTTTGTGCAAAATCTTTTTTATTCTTAAAATATACTGAATAAATTTACTGCAAAATATGATTTTGTCATGAAACAAAGAAATTAAATTTTATATATTTTCATTAGTTTATTTATTTTCCTTGTGGAGAAAATTTATTAAGAGAATGCCATTCTTGTGCATGAAAATTGGATCTTTCTGGTTGGGCCAATTTACTGCTTTAAATGATCAGTTCTTCATTGAAACTCAAAATCATTTTATGAATAATATAATTACCATCTGTTATATGTATGAAATATTGTGACATATATAATATGTTCTCATTCAAATTTATATTTATTAGGTAATATCAGAACAAATAAGCAAACTAAAACTGAAAATTATTTGATAAATAGGTTTATATCTGTTATGAGAAATCATACATCCTATTGCACATAAATAATACTCTCTAAAACTTATATTAGAAAAAGAAACTTTGACGACAGATGAATTATATTTACCTTCTTGAATATTGGAATCAAAAATATTGATTTGAGATATATCATCACAAATGAAAAGCAAAGCACCTTTTGGAATATAATTCCTCATGAAGACGCAACTATGGTATTCTGCCATTGCATTCATATTTGCTGATATTAATCCATCTGTTTTGGATGTCATTTTATTCCTACAGATTATGACTTGCTTTATTATATGATTTTTGATTCGAGAATCAAATACTCTGGATACAACTTTATTTTCAATAATCAGCATGTATGATAACTTGGCTGGTTCAGTATGATGCTCAGCATTAGAGTGGAAAGCATACGAATTTACATAATTTTTTGTGTAATTAAAATTTGAAACAATAGGTCGATAGGAAGCACAGACACAATAATGACCAAATTCGTTATTATTTCCTGAATCAGAGATATCAAATAATTTGCAAGTATATTTTATAGTAAAGCAATAAAAAGATTGGCCATGCTTATCTTTACCGGATGAACATGAAGAGGCTGAGCATTTGGCAAATATAGACGATGCATTGTTAACAAATACAGCACCTCCATGAGAAGTGGAATGACAATTAATAAAATTGCTTCTTTCAATTAGAGTCTTTGAGCCTGATGAAGTAAAGCAGCATGCACCTCCATTATTTTCTGTATGTCCAGTGCATGTGCAATCAAAAATATAGTAATTTCCACTTGTCGAAGGTTCATAATGAGAAGAAATTCGTTGTGGAGTTGCTACAGTACCATCTGTATAGTAAGAAGACCATCCTTTCTTAAAATATACACAATATTTTAGATTTCTAGTTCATTATTTGTTACAAAAATAATAATTAAAATAAGAGTGAGATTTCGTTGGAAAGAGTTCATATTTAAAATAAATAAAATGTATGTTCATTTCTCAAATGCGAATGTAAAAAATCCTAATAACGTGGGTGATTTTTCACACAGCCATAAGGATCAGACTTTTGAGAGTTTTACATGGTATTTGTCCGCAAATGCCATGTAAAGTTATCTCAAATATTTTAGGGAAACAATTATTGATATCCCATCAAGTGTCGCATACATGAGACACAGCTTGTTAAATATGCTACACTTGAGGGAATATATGTTCTTATTGTATATTAAAACCGTATACAGTTCATAGCCACATTTACACAAATAGATTCTCATATTAAAAATAGTTTTTATGGAAATTTTTATATATTTACATTAGGATGAAAACATATAGATATGAATTTGAAACAGGATTTTGGTAGTGAATCTGTTTGCATGTTATCAGTGAACATGATTTCATAGAGTTGATACTAAGACCACTAGAAACAACAATGTTATCAATATGTGAACGAGTCTTGTTCTGTATGTTAACACCGCAGTGAAGGTTGATGCATCCTGAGAATGCGTTTTGTTCGATCGTCTTCACACAGAGAGGTATGTTGATGTACTTAAGAGATGTGCATTCAGAGAATGCTGAGAAACCGATAGTTTCGATAGAGTTGTCTGGGATCATGATACCTTCAAGATGCTTGCATCCGAAGAATGCACTGGATGAGATACTCTTGACGTTCTGTGAGAAGCAGAAGAACTTGATCGAAGATGCAGGAGGGAAGTAGATAAGATTGCTTCGTTCTTTGTTGAAAAGTGCACCGTTGTCGACAACGAAGTGTTCGCTGTTATCACACTCGATAACACTAAGAGATGTGCATCCTCTGAAGATGAAGTTTCCGATATTACTAAGAAGACAACCTGATGGAATAGTGAAGACACGAAGAGATGTGCAACCTCGGAATGCATAGTCTGAGATACTGACTGTTGAGACTGGAACTGTGAATGTTTCGAGATTTGTGAACTCGAAACAGTTGGATTCGATGGACTCGATACCACTAGGAATGTTTTCGATACTTCGAAGTGTGTTGCATCCACTGAAAACATACTGGTTAAGAACACGCATATGACTATCTGGTGAAAATGTGATAGTTTCGATGTTCGTGTTCTGGAATACATTTGTCCCGATGAAAACGACTGTTGATGGAATGTTTATTTTATTAAGACTTGTGCATCCACTGAAACAAAACATATCAAGACTCAAAATTCCTTTTTTCAGTGTGACAGATGATAGAGAACTGCACCCATTGAATGCATACTGACTGATATTTGCACTCACATTAATATCAACAAAACTGATAGTTCTTAGAGAAATGCAGTTCTCAAAACAATTATCTGAGATCATACTCAAATTATCACCAAAGAAGATTGTTTGGAGCGAGTTACACCCTGAAAATGAGTTTTTACCAAATTTAGAAACTGTGAGAGGAATGTTGATACTTGACAGCTTGTCACATCCTGAAAATGCTCCATCATAAATATCAGTTAGTTGGCTTTCAGGTTCAAATTCTATTTTGTTAACGATTTTATTTGATTTAAATACATCATTATTTAATATTTGAACTGTAGATGGAATAATATAACTATCACTCTGATTCAAACACATGACAACTTTTGTTTTCGCTTTGTTGTAAACAATCATCTGATCATCAATCATAAAATCAGATTCTTCAGAGAATGTCAATTTTGTTGTGATTGGGAAACAAGATCCACCAAGATTTTTCAAGGTCGATGGAAGAACAACTTCTTTAAGATTTTTACAACCATCAAATGCATAAACACCAATTGTTGTTATTCCTGATGGAATGGTTATTGATGAAATGTTTGTTTGTCTAAAGCAATAATTTGAAATGACCTTCATTCCTTTTCCAATAACAAGAGAACTTAAAGATGAACAATCAAAAAAAGCCCCATCATTAATATTTGTCACAGTATCTGGAATTTCAATTGATTTAAGATTTGAACTAACAAATGCCCATTCACCAATTGATCGAAAATTATTGGAAAATTGAATTGATTCGATAATTGAATGAGCAAATGAACAAGCAGCTATTGATGTAACTTTTTCTGGTATAGTATAAGTTTTACTTTTATTTGCAGGAAATCGAACAAGTCGTGTTTGATCTTTATTGAATAAAGCTCCATCTGATACACTGTAACTTGGATTTAATGGATCAATAGAAAACTCTTTTAATGATAGTGATCCAACAAATGCATAATCACTAATAGAGGTAGCTGATTTTGGGAGAAAAAGTGTTTCAACAATTGCATCATTAAAAACGTTGGCGTTAAATTCTTTTAGATTGGATTCTACATTAATTATAACATTTTTTAGTTTGGAGCATGATTGAAAACATGATGATTCAAGTGAAGTAATTTCATTTGGAATAGAAATAGATGAGATTGACGTTGATTCAAAACAAAAAGGTGAGATTGCTTTCAGATGAGTTGGAAGAATTACATTTGTTAATGATTTGCATCCACTGAATGCATATGATCCGATTTTGGTTAAAAATTGACAGTTGCTGAAATCAACAGATGAGAGTTTTGTACATTGATAGAAAGCACAATCATTGATGTCTGAAAGACGAGATCCAATTGGGAAATTGATAGATAATAGAGTTTTCTGACTTCCTTTGAATGCAAAATCTTTGCATTCATTACCTGCATAAAGACCATATATTGTTTCACAACTCTGTTTCACATCAACATTAACACTATTTTCTGATGATGATAAAATTGTATTATCATTATTATATGTTTCTGGCGACGACATTTTAAATTAGTTCATCTATACAGTTTATATATAATATATTAAGTTTTAAAGCATACAATATTCATTATTATATGTTTCATCCATTTCACAAAATTAAATGAGCATCTTAATATTAATTTCGTTCAATAGGTGATACATCCACAATCAATTGTATATTTTGTCACTTTTTTAATTTCAATAAAACCGATTGTAAATTCAAAAATGGGATGGTTGATCATTGAAGACATATTTGGGAAGTAACTTTTTTCCCAAAAATAATTGCTCTTAGATTTTTCTCCCCTAAAATCTTTCAGATCAAAGGATATTCTCGAGTAGTCAATTGGGTTACTTTAAGATTTGAGTGATTAAATACCAAAGCACTAAAATATACTTCGATCGGGTTTTTACACATGGAAAGGCAGCGAGATTATTCCATCCTTAACGATAGAATTTCAAAAAAAAATTTACTCGCTATGGAAAATAAAATGAAACATAATGTATTTCAATTTATAAAAATAAAGAAGTCAACAGAAACATTTAAAATAGAATTTCTAACCTAAATGAATTTTATCATTATTGAATTAATCTAGAATGCAGATATAATTTCACCTTTTGTTTCAGAAACTAAATCTACGAGATGAGGATAAACAGATTTGAATCCTCTTTGGTCATCATCACTGAAGCAAACAAGATAAACATCAAGACCACTTTCGTGAATAAGTTCTCGATTTGCTTTGATTGATCGACAAATCAATTCTGGTGGATTGTTGAAATATCCAACACCAAGACATGTTAGAACAAGTTTATCACTTCCTTGCAGCATACGATATTTTATAGAGTTCTCAATGCCGCTCAATATACTTAGTTTATACTCTGTTTTAAGCAAATTTTCTAATGATGATATGACATTTTTGTTATTAATGTCACAATAATCTCCAAATGAATACGAAGAACAGAAGAGTTGGTTAACAAACTGATTTCGTTCACTATCTTTATATTCATGACCTTTAACTCTATCTGTTGTGATCTGAACTTTCTCATGAACACCAATTTGATAATTGTTTTCGTCACGAAAATCAAATTCGTTCAATTTAGAAATTTCTTCTTTTGTGTTCAAGAAAACTTTTCCTTTGATGACTTTTAAAGGGGTTCTAGACAATAAATTGATATCATGAGATAGTTGGCCTTTATGACCTTCATGGTCAACAAAATAATTTCTGTACAGCAAAGCACCAAAAGATGAAACAGAAAGAGTCGGTCCTTGTGTAAAATCAGTGGAATATCTCGAAATTCCTGACGAAGGAGACTCAAGATGTGAAGCAAACTCAAGACAATTGAAGTTCGATGCACATTGGAATGTTGATCCATTGAAATCTCGAAGGTTTTGCATCTTCATCACATCAACTAATTCCAGTTTCGTAGATTTAGTCCTGTTACCTCGAATAATGTTGAATCTTCCTTTCCCACGTGGTTTACAGTTAAATGATTTAATGTCTCTAATACTGAAATGACCGCAGCCGTATTTTTTACCGTTAATTTTAGATTCAACTTCCTGGAAATAGCCATCATCTTTCAATTTCATGTATTTATAAATATTATCGATCCTTTCGCTAAAACCAACATGGTGGAAAAACCAATCCTTTGCTTGATATGTTCGTAACATTAAAATTTTAAAAAGTGACATTTTCAATAAATTTTTAACAAATTCAAGAAAAAGTAATTTTCAAAGGTTTTTCTTTCTCTACTTTCTTTTCTTTTTCTGGCTTCTTTTCCTTTACAGGATTAGTTTTATTTGGTCGTACCTTATAGTTTAAGGGTAGGGTTGTTAGATTCCCGACGTTAGGTCGACAAAAAATTTGGAAATTTAATTTCCGAAATCGAAATTATATTAATGTTTTTAATATTCTTATATCAAAAGGATTAAAGTTCATTAAGAGAAAAACAATTCTTCTTCTTCAATCTATTGGCGCATTTATTTCTACACGCCAATAAGGAAGGGATGTAATAAACAGAAATTCATCAAAAGTGATAGCTCTCAATTTTTTGACATTTGTAAATTCTAAATTGAATGAGAAAAATGAAATAATACTAAGCATAATACAATATTCTAGATTTAATTATAATTAGGAAAAAGTTAGTTTTGAGAGTACTTTTCATAGGCATATAGAATGAAATCTTCTGAAAAATAATATCACATAAACTCATATTATTTTCTAATATATAACTATTTTATATAAAAATCAAATTCAATGATCTTAAAAGCGAAGGATAAACCTCAAAATTTACGAATATAATGAGTGGGAATATAATGCTTATCTATCATAAAACCATATGAAATATCAATTTTTGCTTTACGCCTAATTTTTGACGACAATTAGCAAAAAATGTTAAATGTTAACACTCAGTCCATTTGAATATGAAAAATAAAATTGACTTTGATTAAATGTTTTTATTTATCATGCAATTCTTCTTGCGACCAAAGATTTGAATAAAAGTTCAAAAAATAAGATAGCTTAAAAAATAATATACGGTAGTGTTTACTAATAGATGAATAGTATATAAATTCTATTAAAATGGATTTGATCCAAAAAAATATATAAAATTTGATCATAAATAAAATTGTTTTAAATTACTTCTTCATTTAAATTATAACAATTATTTTTGGTTTTATTTTTTTTGGATCAAATCCATTTTAATAGAATTTATATACTATTCATCTATTAGTAAACACTACCGTATATTATTTTTTAAGCTATCTTATTTTTTGAACTTTTATTCAAATCTTTGGTCGCAAGAAGAATTGCATGATAAATAAAAACATTTAATCAAAGTCAATTTTATTTTTCATATTCAAATGGACTGAGTGTTAACATTTAACATTTTTTGCTAATTGTCGTCAAAAATTAGGCGTAAAGCAAAAATTGATATTTCATATGGTTTTATGATAGATAAGCATTATATTCCCACTCATTATATTCGTAAATTTTGAGGTTTATCCTTCGCTTTTAAGATCATTGAATTTGATTTTTATATAAAATAGTTATATATTAGAAAATAATATGAGTTTATGTGATATTATTTTTCAGAAGATTTTGTGTTCTTCTTCAAAATTTTATTTTTTTATTAAAAAGAATCTTTACAAAATATACATTTACTTTAATTAATATTTAAAAACGTGCTCTATCAAAAGTTCCAAAAATTCAATATTTTAGCTTTTCTGGGGTGTCACTTTTGATGAATTTCTGTTTACAACAGGGAAAATTATAAGACACCATGGTGTCTTCAAAACGCTAATTTTTGATATTTTTAACAACCCTATTTAAGGGTGCACACGAGAGGATCATGTAAACTTCAGAATTTAGAACCTTATTTTTAGGCATTATCTTGGCTACCTATTTAGGCTCGAAAAGCAAAAAATATCAAAAAATACAACTTGACTCCATTCTGACCCTTTCATGGAGGTAGTTTTTATCCGCTAGTATTTTCCCTTTGAATCTCTTTACAATTCGAAATCAAATTCAAACCTCAGTAGAAGAAAGGAAGAATCGACTTACTACAGTTGTAATACAAATAAATACATATATTTAATTATTTTTATTTACATAATAATTTTTTGAAGCTCATATTCCAACAAATTTTTAAATAAAAACATTAAAATGTTGAAAATGTTCATATATTTTAATAGGGTTTTGGCACTTTATTGAGGAATTACTACATACATAGTCGAACTGAACTTGATATTTTGGCGTCAAAAATTTTCTCACTGGGTTTTCGTCTATCAATCCCAGCTCATTATATACGCAACCAATCAAAAATCTGATATGGGAGTCCAAGGCTAACTTTTTGTTGTCTACCTAATAAAAGAGGAAGCAGCATTAGTGAGAATAATCGCAAATATTCAATTTAAATTATCTTTTTATTCTTAATTTAAAGTGACAAAAAGAATAAAAAACCTATTCTAAGGCATGTTGTTATGTAAATGAGACTAGACATCATATTTTATGTTATGAAAAAAAATATTTAGAATTTTAGAACAAAATAAATAGAAAAAATAGCATAACTTATGGATGTGCGTATATTAAATTTAATAAATTAAGAGAAATTATTTTTGGCGCCAAAATTATTCGTTAACTCTCAAATTTTTCTGAGTCAATAAGCCGCCAAAAAAGTGTCATTTCTTTATAGGAAAGGAAACCTATTTGACGAACAATCCGGACACTAGTGCCTCAGCGAATTTCCCCAAACCCACCAATCCCCTCCCTGCTGTTGTGCACCATCGATGGAAAGTAAGTCATCAATAGTCTCTTTTCCTTGGACTTGAAATGTAAATCTCGGACGAAAGTAAGTCTGACTTGAAATGTAAGTTTCGGACGAAAGTAAGTCTGACTTGAAATGTAAGTCTCGGACGAAAGTAAGTCTGACTTGAAATGTAAGTTTCGGACGAAAGTAAGTCTGACTTGAAATGTAAGTCTGACTTGAGTTAGTATACATATCAAGGGTACGGAGGCACTGCGTTCCACCTTACCCTTGATATGTGAATTTGATACTTTACAAAACCGTTAACGTATATTTTGCAACACAAACGACAACACTAACTTAACCTTAAATATTTACAAAGCCACCAACCACTTCACCTCACTAATGTAAAAAAATAAACGTTCTCACTTACAAAAGTATTGCAACTCCTCCCATTGCTGTGCTTCATATAACAGCTCATAATCTTCTGACTCACTTTCTTCTTCATATAGGTCAAAATCACTGTCATAGTTTATACCTGTAAGTTTTGACAAAGCTAATGAAACACGCTTACCGTTTGTATCATATGCTTGTATAAACTTTCCATTCTTCATTCCTTCATAAACGCTCAAACTAACTTTACCCTTTCTCCCTCGTATCTGATAGAATGTATTTTCACGAGGAACGAAGAACAAGTTCTTGAACTCATGACCGTTGTAGTTTGTTATCTCAATAGTTTTCGTCATTACATCCAAAATAAAAATAAAATATAAAAATAAAATATAAAAAATAGTTAGTATACATATAATGTGTACTGAGGCACTGCGTTCCACCTTATCCTTGATATGTGAATTTGATACTTTACAAAACCGCTAACATATATTTTACAACACAAACGACAACACTAACTTAACCTTAAATATTTACAAAACCACCAACCACTTCACCTCACTAACGTTTTCACAAACGACTTCACTAATGAAAAAATAAACGTTCTCATTTACAAATGTATTGCAACTCCTCCCATTGCTGTGCTTCACACAATACTTCATATTCTTCAGTATCGCTGCTGTCACTCCAATCGTCAGAGTCAAAGTCACTGTCAAAATAAATGTTAGTAAGTTTTGACAAAGCTAATGAAACACGCTTACCGTTTGTATCATATGCTTGTATAAACTTTCCATTCTTCATTCCTTCATAAACGCTCAAACTAACTTTACCCTTTCTCCCTCGTATCTGATAGAATGTATTTTCACGAGGAACGAAGAACAAGTTCTTGAACTCATGACCGTTGTAGTTTGTTATCTCAATAGTTTTCGTCATTACATCCAAAATAAAAATAAAATATAAAAATAAAATATAAAAAATAGTTAGTATACATATAATGTGTACTGAGGCACTGCGTTCCACCTTATCCTTGATATGTGAATTTGATACTTTACAAAACCGCTAACATATATTTTACAACACAAACGACAACACTAACTTAACCTTAAATATTTACAAAACCACCAACCACTTCACCTCACTAACGTTTTCACAAACGACTTCACTAATGAAAAAATAAACGTTCTCATTTACAAATGTATTGCAACTCCTCCCATTGCTGTGCTTCACACAATACTTCATATTCTTCAGTATCGCTGCTGTCACTCCAATCGTCAGAGTCAAAGTCACTGTCAAAATAAATGTTAGTAAGTTTTGACAAAGCTAATGAAACACGCTTACCGTTTGTATCATATGCTTGTATAAACTTTCCATTCTTCATTCCTTCATAAACGCTCAAACTAACTTTACCCTTTCTCCCTCGTATCTGATAGAATGTATTTTCACGAGGAACGAAGAACAAGTTCTTGAACTCATGACCGTTGTAGTTTGTTATCTCAATAGTTTTCGTCATTTATATAAAAATAAAATAAAAAATAAACTTAAAAATTAATGATATCACCACCCTCACACGTATGAAAACATAGCACAAAAATAAATTTAGGGTAGATGGTTAGATCTAACCCGATTTCTAACCTCTTTTCTACCCTGTTCAATTCATTGCTTTATAACTCTCTTCCTTTCTCCAACTCTTCTAACTTCTTCTTAAGTTCAGCAATGTTGTCCTCATGAAGTTTAATCTTTCTCAAAATTCCTTCTCTATCTAATGGTTGCTTTATCTTTCTAAACTGAACTCTACCATCCTTCATAGTATGAATGTAAAAACCTTCTGGAATAGTTCCTGATTTAATGTATTCTACCAAAAACTTTTGTTTCATTGCTTCAGTGACTTTATTTGTCATTTCAATCAAATAAAAATTTTAATATTAAATAAAAATAACGTTATTTTTTCAGTAAGGAAACGCAGGAGTTTTACGATTTATTTGAGGAGTAGGTTCTGGTTTAAATGTTGGAGTCGGTTTAGGAGTTGACTTTTGAACAGGAGTTTGTACTTCCATAGGTTCAGGAGTCATTGAAGGTTTTGCTTGTGAAGGCGTTGGTTTTGGCGAAGGTGTTGGAGTTTGTTTAACTTCAGCTACTTCAGTATTATTTACAACATTTGCTTTATTTCTTTTCAACATCATAACCTGCTGTAGCTAGCAAACCTAGTGGGAGACCATATCTTATATAAGGACTTGACCAAATGCTATTTTTGACAGGAGCTGGTGGAACACCTAACCTTGGTGAGACTGCTCTTTGCCATTGTGCAGCTCGTAAGAAATATTCAATAGGTGCTCCATAATCGTTTGGTAAAGTTTGTTTCATAGATGGTGAAGGTTCACGAGAGCTTGATGAAGAACTCATTTATAAGCTTTAAAAATAAACGTTCATCCTTTATTCCTCACTGTCGTCCGTAGCTAAGTTATAGTCATCTAATCTTATTATGGGAATGCCATTAGCACGCACCTGAATGGCAAAGCAACAATCCCTCATAAATCCAATAAGTGGCTTTGGTACATTTTCAGTTGCTAGTTCAATAGGTCCTTTAACAGACAATTTGTATGTTATTGGAGCAGTAGATGTTTGACCTTGCTGGAAGCAAAAGTCCACTTCTGTTGGAAAACCACATAAGAAATGTGTGTTGCCATAGCTATCCCATTTATGTTCCACACTACCATCATCCACCAATAACCTCATAACATCTTCATTAAATCCTATCATATCATTGTTTGTATTGCAGGCGTTCGCAACCATTTCATAAAATACAGGTCCATATGATTTTTCAGGTTCTGCAGGCATATTTCCATAAGCTCCCATGGAAAGCTGAAGATATTTAAACTTAGGGTTCTCAAAATTAACATAATAGTTGTCTTTCTTTCTAAATAGTGCCCAAATACTTTTAACATTAATAGGCGTATAAGCTGCTGTAAATGTTGCACTTGAACTATCTGTATTCTTTGAGAATGAACCGTCCATAGGAATCCAATCCATAACTTTAACAGGAAAACATAAAGCCTCGTTTGTATAATGTTGTACAAGTTCTGTATAAATGTTAGGGTCTAAAGAGAATGACTTTGGATGAATGAAACATTCATTAAAATCCATCTTTGTTCGAAATAGTTGCTGGGTTACAGTTGTAATAGTAACTGTTCCACTAGCTTCTACTGCCTTCGTTATCATAGTGAATGGTTCATTCCATGGAACAAATTTATTTGTCGGTGGATTTGAATCTGAAGCAAATGCAACTTTAAGAGTTGGATTGAAAGCAATGATATCATTTACAGATATAGATGTGCATTGTAAGGCGTCGCTACTGAACTTTACTTTAAGCTGAATGTTTCCTGCAAAAGCTGGAATAAATCGAATAGCTTCTAATGGAAGGAATCTTCTAACAGGAATTCTTAAACGAAGCTTAAAATCAAATGATTTTCCTGCTGTAATTGGACCACTAACAATTTGTCCTGTTCTGCATGTTCCCGAATGACTCCATACATCCTCATGTCGAGTCTTTGAGAAAACATCTACTTTCTTTATTTGTTCGGTAGTTTGTGAGTTTGAAGTTATATATGCTTCTTCTCTTGCGTTGTCTTGAGAATATACGATACGACCATTTGCCAGGATTTGATATCCAGCAACTGCATAGAAAGCGTCATCGAAACCAATCCAAAATCCTGGTGGGTTTGTTTTATTGGAACCTGAACCAATTTCTTTATCTACAATAAATTGACCTTCCATTTTATACGTAATGAATGTATTGTAAAGGTCCAACATATTTTCACCAGGAGGTGAGAGATTGAATGTTACCCATGTGTTATCTTTAGCAGTTCCAGGTTGTGATGGAATCTTTGCGTCAGAATATTTTCTATTAGTGTCACCAATTTGAACTGCATTGTCTATGATATCGAAATATGAGCGAATCTGATGAATATGCTCTGCTGGAGTAAATTCGTTTAGCTGTTCGTTCTGCATGTATTTACTTCAGATAAAAATATCTATTTACTTCATTATTCTCACTCTTCTTCTTGGCATTCGTGGTGGAAGTTGTTTCTTGACATTTTCAATGAACTGTACATTCTCTTTTGTCTCAACTTCTTTCACTGGCGGGTCAGGATTCTTTGACTCGGTTTGTTTTTCAATGAAATTCACGAACTTTGCAATAAGCTCTTGGTTCGTTATTGAAAGTACATCTGGCTTCTTTTCTTCTGGTTCTATTGGTGGCTCAGTTTGAACAGAAGGTTTTATATGGGCTTCGTGGACTTCACCCTTGCCATACACCTTAATGTTGTCGCTTTCTGCATTCGCTAATGGAACCTTTCTTTTTCTTACGTATATTTTACCATCTTTACTCTGACTTACGTAATAGAAAGGATGTTGTATTCCTCTTGCGTCATTTAATATAATAGACTCTCGCTCTGATTTTGACAAGCTCATTTTACATCGGTTAAAGTTTTAATTTTGTTTTTTATCTGCAGTTAAATGACTCAGACAAGCCCTACGGACAAGACCCAAGGGGTCATAGATGTTGAAGCATTGAAGAAAGAAATTCGTGAGCAAATTTTATCCGAACTGAAGGAACAAAAGCCAGAGAGACCAAAGAGAAAACTTAGTGAAAAACAACTTGCTGCATTAGCTGCTGGAAGACAAAAGAACCCAAGACTACTGGCGAAAAAAGCTAGAGAAGAAGCAAAAGCAAAAGCTAAAGAAGCTGAAGCAAAGAAAGAGTAAATGGTTTATTTTTATCCGAATTAAATGTATAGACAAATACCTTTATCTGTTGCGTTCAGTAGTGAAAACCCTGACGTCAAAATAAAGGGGAACAGAGTAACGTTTAAGTTTCCAACAGACTGGATTGTGAACATAAATGAAGAGAAGTACATTGGCATAACAAATATGTATATAACACGTGCTTTCAGAAAGGTTGACTTTATACTTCAAGTCGAGATAGAAAATGACGAACAGTCTTTAAGCGCCCAAAACATTCACATATACAAATACTTTAAAAACAGTACGACGTTAGAAGACTGTATAATTACATTTTACGAAAATTTTCAAAAGAAGTTTAACATTGAAGTACAAACTTTACAGCCTTTATGTGAGTTTCTTGCACAACTGAAAGAAGAAGGAATTGTAGAAAGATTAATAGCTTTTCATTACGAGTTTGTACCAAATGAAGATGGAACTCATGACTGTCAATTCATTGTATTCTCACCATTCAATGAAGTCGCTAAAGAGAAAGAAAATCCATTACGTATAAGATTTCAAATCTCTGAACCAAGTGATGATTTCAAAAATGTTTTCAATTATGATGCAATGCTTCCGAGGAAAAATGAATTTTCCGAAATTAGATTTCCAGGTATTTGGGATAGAAAGCAAGCTATATTATATTCAAACTTAAGTAAGGGAGTTGAAAATGTGTTCATTGGTCATACAAGAACTTCACCACTTCCTAACCCTAAATACTATAAATTAACTGGCTTCAATCGTGAGTTTTGGATAGACATGTTCTCCACTCATGACCATAAAGCACCAGTGTTCTTACCTCTAGACCATAAGGACTGTCTCTACATTGAAGTACAACTCTTAAACTCTACCATCGCAGTATTGTAAAATCTACGCTAGCTTTATTTTTATCACGAATTTGGAGAAATATTAAATGATATATAAGAGGTATGTGAAAAAGACCAATAATGGTCATCTGCCCATCCATCAATAGATTCAACAGAATCTGGAAGATTTATTATTTTTAAGGAAACGCAATTGTAAAAGCTCCCACTTTTTATTGATGTTATTTTTGGAGGGAAATGAAATGTCGATAGTTTTGGACAAGTACTAAAAACAGAACAATTTAGATATTGGAGTTTATCACATTGACGTAAGTCTGCTGTTTCAAGATTTGAGGAATAAAAACAAAACTTACAAATGCTTTCACATTTGCTAAACGTAGCAAATCGTAATGATGTAATATTTGTCCTACACTTATAAAATGGACTATTGACATCTTTATCTCCTCCTTGGATAACTTTGACACTTTGGAGGATTTCAACGTCACCACTTAAACTATCTGGACATCGAATAAGAACTGTTCTTGTATCATCGAGGTATTCAATACCTCTTTCATCAAATTTATTTGACGTCAACGACTATAAATCATGATTTTTTTGATAAAACTAACCTCAAAAAATAAATTCGGACCAAACCGTTGTCATTGTTTATTAAAACTAATATAAGTATCAACATATGAAATTGAAATTTGAGTATATAAAAATTAATATCTTATAATTTAGTTCCTTACATGATTATATGCAAACTTCGTTCAACGAAAAAATAGTTTGAATTACTTTTATATATAAATATGAATCAAAATCATGTAACAAGCAAATCATATTTTCCAGGAAAATAAAAAAATGAATACTCAATAGGATTTTTCTTGGCTGGAAGTTGTTTTTTTTTCATCTTAAACAGAAGCAAAACTTTATCTATCAACGCAATGGAATCACTTAATTTGAAAGGATTTTCCAAAATTATATCTTCAACAGCAAATCATATTCAGCCCAAGCATATAAGATGCACCTACATGATGAGTTAGAATTTTTGGGGTGTCTCATTTGTGTCTATCTCTTACTTGCGATGTAAACTTCTCAAAATTTGGAGATGTAGGCAAGACGATAAGAATTTTTTTGGGATTTGAATCATATGCATACTTAATTTTTTTTAATTTGAATATTTAATGCTTTAAAACTTAATATATTATATATAAACTGTATAGATGAACTAATTTAAAATGTCGTCGCCAGAAACATATAATAATGATAATACAATTTTATCATCATCAGAAAATAGTGTTAATGTTGATGTGAAACAGAGTTGTGAAACAATATATGGTCTTTATGCAGGAAAAGAGTGTAAAGATTTTGCATTCAAAGGAAGTCAAAATACATTATTATCTATCAACTTCCCAGAAGGTTCTCGTCTTTCAGACATCAATGATTGTGCTTTCTATCAATGCACAAAACTCTCATCTGTTGATTTCAACAACTGTGAATTTTTAACGAAAATCGGATCATATGCATTCAGTGGGTGCTCATCACTAACAAATGTAATTCTTCCAATTCATCTGAAATCAATTTCACCTTTTTGTTTTGAATCAACATCAATCTTATCTATTTCTATTCCAAATGAAGTCACTTCACTTGGATCATCCTGTTTTCAATATTGTTCAAAATTAAAAAACGTAATAATTGATGTTGAATCCAATCTAAAAGAAATTAACTCCAATGTTTTTAATTATGACATTGTAGAAACGCTTTTTATTCCAAAATCAACTTCATCTATTATTGGGTATGCATTTGTTCGATCAATTGCAATGAAAGAGTTTACTATTGATCCATCAAATCCAAGTTACAGTGTATCAGATGGAATTTTATTCAACAAAGCTCAAACATATCTTATTAGATTTCCTCCAAATAAAAGTAAAACTTATATTATACCTGAAAAAGTAATATCAATAGCTGCTTGTTCATTTGCAAATTCAATTATTGAATCTATTCAATTTTCGAGTGATTTTCGATCAATTGGTGCTTGGGCATTTGTAAGCTCAAATCTTAAATCAATTGAAATACCAGATACTGTAACAACTATTTTTGACGGGGCTTTTGGATCCTGCATTTATTTAAATTCTGTTGTAATTGGAAAAGGAGTTGCTTCAATTCCCACTCAATGTTTTCAATATACAAATATTTCATCAATAACAATTCCATCAGGAATAACAAAAATTGATAGTTATGCATTTTATGGCTGTAATAATCTTAAAGAAGTTGTTTTGCCATCGAGCTTGAAAAATCTTGGTGGTTCTTGCTTCCCAAGTAACACAAATTTGACATTCTCTGAAGGATCTGATTTTATTATTGATGATCAAATGATTGTTTATAACAAAGCAAAAACAAACATTGTAATGAGTCTGAATCAGAGTGATAGTTATATCATTCCATCAACTGTCGAGAAAATCAACATTGAAACATTTATTTCAAATCACAATTTGAAGACAGTCGAATTTGGATTAAACAGTAATTTATATGATATTGGTGACAAAGCATTCTTTGGATGCGACCAGCTTTCAAGTATCAATATTCCTCTCACAATTTCTAAACTTGGTAAATATTCATTCTCAGGATGTAACTCTCTTCAATCCATCTTCTTTGGCGATAATTTGAGTATGATTTCAGATAATTGTTTTGAGAACTGTATCTCTCTAAGAACTATTAGTTTTGTTGATATTAGTGTAAGTGCAAATATCAGTCAGTATGCATTCAGTGGATGTAGTTCTCTATCATCTGTCACACTGAAAAAAAGGAATTTTGAGTCTTGATATGTTTTGTTTCAGTGGATGCACAAGTCTTAATAAAATAAACATTCCATCGACAGTCGTTTTCATCGGAACGAACGCATTCCAGAACACGAACATCGAAACTATCACATTTTCACCAGATAGTCATATGCGTGTTCTTAACCAGTATGTTTTCAGTGGATGCAACACACTTCGAAATATCGAAAACATTCCAAGTGGTATCGAGTCCATCGAATCTAACTGTTTCGAGTTCACAAATCTCGAAACATTCACCGTTCCAGTCTGCACAGTCAGTATCTCAGACTATGCATTCCGAGGTTGCACATCTCTTCGTGTCTTCACTATTCCATCAGGTTGTCTTCTTAGTAATATCGGAAACTTCATCTTCAGAGGATGCACATCTCTTAGTGTTATCGAGTGTGATCACAGCGAACACTTCGTTGTCGACAACGGTGCACTTTTCAACAAAGAACGAAGCAATCTTATCTACTTCCCTCCTGCATCTTCGATCAAGTTCTTCTGCTTCTCACAGAACGTCAAGAGTATCTCATCCAGTGCATTCTTCGGATGCAAGCATCTTGAAGGTATCATGATCCCAGACAACTCTATCGAAACTATCGGTTTCTCAGCATTCTCTGAATGCACATCTCTGAAGTACATCAACATACCTCTCTGTGTGAAGACGATCGAACAAAACGCATTCTCAGGATGCATCAATCTTCACTGCGGTGTTAACATACAGAACAAGACTCGTTCATATATTGATAACATTGTTGTTTCTAGTGGTCTTAGTATCAACTCTATGAAATCATGTTCACTGATCACATGCAAACAAATTCACTACCAAAATCCTCTTTCAAATTCACATCTATATGTTTTCATTCTAATGTAAATATATATATATATAAATATAAAAATTAGCAATATGTAAGTCACTTTTGAATTTTTCAATGGGAGTCGAGACTCTCATTACTACCTCAAATCTCTCTCACTGAAAATGGAAAAGTTGCTAAACTTTTTATAAATACTAATTTTAATTTCAATGTCTCTGAGAAAAATAAATCACAATAATTGATTTTAAGGCCCCGGTCCCACCCTCTCAATTTTAAAAGTTTTAATATAGGGTGTCCAAAGGTGTGTTTAGCACAAACCTGAATACTGCGAATAGAAATAAACAAGTTACATATATATAAAGTTTATTTAAATATAATCACCATTGGATTCAATCACGCGTTCGCAGCGATCGATCCAGGCTTGAAAGACACGCTTTAAATCATCATGAGAAAATTGCTCAAATTGCTCTCTTACAAAATTTTCAAGATCATCTGGACTCGCGAATTCGCGTCCTTCAGCTCTCTTTTTTAGCGTGCCGAATAAATAAAAGTCAGAGGGTGCAATATCAGGTGAATAAATTGGTTTGGAACAACTTTGACATTGTTTTCCACAAGTAATTCATTACCTTATGACTTTTGTGAACTCTTGAATTATCAAAATGAATTGCAAACTTTTGTTTTTGTTGTTTGGATTTCTCAACTCATCAGAATTGATAATTTGAGTAAGAACATTGTCAATTAGATACTGAGCATTCATCGTATTAGGTTTTTGAAGAATATCAATTGCGATGATGCCATTCACACCCAAAAAACCGACAACATAATCATTGGTGTGTCAATTTTTTTCTTCGGAATGTTTGCGGATTTTCATCCTTCGGGATCCACATGATTTTGGCTTCTGTTGCATATTGAAACCAAGACTCGTCCCCTGTTACTAAAAAGCGAAACTTCTTGGATTGATACGCACCCAATATAGAGAGGAGCTCTTTCGAAGATTGGACTCTAGATTTTTTTTGAACTGAATTAAGTTGTGTGCGGAACCCAACGTGTATACGCTAGTTTGTAGTTCAAATAATTGTGCAGATAATAACTGACTGTTGTATGTGGTATCTTTGTCATCTCCTCTATCCTTCTGAGTGATGCTCTTGGGTCTTCATCTAGCGCTTGAAGAATTGCTTTGATTTTTCTTTGATCCGGCGATTTTTTGTCAATTTTTATGATGGGCGCTTTTTGTTCATGAAGTGATACATCCTAACATGATACGTTACAGTGGAATAGCTAGGAGCATCCATACCGAAGCATTTTACCAATGTCTCGTAGATTTTTTACAGTCTTTGCATTTTTTTTGCAAGAGCGAGGATGTTTTCTTTATGATTCATTTAAAAAAATGAAAAAATCCGCCAAAATTTCCCGCGAAACCGCCTCTTGTCTCAAAATTCATTTTATATCCCGGCATGGCGTCAAAATACAACTTACTCATCATATACATATATTCATATTTTTTATTATATATTTATAATCAGCATATATCTCCTTTAATAGTCTCATATAGAGCGCTGTGCTAAAAAACTCATATCTCAACAAATATGCAAGGTACAGCTGAATATCATCAATGTATTGTTATGAATAATATTATTCCAAAAACTGCGCTACTTTTCATTTGTGATGACCAATCAAGGATCAGCGTATTTGACTCAAAAATTCAGCCTGGATCTTTTATCAGTAATGTAGTAAAAATTTCTCTTGGTCATTTCGAAGAAAATCATATATGCGTTGTAGAATGCATGATTTCTTGTATCAATTATCAAAAATTCTTTAATAATATCCCTCTTCATTATATTTTCTTATAAATAAAAATGTTTGAGTTTCATTATCCATAATCAAATTTTTGAATTATTTTGAATTGTTGATTATGGTTAAATTTTTTACTACTTCAGATCTAACGAAAATAGAAAGAATATATGAAGGTGTGGTGATGCATATATGGAACAAATATGATTTTATCAAGGAATGAGTATGTTTGGATATTATAGCATCAGAATATTTTTATAGTATTTTTTCAGATGAACCATTTATACATTCATATCTAACATATTTTAAGTAAGAATATATGAAGTTGTGGTTAATTCAAAATTTTGATTATGGAACAAATATGATTTTATCAAGGAATGAGTATGTTTGGATATTTATATGATGTCTTTGAAAAATCAATAATTCAAAGTATTCTTATAAATAAAAATGTTTGAGTTTCATAAATTTTATTCTAGATTTTACAATTTTTATATATTTACATTAGGATGAAAACATATAGATGTGAATTTGAAAGAGGATTTTGGTAGTGAATTTGTTTGCATGTGATCAGTGAACATGATTTCATAGAGTTGATACTAAGACCACTAGAAACAACAATGTTATCAATATATGAACGAGTCTTGTTCTGTATGTTAACACCGCAGTGAAGGTTGATGCATCCTGAGAATGCGTTTTGTTCGATCGTCTTCACACAGAGAGGTATGTTGATGTACTTCAGAGATGTGCATTCAGAGAATGCTGAGAAACCGATAGTTTCGATAGAGTTGTCTGGGATCATGATACCTTCAAGATGCTTGCATCCGAAGAATGCACTGGATGAGATACTCTTGACGTTCTGTGAGAAGCAGAAGAACTTGATCGAAGATGCAGGAGGGAAGTAGATAAGATTGCTTCGTTCTTTGTTGAAAAGTGCACCGTTGTCGACAACGAAGTGTTCGCTGTGATCACACTCGATAACACTAAGAGATGTGCATCCTCTGAAGATGAAGTTTCCGATATTACTAAGAAGACAACCTGATGGAATAGTGAAGACACGAAGAGATGTGCAACCTCGGAATGCATAGTCTGAGATACTGACTGTGCAGACTGGAACGGTGAATGTTTCGAGATTTGTGAACTCGAAACAGTTAGATTCGATGGACTCGATACCACTTGGAATGTTTTCGATATTTCGAAGTGTGTTGCATCCACTGAAAACATACTGGTTAAGAACACGCATATGACTATCTGGTGAAAATGTGATAGTTTCGATGTTCGTGTTCTGGAATGCGTTCGTTCCGATGAAAACGACTGTCGATGGAATGTTTATTTTATTAAGACTTGTGCATCCACTGAAACAAAACATATCAAGACTCAAAATTCCTTTTTTCAGTGTGACAGATGATAGAGAACTACATCCACTGAATGCATACTGACTGATATTTGCACTTACACTAATATCAACAAAACTAATAGTTCTTAGAGAGATACAGTTCTCAAAACAATTATCTGAAATCATACTCAAATTATCGCCAAAAAAGACTGTTTGCAATAGCTTGCATCCATTGAATGAGTTTTTGCCAAATTTACAAACTGAGAGAGGAATGTTAATACTTGAAAGTTTCTCACATCCCGAAAATGCTCCTTCATAAATATCAGTCAATTGGCTTTCAGACTCAAATTCAATTTTGTTAACAATTTTATTTGATTTAAATACATCATTATTTAATATTTGAACTGTAGATGGAATAATATAACTATCACTCTGATTCAAACACATGACAGCTTTCGTTTTTGCTTTGTTGTAAACAATCATCTGATCATCAATAACAAAATCTGATCCTTCAGAGAATGTCAATTTTGTTGTGATTGGGAAACATGACCCTCCGAGGTTTTTCACACTTGATGGTAGAACAACCTCTTTAAGATTTTTACAACCATCAAATGCATATTTACCGATTGTTATTATTCCCAATGGAATTATGATTGACGAAATGTTTGTTCTTTGAAAACACTGAACAGGAATTGACCTAATTCCTTTTCCAATTACAACGGAGTTCAAATATTTGCGGTCTAAAAAAGCTCCGTCATAAATATTTATAACTGTATCTGGTATTATAATTGATTTAATATTAGAATCAACAAATGCCCATGCACCAATTGTTCGAAAATTACTCGAAAATTGAATAGATTCGATAATTGAATGAGCAAATGAAACGGCAGCAATTGATGTAACTTTTTCTGGTATAGTATATGAATTACTTTTATTAGCAGGAAATCTAATTAGATATGTTTGATCTTAGTTGAACAAAATTCCATCAGATACACTGTAACTTGGATTTGATGGATCGATAGTAAATTCTTTCAATGCAACACATAGGCTGAAAGCATATTCGTCAATATTAATTGTTGATTTTGGAATAAAGATTGTTTCAATCATTGCACCATTAAAAGATTTAACCCCAATTTCTTTCAGATTAGATTCAACATCAATTATAACATTTTTTAATTTTGAACAAGATTGAAAACATAGTGTTCCTAATGATGTGACTTCGTTTGGAATGCTGATAGATGAAATTAAAGTAAATTCAAAACAAAAAGGTGAAATTGATTTCAGATGAATTGGAAGAATTACATTTGTTAATGATGAGCATCCACTGAATGCATATGATCCAATTTTAGTTAAAAATTGACAGTTGCTGAAATCAACAGATGAGAGTTTTGTACATTGATAAAATGCGCAATCATTGATGTTTGAAAGACGAGATCCATCTGGGAAGTTGAAAGATAATAGAGTGTTCTGACTTCCTTTGAATGTAAAATCTTTGCACGCATTACCTGCATAAAGTCCATATATTGTTTCACAACTCTGTTTAAGATCAACATTAACACTATTTTCTGATGATGATAAAATTGTATTATCGTTATTATATGTTTCTGGCGTCGACATTTAATTAATTCATGAGCTTTACTAAATATTAAAAATTATGCTGTAAATAAATCAAGTATGGTATGAACTGATAAACTATTTTGGATTATATAAAGTTTATTGAAGCATCAAAGTGTTTTATATGTAGATAAAACTTTGATCTTTGTGAGGAAGAAATATTCTCAGTAATGTTTATTGGGTATTGCCTGATCTCTAGAATTAGATGGAAGTTCATAATGTAAAAATTAAATATTAATATCAAAAGTGACATAATTTCGATGTGACTTTTTCAATAAAGGTTTTAAGGAAAAATTTAAAGTATAATTAACTAATACTCAGAAACAAGTTAATATTGCCAAAAAATTTAAAGTCAATAGTTTACCAAATACTCTATGAATAAACAATAAACTTTATTTTCTAATTAAATTTTAAAGCATACAATACATAAAAAATTATTTATTGATTTGTTTTGATAAAGAATACAAAAATAAAAATGTTTGCTGTGAGTCTTCTTTAGTTTTGAAGTGGAGATTAACAGGATTTTCTCCAATAACGAGTTTAATCTCATTTTCTGCAAAAATTAAAGAAGAAATCTGTGAAATACTGTAGGAACTCGTTTCAAAGTTATTTTGATGAACAACAAAAATAAATCTAGGATCTAAACAAAGATATTTCTTTTCTTTCATTTCGATGAAAAAGAAAACTCTATCTGATGTCAATGTTCTTAAATTCTTTGGTATCTCTTCAATATAATTACAATGAGGGAAAATTTTGTGATTTACAGATTTGATTTCAACGCCTCTTATTGATGTGAAATCATCTGGGAAAATCAGAAATCGCAGATTTTCAGTTGAAGAAACATTAATCAATGGTCTTTCATGGAGTTTTCCATAAGGAAAATACTGTAAATCAATGCGTGAAACATAATGTGATGGAACACTAACTGATGTATTAACATCAGTACTCAAATTTTGCAAAAGCCGTTAAATCGTCTCAAATTTATACCATACAAATTTTGAATGATTGTAAACAATGTCGATACTGAACCATTAACATTATGGCAAGCAAAAGATGGCAATGAAATAGCTGCTGACTCTTTTTTGTGGTTAAAATTCATAATGAAGTGAATCGGATTAATTTTGATTTCTTTCAATCGAATGAATAAAAATTTCCGAAATTCCGCGGTTGATGAACGAAAACTGTGGATAAAAGACAATTTCTGTTTGTCCATTATCATTAACACGAAGTTTGGAAGCAATATTGATGTATTCCGATGAAATTTTCACTTTAAAAATTTCACCAATTTTGAATTCATTCGAAAAACCATCAGAAAAGTTAATAGAAGCATGAATCGGAAGTTGTTCGTAATAAGGCAACATGATATTCTCTCTTTCTTCAACTTTTTTCTCAATAATTAAATTTGCTGAAGATAATTTGACAAAAAATGGATGTCCAATCTCATTAACAACAACAAGACGTGGTAATACATTAACTGATGAATCAGAAATGTCAATAACAATTGATTTTTGAACATTTTGAGAAATTAAATTTGAAAATATTTTTCTTTTTTCATTAATTATTATTTTTTCACTGGCTTTGGCACTGGAAGAGTTCTCTGCAATGATGAAACAGTTCGTTTCAAGTATTTTTTCTTCATTCGGACTCAAATTAAAAATTAAATTTCTATTTGCAGAAAAAACTGAAAAACTGACAGGAAGACTGTTGTGTATCGTCATTTTTGGTAATATCCTGTAATAGTTTCCTTCAAAAGATGAGTCAATTTGTAAAATTAAATTTTTTGAAATTTGAAATCCGTCGAAAAACATGTTTGTAGGCAATAAAGGAACAGAACTACCAAACTGTATTGTTTTCTCGTTGTAGTTAATTGTCTGATTTGGATTAATTATCAAATTCAAATTATTATTTAAAATTATTTTTGAAATTGATTGATTTTCAATGAAAATCTTCTTATCTGATTGCAAATCATGATAATCCTTTATATTATTTAGTAAATTAATGAATTCTACTGTCAAAATCGATTTTAGATCTGAATTTGTTTTAATTTCAGAATTAATTTCACTTTTTGACACAAAAATTAAGAAATTGATATCTAAATTATTAATTATTGGTACAAACTGTGAAAATTTCGATGAAAATCCTATGATTTTAAGAGATGAAGTGAAATCATATTTAATTTGACCATTTTCAAGTGTTCCTTTGATATGAGATAGAACAGAATTGAGTTTTATTGTTTCATAGATCGAATTATTTGATTTCACACCGAAATTAACAGAAAACTTTGTCAAATTAAAATAAATACAAAAAATCTTTTCCAAATTTTGGAATTTTGACTTAATTTTCATGAAATAATTATATACAATTGGTAGTTCTTCAAAAGAAATGTTGATATCTAGTGGAGACATGAAGATATTGATAGAATCAAATTCAGATTTGTTTTGATGAACAAATTGAATGATTTGATCAGAAATAATTGGAAATTTTCCATTGAAATACAAATAAAACTGTGTGAAATTCAGTGTTTGAACATTTTTGACAAAATTATAAGTCAAATTCGAACTGAGAACGAGATTATCATGTAAATGGATGTTGAACTTCTTGAGACAGACCTTTAGACTGTCTTTTTTCATTGGAACGAAAAATAAAAATTTCAGAAAAATATTATTTTTGAAATTATTAATTAAAAACATCAAATACTCGAAATTGGTGTAAACATCGAACTCTGATACTAATAATTGACCTGATTCTTGATAAATAAATGGAGAATTCGAAAATTCATTTTTGATTGAAGAATTTTGTTGGATTTCAAGTGTTTCTATACGGAAATCATCATTTGTTATGTGTGTATTCCTCAATTTCGTGGTCAATGAAGCGATTTTTATTTAAAAATCTGAAATTGAAATTTCAAATTTTTTCCCTAAACAAATTTTTGTATTAATTAGCTCGATAATTGATTCAGAACCTATTTTTACGTTCAAATTATTTAGATTTATTGAAACTGAGTTCGAAATAAAGTAATTTGATGAAAATGTCTTCCAAAGTTTAACTAATGAATCAAATTGTTGTTGTATCATATCTATCTTCGTAATGTTTATGTTAATATCGAAATTCACTAAAGAATCATTTGGTTTTACGTTGATATTTATTTCATTCTGTTCAAAAATCTTTGTACAACCGATGTAAACTTGTGGTTGTATTATCTTTATGTCTCCCATCTTGTTTTCGCTAAGATTTCCTATGACTTTCGGTGAAGTTACCAATATAAAATCATCTCCGTTTGGAGGAGTAAGAATTATCAGTCTAAAGTCAGTAATTTCGAATTCTACATTTGGCATTTTGAAGATATCTGATGGTTCATATAAGATATTGTCGAAAGGCAATGTAGTAATGTTAACATTTGTGATTGTAGCTTTAATTGTATTAGAATTTGATTCGTTTTTGGTAATTGAGAGTTCGATATCACCTATTTTGCTTTCAAATATTGACAATGGAAATCCAATTCTTGCAAAAAAATAATTATCAAGGCGAAAATCATGAATACTTACCTTTTGTTGCGTAGCTAACTTCAATAGATGATGTATGTTATCGGAGTATGCATTTAAAGAAAAAACTGGTGTATTTTATTGATAAAAGATGGGAAATCCATAAAAATGGCATTTTTTCAGTATTTGTTTTGAGTATTGATTATAAATGTGCAAAGTGAATGTAGTTATTTTTTGATAAAATTATGGTTCAATGACTATATTAATTTAATATTTTGGATTAAAAATTCTTGTTATTGATTGGCAATGAATCCATAGTTTTTAAAGTTAAAGTCTGTGCTATCTTTGCATTACAAATAGAATTTGAATGAAATTTGGAAGAAGAGTAGTAGAGTATGATGGGTTGTGTGACTTTTTTTGTAAACGTAAGAATTCATACAATATCGAGCGATTTTGTATCATTATTTTAACACATTAATTTTAAAAATAATTTATTTTTTTATTCTTACATAAATGACCCAACAAGTAAAACCGGATAAAGTGGATAATAGAATTTTAGAGGATGGTGTTCCTGTTTACATTCAAAGATATAAAGGAAAACAATATTACAGAATGATAAATCCTGAATATGTGAAACATATATTTAATAAAGAAGGATGTAAAGTTTTAAATATTGAAGAGTTTGAAAATACTAAATCTATAATAAAATATGAATTTAGGAATAAATGTTATACAGTTTCATATTATGAATGGAAAACCGATAAGATTAGAAAACATTTAGGAGATTATGGGGAAAAATCTGAATTCTTTAAATCTAGTATATACGAGAGAGTAAAAGAAATCAGATATAATTATTTTCATGAATAAAACATAAACGCATTAAAAAAATTAACATTAATTTTAAAATAATTTATTTTTTATCTTTTATAAAAGAAGCTATATATAGATGATGTCAGATATTCCGCGATTAATTAAACATTGTTTAAATCCTGAATGGAATCAATGGAGTCATAATCAAAGACCTCATAAACGAGTAAAAGATTCACTACCATAATGAAATAAAAAATAAACTTTAAAAATTCATGTCTTACATTTTTGAATAATTTATGAAATCAATTATTTGATTTATTCTTTCTTCAATCTCTTCTATTCTTTTTGTTAAATCATCTATTTTCATTAATGAGGTGATTCTTGATTGAGGAATAGATTTCAAACTAACCACTCCTTTTATTTTTGAAATTTTGAATCCATCAACTTTAAACATTTTATTCAATTTACACGTTGTCAATTCTTCAAATAATTTTTTATTATTAGCATAATAGTCATTAAATTCTTCAATAGATGAAAAAATTTTTATTTCAGTAATTGGTTTAACAATGTTTATTTTTTGTTGAACATTTTCACTTTCATTTATTTCTTCCTCCTCTGTTTCATTTATTTTTAAAATCGGTTTCATTTATCATTAAATAAAAATTAGAATATAAGTGATGAAATATATTTTTTTATTTAATATTAAATCAGAAATGGCGGCAGGATTCTTTAAAAAATTATGGGATGGAATTAAGAAAGCTGCAGGTTGGGTTCATAAAAATATTATTAAACCCGTTGCAAACTTTTTGGCACCAGTAGCGAAAACGGCAGGAACTATCATAGGTGGAGTATTAGGTACTAAAGCAGGTAATCCGGCGATGGGAGCACAAGCAGGTAACGCAATTGGTGGAATAGCTGAAGGAATACTTAATAAAATAGGAGGTAAATAGTGGAAAAATAAATTATTTTTATCTTAGTATCGGTTGTAGTCTTTGATAAACTTTTTCTCCTTTATTTAATATTTCTCTTATTGGGGCAGCTTTTGGTGTAATTGATTCAGCAACGTCACTAATTGCTTCTTTATTCTTAAATATCCAATTTGCTCCTTTCTTCATTGTTTCCCAAACTTTATGCGCTCCTCTTTTTACTTTATCCCATAATTTTTTAAAGAATCCTGCAGCCATAGTTGATTATTTCATTAAAATTAAAAATTCATTTACCGGAATAAATGACGACTAACTATTTGGTGCCAAACACTAAACCAATTAATGGAAATGTGTTTCATTCATTCGAAAAGATAAATGAAATATTTGCAAAGAATGACGGTAGAAGATATTATAGAGAACTTGAAAGTTCATGCTATGACTCTGATACTCCATATTTTGATGATAAACAAACTCATTTAAGAATTACAAATCCGGCTCATGATGTGAACCAATTAGGTGACACATATATTAAACGCAAAGTTAAAGCAACTCTAGTTTCAAATAAAGCTTTCACATGTGATGCCGCTTTTAAATGCATGCGTTTATTCGTTGGTTACAAATCATCAAATCAAAGCTTTAAACAATTAGAAGTAGAAACTGAAAGAGGTGATGCTGGTTATCTTCAGATGGATTGTGCCCGTGAATCTTTCGCATTTGCAACATATAAACCGAAATCAGAAAGGAAAGTTAAAAAGTTTGTTCATTCGTTATATAATAATGTTCAAAAATATGATAACTCAGTATGTGGAAAATATATTGACCCTTCAGAAGTTTTCAAGAAAGCAAATGAAGAAGTTGATATCACTTTTGATATGATTATTCCGGTAAATGATTTGTTAGCATTTCAGGCGTTCGATGATTATCCTAAATCATTTGGTGATATCATTCTTAAATATTATGTTTTCAGGGATACTTTAGTATTTTGTCAGGTTGACCCGTTAAGAGTTGCTGATTTACAAAATTACGTTTATGAAAAGATAACTGATGAAAATTATGAAAAGATTATGAATCATGTTTATAAATATGATCGCAAATTCCAACAAATCGGACTTCCTGCCAAATTAATTACAAGCTTAGCCGCTACATCTGCTGACGCAACAGTTGAGGACGTTATTATTTCATGCACAAAGATGGAAGTTTTAGAGGATAAATGCATTACACCAGGATACGGTTTAATTGAAGAATCAGTTAAAGCAATACCACGTTTATTCAGTAAGGAAGATCCATTCATGATTCCAGCTCAACATATTGACGTTCGTTCACTAAATGGAGGTTGCATCACTCCTGAAGGTATTAGCTCAGATTTCTCATACGCTCTTCATAATGTTACAGATGTTGTGTTAACATTTCCGAAGAATGCAATGCAAAGAACAGTTTTAGAAAATCCAATGCTTCGAGGTCTTCAGGTCACTATAGATTCCAGAAACTTCCCCGATCAAGCGATGACCACAGTGGGTGACATATTCTTTACACGTATGCTTCAAGCTTCTGATTTAGATGGAGTGAATGAATGCACAGAAGAATACGAGGACTCATTAACTAGACCACTGAATGCAGATGATGGCACGCCATCAGCTAGAACATGGAAAGACCAAACTTCATTCTTATGCACTATTCCAGTTCAACGTAATGGAGCGGGTATATTCTTTGATGGATTAGAAACTTTCAACTCACAAGTTACAGTACAAGTGAAAGCTTATCCAATCATTCAGGGTGAAAATGACACTTACTGTTCAAAGGTGACAAATCCTCCTCAGGTTTGGTTTACTAGGACTACATATTGGACATGGACACCGGATGAAGGTTTGAAATATCATCCAACAGGTACACCACCACAGTATAGAAGTTCATATGATGAAATATTGATGAATAGAAATGTTTAAAATTATAAATTTATTTTTGATTAAATGGATTTAAATTCATCCACCCCTTATGAAGAATTAGCAGGAGTATATAATACATACGTAGATGATATGATTAATGAAGCATTGAGTGATAATAGAAATGCTTTATCTAAGGAAAAATTAATGAAAATTCCATATTCTGAATGTTACTTAAATTCAAAAATAATGAATAAATGCTATCCCCTATGTTGTTGTCAAAATGTCATGTTGTCACATTTTTTCAGAAAAGTTAAATTACCTGGTGACCTGGTGACCTGGTGACCTGGTGACCCTATCAGTTCTTCAAAAATAATGAATAAATGCTATCCCCTATGTTGTTGTCAAAATGTCATGTTGTCACATTTTTTCAGAAAAGTTAAATTACCTGGTGACCTGGTGACCTGGTGACCCTATCAGTTCTTCAAAAATAATGAATAAATGCTATCCCCTATGTTGTTGTCAAAATGTCATGTTGTCACATTTTTTCAGAAAAGTTAAATTACCTGGTGACCTGGTGACCTGGTGACCCTATCAGTTCTTCAAAAATAATGAATAAATGCTATCCCCTATGTTGTTGTCAAAATGTCATGTTGTCACATTTTTTCAGAAAAGTTAAATTACCTGGTGACCTGGTGACCTGGTGACCCTATCAGTTCTTCAAAAATAATGAATAAATGCTATCCCCTATGTTGTTGTCAAAATGTCATGTTGTCACATTTTTTCAGAAAAGTTAAATTACCTGGTGACCTGGTGACCTGGTGACCCTATCAGTTCTTCAAAAATAATGAATAAATGCTATCCCCTATGTTGTTGTCAAAATGTCATGTTGTCACATTTTTTCAGAAAAGTTAAATTACCTGGTGACCTGGTGACCTGGTGACCCTATCAGTTCTTCAAAAATAATGAATAAATGCTATCCCCTATGTTGTTGTCAAAATGTCATGTTGTCACATTTTTTCAGAAAAGTTAAATTACCTGGTGACCTGGTGACCTGGTGACCCTATCAGTTCTTCAAAAATAATTCATTAGTTAGAAAACCATTGACGCTAATTTTATTTTTATATCTTTTTATTTTGTATGTAAAGACAGTAATGACAAACATTGAGTTTGAAACAGTTAGAAAGATAGACGATGACACCAAAGTGGTTAGAATAGGTGATTTAAACGTAAGATACTCAAAGAAATACAACAAATATTCTTTGTCAGACATTATATCTCCATCTGAAAAGAAAACAAACGACTGGGTTAGAAATGCTTCAACTCAGAAAATTTTGACAAGAAATCCTGAGCTTATGATATCAATAGCATTTCATGGAACAAGAGCATATCTTATAGACAAAAGTCTTATACCAATAGTTTTGTTATGGTTAGACCCAGTTGTTGGATATAACTTCATAACATATGGTTCATTCGACTCAGAACGTTGCAGTGAAGGCTTACTTTACATCGTTCAGAAACCGAAGGACTTCAACACAAAAAGATATAAGATAGGAAGGACATATAATATAACTCAAAGATATGACAGTACAGTCAATAGAGTCAAGGTTGTGTTCGTTAATGATATGAGAGCTGCTGAAACAGAACTGCTTGAAGTTTTTGAGAAAATGTATGGTGCTCCCACGAAAGGTAAAGAAACGTTTGAAGTAGATGAGATAGATAAAGCTATAAAATTATTTGACGAAGTTGCTGAAAAATACATGTAAAGCGTTTATTTTTGTCTTTTGTGAAAGTCAGAAAATAAAGTTAGTTTTATTTATTTTGTATGTAAAGACAGTAATGTCAACATTAGAGAACACAACAACTGCTATCGTTCATGAAGCCATTAATGAAGAATACGAGTACATACAGTATAACAAACAACTTCGCCTCATTCGTTCGGTCAAAGATGACATGTACCAAATGCAAAGTATAATGAATGCTCTTCGTTCTACAAAGCAAGAGGTGAGAAAAGAGGTGAGAAAAGAGGTGAGAAAAGAGGTGAGATCTCACTTCTTCACCTAAACATCATTTTTGGGTCATTTACACTCATTACGATGAAGTCATGACAAATCATTTTCCATGTTGTTGTCAAAATGTCATGTTGTCACATTTTTTCAGAAAAGTTAAATTACCTGGGAGCACATGGTAACATGGTGTTATGTTTTGAATTAATTATTGAATAACCTGAAAACCATTAACGATAAAATAACTGATAACAAAATTTTATTTTTATATAAATGAATACCCCGCAAGCTCAAAATTTACCACGAATCATAACAAGGGAGGAAACGATAAAAATGCGAGAACTTGCCAAAAATAACAAACCACTAAAACTGAGAAAATGTGGTTATGCAGTAATGATGGAAAGAGAGATGTTGTCAAAGAAAAATAAAAATTAATTTTGGATTGAGTTTAAAAATTCATCTTTATTAAATTCATCTCTTCCAATCAATTTATTTATTCTATTAAATTCTTTTATTTTTGCTTCACTTAGTTTAAGGATTGAACGGTAAGTTTCTAATTTTTCGATTATTTCTTTATCGTTTTCAACCTCACCGCATTGTGGCTTCTTTTTGTAATAGCATATTTTTGATTTAATTCTGTTTAGTTTCTTTTTATATTCATCGTCTGGACTCTTGGCTGCTTCGTTGTCACTCATTTCTTACGAAATAAAAAAAATTAAATATTATTTAAATATAATGGAGTAATAAAATAAATCGGAATTTCTATTAATTTATTGCCAACTTCAACTAATACATTACCGTTAATATATCTAACAAATTCAGCTATTGTGTCAAATCTTCGTCTTCTTTTTGTCATTGATTTATCAGTTTTTCCATAATCGAGATGAATCAAAACTTTATCCCCTTGTTTAAAATTCATGAGCCCCGAATTAATTTGTTCACGTTTAACATCATTCAACCTTTCCATTTGCTTTCTAATATATTCCCATTCTTTTGAAATATCATTTTTCATTTCCACCGGTTTCATGTTTATAGTTCTATGCCATGTATTATTATAATAATATACTAACTGTTGTATGATGGAGTCATGATTTCCATCCCAGTATATCTGACCGTTAACCCCTAACGCATCTCTAAGAGTTCTCATTACCGCATCAACTATTTTATTATGAAACGTATATGGAGAGGATGAAAAGTAAAAATTAATTTGTGGGAAATAATGAGTCATAGTTGCCTGAAATCCTTTATCACTATCACCCCTGATATTATCTACTCTTTTATGATCTAGTAAGTATTGAATAGCTCTTCTTGTTTCCTGTTCTGTTTTCCCTTTCACTGGAATGCAATATAAATATCTAGTGTTAATGTTAATGGCAAATAAATAAGTAACGTTTCCTTTTGAATATTCCAGATGATCGATTTCGTATGAATATGGATATGGTGCAAATGAAGGGCGACCAAATTTTTCCTTTAACGGTTGAATTTTCGGGTCAATTGGTTTATTTAATATCTTGAAACCCTTTTTAAAATCTTTTTGTTTCTTTAATGTTTGAAATGGATATAATAAAGTGAATGATGAAGGATTAACTGGAGGAGGTGGTTTTGGTATTGCAGGTACAGTCGTTGGAGGTTTTGGTGTTGCAGGTACAGTCGTTGGAGGTATTGGTGTTGCAAGTGGTTTAATTTTATCTGCTTTGATTTTGGATGATGAAGTTTTGGAATTCATTCCTTCCTTCATTAATTCTGGATGTATTCTATTCATTTGTTTTAAATATGCTGTATATAAAGGTTTGATATACTTTCCTGCTTCGAGTTTATGTTGAAGGATGAATTCCAAAAGTTGATCTTTATTTAAAAGTTGGGCTGAATGTGGTTTAACTAATGAATCATAAATTAAAGCTTGTGCATCATTTTTGGTCTGAAGGACCCGGGCGTTTTGTTTCTTTGTTTTTTGTGGCTCAGGATTATATAATTTATATAATTCATCAATATCTTCTTTGTTAATACTTCATTTTTGAAATCTTTCAAATGTTTAAGTTGTGATTTAGTTTTTTCCTTTGTATATTCATTATTTTTAATTTTATCTTTAATTTTAGAAATTATTTCATCATGATATTTCAAAAATTCATTATCATAATATGAATAATAATAATCTATATCATCATCCGTTATATTTTCATCATATTTTTGGAGATATGCTTTTAAATCATAATAACTAAGAAAATTTTGATCACGTACTAAATCATCAATTAAATTTTCTAAATCTACGTCATTCATTTATATAAAAATAAAATAAATGTTTTAAGGGTGCCCATCATTCAACGGTTCCTTTTGTCTCTTCTGTGGCATTTCATTTAATAAACGGCATACAACATCCATTTTCACAACATACAGCCTTAGTGTGTGCTCCTGTTAATGCAGTCTTACCGATTGTTAAGCGAGTCATTAACCCATTTTTAAGTTGTAAATTAATATTCTGACCATCAAATATCACTTTATCATTTATTATATCCAAATAATTTTTAGGTGTTAATTGTTTATTTTGTCGTAAACTAACTCCTTTCATTTTTTGTGCAATCTTTTTAAAATCACTTCCATCAATTGAACCGTTGAATGATGTATAACACTTAGGACATAAAGCAACCATGTTATCACCTTGTTTCTCAATTGCTAAACCCAATAACTTCTTCTCATGTGCTTTTTCTTCAGCTTTATTCTTTAATTTAGGTTTAAATTTCTCATCAAAACAAAAGAAATCAAAAGGTGCGAATTTGTAAATGTTTTTATCATAAAATTGTTTATCAGTAACAATTGCTTGAAATGCTTGAGTGTTAGGAAGATTTGGATCACCAGCGATTGCCCAATAAGATGAATCAGTATCACCTTCAATGAAATGAAAACGATTAACATCCATGCATTTATACATAAAATCATAAATGAAAACCAAATACCAGTATTTAGCATTCTCTAAAGTGAAGAATGCCTCTTGTAAACATGTTTCACATCTATAAAATCTATCTTTGAGCATCATTTGATACGTATCTTCACCTATTTCTCTTATGTTTTTAAACTTATTTGCCATACATGCAACGCGTGCCTTCTGTGCATTCATTATTTTAGTCTTTGTGTAATTTTGTGTATTCATTGCATCGTAACCATATGATCCATTAAGTGAAATTTTGCAAAATAAACTTTTTCCTTTATTTCCTTCTAATTCAGCCTTTTGTCTTTCGTTCATAAATTTGTTCGCAAATTCATTAAAACAAGTGTTTTTCGTAAATGTTAAAATTGATTGAATGTCATCGATGATAAAATGAAATCTGTCGATTAGATACCAAAGATAATAAGAAGAAAATGGTTGATATTGGTTGTGTGTTGATGCTAACTGAGTTAATTTTCTCTGTTTCTGGTCAACCGGTAGATTGTTTGATTTCATGTAATTATACATAAAACTGCCAATTGTTTTTTCATCTGTGATAATATCTAAGTTTCTTATTATCGGTAAAAAGTTTATGTAATCATTAATGTATTTTTCATCAATGTGACCCTTTACTTCAGCCACGAATAAAGTATTTTTCTTCTTAATTATTCCCAGTGCTTTTGCTTTCTTTGTTGCTGTATCACAAATGATAACACCATTCAATCTTCCCGGCATATACATTTTATGGTCAGTATATTGAATGAAATCATGAGGATTAGATGAAAATGATGAAGGATATAATGAATTAAAATCAACTCCAACGAAATGAGTCATGATGTTGGAAGTGTCCTCATTTGATACAGTTTTAGTTTCTGGACTATATGAAAGTTTATTAATGTGTGTGATTCCTTTAAGATTAACACGATGTTGAACATTTGATAAACCACCAGTAATTCCATTACGGAGAATGTGATAAGCTTCAACTGAATCTAAAGTCATTGGTAAATTATTTTTTAATGCATAATTTCTTAAATTGATTCTTAAACGTTGAATGTCTTCATCTTTATTTGATTTAACGACATTGCAATAACAACACATTAACTGACAATTTTCTTTGGTATGTGGTTTTTCATTATCGATTCTATCCAATGTTGGTTTATTTGCATATGTAAACGCTTTACCACACATTTTGCATTTAGATGAAAGGATTAAATCGTGATAGTATTGATAGTCATCCGTTGAAACATTGTTTTTGGTATCTCTTTTCGCCTTTTCATCTTGTTTCTTATATGAATCAATTTTATATTTCCAATACTTTTTTGTTAATTCAAAACTTGATTCTATCTTTTCCTCAGGATATTTTTCATTAGGATTAAAGTCTTTATATGCTAAAGCGTAACGAATCATTGATGCATTCGATGATAAAGAAAGATTATGAAGCATGTCAATTTTATAAACAAATGTTTCTTCGATAATTTTATCAATTGGGTCAATCATAATTTCAACGTCTTTATTGCAATAATGAATAAAATATTCTAATCTATTCTCAAAGTTTTTAGCATCATTGAGATATATTTGATAATCACTATCTGATATAGTTTCTTGAGTTAATGCTGAATAAAATGAATCTTGAGTGAATGGTTCCACTTTATATAATTCTTCTTCGTAATTCTCCCATGTGATGAATTGATAAGGGAAAAAGGATTTAACACGTGACTTATTGTTTCCGAAATCTTGAGTGAATTGGTCTAATGTCCCACCCGCTATATAATTTCTGATGTCAATAAATCTTAATTCATATGGACAGTTTGTTTTCTTTACTATGACTTGCTTAAATTGAGAAGAAGAACCCAGCATTGATTTTATCTTCCATTTTGCAGTATTTAAATCACGAAGAATTAAATTTAAATCAAACTTTCCCGAATTAAAACCTATGATATTCACTTTATTGAATTCTTCATCTAGAAGTTCTTTAAATGCTTCCTTCTGTTTTTCATTTAATGTTTGAGACAAAGTCCCCGCCGTTTGCGGCTTCATTAATTCTTCATATTGTTCAATATTTGATTTAGCAACTAATGAACAGGTTGAAAATAAAAATTCAATCCATTCAGAGATGAACGAATCACTTGATGTTAAGCAAAAATTCCTCGTAAATGTTTTATCGTTTAATTTAACCATTGATGATACCATAAATGGTTTTAAGTAAGCGTTCAAAGTTGCACATTCAGAAAGTTGAAGTTCTTCTTTAGTCTCTAATGTTTCGAAGTCAAAAGTAATATAATATCTTGTTGGTTTATAATATTCCTGCAAATTATGTGCTAATAGCCATTGATATATCTTCTGTTTCGTGATATGTGGTGCATATGGTTGTTGTGTGTTTTGCAATTGAACGTCTTGAATTAATCTTCCATTATTTTCTTTACATTTCTCACAATGTTTTAAAAATCTTCTTTGGTTTTTCCTTTCTGGATCATCACGGATAGAATAAACTTCTTCTTTACAATATGGACAAACTCTATAGCCGGTGAGTGCTTCAACGTCTGTAATTCTGTCAGCGTGAAGTTTTCCACATGGACTCTGTGTTAATAAAATATTTACTGTTTCAAATTCTGGATCTATCATTATTGATTCCACTAATGGAAAGTCTACCTTGTTAATTTCTACGTCTTCTGGTTGAGGGTCACAATAATAAAAATCAATATTAACGTTTAACATTCTTGCTAACCTCTCACTTTCTGATGAAATGTCAAATCCTTCATATGCATCTATGGCTTCATTTAAATAACTTCTACGAGTTTTAGGATTAACACCATCAGGAATGTTATAGAAGCGTTTAAATAACCTTCTACCTTCGGCTCTTATTTGATTATCATTCATTTTAGCTGTTCCATTTTTGTTCATTTATGTAAGAATAAAAATTAAAAAATAAAGTTTATTTATTAAAGTCAGAGAGTCCAGGGCTAAAGCCCATAAAATGAATTAAGAACACATAAATTTTTATCATCTGCGACGTGACGAATACATTTTAATTTACTCAATAATGCATATCCTGATACATTAAATCTAATTCCTGTCTTATTTAATTTCACAACTTTGAAAAGGAATGTATGAATAGCTATAAAATGATGAGATGATGTTTTATGGGTTGCTTCCATTTTTTCTGAAATAAATGAATAAATATAATGTTTATACGTTTTCATATCTTTTATGTTCTTAATAACGAATGGTATAGACCTTTCCACTTCGTCTTCCTTCGGTGCTGTTCTTTCATATGAAACATTATTGGTATCTTCAATAATGAAACCACAATCACACAAAATTTTATAGGTTCCAATGGTTTCTTTTGATATTTTATCTAATAAATCAAAAACTTTATCAACACCTGTGCATTTATTTAAATAATAATTTGTGTAAATATCATGATCTTCTTTCTTAATCGTATTAGTTGCATATGTCACGTTTTTAAGAGCTTTTTTGAATTTTTCGGAATCTAAAGGTGGTGAAAGTAAGATACAAGGGTATTCTTCATTATCAATAAATTGTAACTTATGTTTACGTATAAATTTAGTACCTTCTTCTGAAAGTGTTTCGTCTATTTCACCATCTAATAAATTTTGTGTTGATTCTGAGACATAATTTTTATATCTTTCTTCATGAGATTTCTGAACTGCTGATTCTGAAGCTGGGATATTCATTAAATCCTCTACTTCATTTTCATTATATTTTTCAACTTCTCTTAATTCCTTAATTTTTTCATCTATTTCATCTCTTATTTTTTTCAGTTTTTCAATTTCATCGTATTCATCATCATCTTTAATTCGTTCTTCATAATATTCAGGGAAAACATCAGGTTCTTTTGGTTTTTCTTCTTCAGATGTAGGATATAAGAAATTTATAACATCATCTTTATTCATTTTTCCATCATAATCTAAATCATTTAATAACTCAGCAAATTTTTGACAATTTCTTAAATAATATTTACTAACTTCATAACACATCTCATCTAATATATCCTTTATTTCCTCATTTGTGAATCCTAATGTTTTCACGTCGTTAGTCTTGACACTCATTTCATACGAATTAAAAATAAATTATTCAAAAATGTAAGACATGAATTTTTAAAGTTTATTTTTTATTTCATTATGGTAGTGAATCTTTTACTCGTTTATGAGGTCTTTGATTATGACTCCATTGATTCCATTCGGGATTTAAACAATGTTTAATTAATCGCGGAATATCTGACATCATCTATATATAGCTTCTTTTATAAAAGATAAAAAATAAATTATTTTAAAATTAATGTTAATTTTTTTAATGCGTTTATGTTTTATTCATGAAAATAATTATATCTGATTTCTTTTACTCTCTCGTATATACTAGATTTAAAGAATTCAGATTTTTCCCCATAATCTCCTAAATGTTTTCTAATCTTATCGGTTTTCCATTCATAATATGAAACTGTATAACATTTATTCCTAAATTCATATTTTATTATAGATTTAGTATTTTCAAACTCTTCAATATTTAAAACTTTACATCCTTCTTTATTAAATATATGTTTCACATATTCAGGATTTATCATTCTGTAATATTGTTTTCCTTTATATCTTTGAATGTAAACAGGAACACCATCCTCTAAAATTCTATTATCCACTTTATCCGGTTTTACTTGTTGGGTCATTTATGTAAGAATAAAAAAATAAATTATTTTTAAAATTAATGTGTTAAAATAATGATACAAAATCGCTCGATATTGTATGAATTCTTACGTTTACAAAAAAAGTCACACAACCCATCATACTCTACTACTAAGAAGATAAAATTTTGAATCAGACGTAGTATTTTGAGCATCATTACTATTTAGGGACGTATGTGATGAATTTTCGTCTATTAATTTAAGGATTCAGATTCAAAATAAAAAAAAATATTGAGGGATTTTGAAAAATAGTAAGATAATGGATTGCCATTAAGTAGGAATATTGGAATATGTTATGAACATTATTGTAAATAAAGGAATAACGAAGTATTTAGAGTTATAAAATTAATATGAAAGTTAATGTTTTAAATTTTAGTAGAATTGGAGTTTATTAGAAGTTTCGGAAATGAAATGAGAAGATTTGGAAGCAATGAAGTGAGTTAGAAAAAATGACGGATTTTAGGAGAAAATGGCATATTACTAAAATTTGGTACAAAAATTGTTACTATTTTGTTATTAATTAATGAGGTGAATGTTCTTTTGAAACGATTTTGAAATTTGATTGAAATTCTATCTGACCAAATTGGATGACTTGTTGCTATCCATTAAAATTCCAAAATATTTTTAATAACCAATCTGTTTTTTTGACAAAATTTTCATTTTCAGAATTTTACGCTATTGAAATTGTAAAATCAATTGAAATTTGTAGAGAAAAAATATTATCGAATTTATAGAATATTATGCATTATTGTAATGCAACAAAATTTAAAACAATAACGTGAATTTCTTCTTATTGAAATTTAATGGTTGATATATGTTTCAATAAAAGATTAATATTTATATTCATTTGACAATTTCAATAATCACGTTTCGCATATTCAAATTTGAACCACATCTAATTTGTAAGATATATTGAATATTTTGAATAGCGAAGCTTTCGATTTTTCTTGAATAATTTAAATATTTATGTATCCAAATTAAAATGTTTGATGAAAAATTGAATATAATTGAATTTTCTTGAATTGAAAACAGTGATTGTCAGATTTTGCATTATTATCAATGGTTTTTAAAACCATTTTCGTGGTTTCAAGATTTTTGACATTTCAATTCTCTCAAATTAATAACTATCGATGAGAAGTGAGGCTTCTTTTAGTTCCCTTGCTTCGAGAACGCGATCTACATCAGGTCTGAGCTCAGGAGATGGAAACGGTGATTTTGAATCTCAAGCTTCTAAAATCGACAAGATTTTTCCTTTATATGATGAAATGTTCAAATCTGGCTATGTTCCGTCAATCTTATCGCAACTACTAACCATTGAAATATTCATTCAATTCATCGGTTACTCATTTTGGCCAGCATTCTTTTTCACTGAACTTGACAATCGTTGGGATGGAGTATGCGCCCTTTGGATTTACAGAGTATCTTTTCTATCTAAAGTAAGTCATGAAGTACCAGACCTTACTATTAACTTAATTGTTTTCAGCTTCATGTTATTCCTTATTATTCTATCTGTAGGCATTGAACTAGGTATCTATCTCAGAACAAGAAGATTCAACAAGGTTTCTTTATCATTTGCAAGGATCTGCATAGACATAATACCACAACTTTGTGTAATTCCGAGTTCGTTTTTTGCCGGCTTATGCCTCAGATACTCTATTAGGCTGAAGAAACCAATCATAATTGTCTATTGCGTCATTTCATTTCTCTACCTCTTTGCTTTTTTGGCTTTTCATTTCATTCAATCATATTTTTCAGCGAGTCTTCCATATATTGGAGAGTCAAACTTGTTCTGTTGGTCGGGTTCATTCCTTTTCCAGCTCTTAGCAATACCAGCTTTCTTTATTATTTTATCATTTTTGACAGATTTCTTTCCAACGTATTTCAAAGTACTCACTGTTGTTCTGAAGATACTCTTTAATGCATATTTCTATTACAAATGCTTCTTCTTCCCCTTTGCCCATACAAAAATGAATTATATCTTTAATTCCTTATTTTTAGGTATAACTGTTGATGATGTTCTTGTATTAATAGGTTGTTTAGGCTATCGTACAAGGTTTTATTTCGCTTATGCTACAACTTTTGGCTTTTTCTTTATTTCATGTTTCTATTGCAAATGGGTATTTTCAATTCGCTCTCGAAAGATCTGTTTCAGACTGTCATACGAAGCTTTAGAAACAGTTGACGAAGAATTGCCAAATGTTGAATATCAAAATACAGAAAATGCTGCTTTATTATGCCAAGATGAGAAAACAAGGAAGTTATTTAATAAGATAGGTCTCCAGAAATCGGAAGCGAATTGCGAGTTATATTTTAGAGTAGGATTAGCAAACAGATCTCAACTGTTTTTGAATTGGTCGTTGCTAAAATATGCTTCGGAATTCCATAGAACGGCACACATGGCAACAATCATCACCCAGTTCATGTCGTTCTTCCCTTGCGAAACAAGATTATTATCAAGTTTCCAGAAACAAGCTTGCCAGCACAGATTGAACTTCTTCCAGAGATTTCTCATCTTCCAAATCGATTCAATCAAGAGATTACGCCAATCTTCGGCCAGTAGAGAAATTTCGGAAAAATTATTACACCTCAAAAACGCATCTAATGCATTAATTGATGATGTTAAGAAGTTCTGGATCAACTGCCAAGATGATGCCTCCATATTTTACGATATAAGTATGAAAACCAAAAATTTATCAGAATTATATCGAGAAGCAATGCAGCAATGGCCTAATAATATCAGATTATGTGAAGGATACTCACGAATGTTGATCGAAGGAGCCATGGATTTCAAGAAAGGTGTTTTAATGAAATATCGAGTAGATTCAATCGAACAAGGAAAGAATTTCGCCATTGATTTATCCTTTAGATCACTTGTACGTGCTTATCCTGAGTATTTGAAGAAAGGAGTAATGGATTTACAAGGAAATTTCCGAATTCATAAAAGTGAAAACGGAGAAAACACTTCATCATCAGGATCTAACAATTTAAAGAGATCTTCTGTAAGTTCAGGAACAATTGATGGAATATTAGATCCAGAAATTGAAGAAACAGTTGCAAAACAATGTTTTACTTATCACAGATTAAGATTAGAGTTCCAAACTGCATTAGAAAACAGGAAACTGAATTATATGAAATATCTACATGCTTCCATCCTTTGGTCTTTGTTTTTAGTTGTTACTTTAGCGATTGGTTACTATTGTTACTACCAAGGACATTATGATGACAGAACACATTCAATTGAACGACAAATTGATTTTAATTTTGTTGAATTTAACTTTGATTTGGCGTTTACTACTTCTACATTTTTGATTATGAACTCTGTTGGTATTGTTCCTTTACCTTTCTTCCAACAGATCATGGCAATCGAAGGAAATCCATTTGAAATTGATATAAAGAATGGTAAAAATGAAGTTGGAAGACATTCTGATGGATCATCAAGAAATTTGACTGCTTGCATGCAAGATATCATGGAATCCGCAATCAGGGGTGATGATGTTGAATCATTGTTTGTAGAAATGATATCAAGAGTCGTTCCCGTTCATTTATGCAATGGACCAATCATATTAAATAATTCAATCAACGAATTTCTTAAAGAATTATTCGTTAGATTGACTGTAAACCTCAGATACCTTGCAACAATGTCAGGAAGAGCTTTGATTATGGATCCGAAATCATGTGAACTGTTAAGTAACATGAAAAGCCTTGATAAATACTTCCTCAAGATGATGGATAGACTTCTCGATCTTTTGGAAGTAAAAGAACACCATGAAATCAAGGTAAATAAGATATTAATTTTCTCTTTACCGGCGGCATACGCGATTCTCTCAATTGTACCTTTAATTATATGTATATCTTTATGTATAAAGGAACTGAAATCGTTAGGAAAGCTTTTATCAAGTCTTCCTCAGAATATCAGAGAAAATACTTCGAAATCTTTAGTAAAATCTGAAGATGAAGATAATTCAGTTAAGGATACCATGAAATCACATCAGTTTAATGTGAATTGTCTTTATTTGGCTGCATTTTTACCATTGTTTAATGTTGCTATTTTCATTGGCATTCCTTTGATTGCAATTAAGATGAACAAAGACATGAATGAGTTGAATTATTGGACACATTATTCAACACAACGTGCACATCATGCAATGATGTCCCTTTCTTTCACTGCTTTAGGAGTTATTTCAAATCATCCACTTTTAACGTTCTTGAGATCGAAATCTGATGATTTTATTTATGTTGCAAAATATCACTTGGACCAACTAAGTGATATGAATAACAATTTGTTAAGAGGAACAGTTAATATTTCATCAATTGTTGGATACATTGATAACAATATAAAAGAAGAATGCATTGATGATAATTACCAATCTGTTGATCATGAAGACTTCAAATGCAGTTCATTGGACAATTCAATTTTAAGATTGTATTCTTATTTGAATTTGATACAACAAGATCCAAGATCTGCAGATTTCGGACCACAATCTGAGATGGCGAATGCATTCCACCTTGCAAATACTCACATTAGCAAAAGAGTATGGCAAACAAGCCTCGAATTGCAGAAATTAGGTGATGAAAGAGTCCATGAATTTAGGATAAACATGACTATTTTATGTTGGACATCTTTCGGACTTACAATTTTAATAACAATTTTATCATATATTTTATTTGGAAAATTGAATATGTTATTCCAAGGTGAATTGCAAATGATGAGGAGAATTCCACCTTTGTCACTCACATTATCTCAAAATTTGATGAATTACATCACACATAAGCGAAATATCAAGAAATCAGAAACATTGACCGGTATCAAGAGTGCGGTTGTTATTTCTCGAGACTCGGTTATCTTTGTTAACAAGTCATTGAACATTGATTGGATCAACAATTCTACAACAAAACTTTTTGGATACACACCAGACCAGTTATTAGGTCAACCAGTTCAAACATTACTTCCAGAAGTTCGAAATGAAGAATTCTTCAAAGAGATCGAGATGATGAAGAACGGCCAATGTGCATTAGCATATGAAGCATCATCTACCGCTATTTCCGATAATGAACAGATCATTCCAGTCCATGTCACACTTGTTGGTATACCAGAGAATAACTCAAATATTCCTAAAGGATTTGCAGTTATCATCCGCGATGAAACCATTTTATCACAACAAAGGAAAGTTGCAGAGAACGCTAAATCACAATCAGAAAAACTTTTGTATCAGATTCTTCCACGAGACATTGTTATTCGAATCAACAGAGGTGAAACAGATATCAATTTTACCGTTCCATCAGCAACAATTGTTTTTATTGACATTGTTAAATTCAGTAATTATGCATCAACACTTAGTCCATCCGAAATCATGGAACATCTCTCTATCATTTTTGCCAAATTTGATGTTATTCTTTTTAAGTACAATTTACTTACAAAGATCAAACTTATTGGAGATGTTTACATGGCCGCTGCTGGTTTGTTCAATCCAGATGAAAATCCAGCAAACCACGCATCCCAAGTTGTCAATTTCTCACTTGAATCACTTAATGCATTAGAAGAAGCCAACAACCAATTTAATTCTAGTCTTCAAGTTCGAATTGGTGTTAACACCGGTGGTCCATTGATTGCAGGTGTTTTGGGCACTGATAAACTAGTCTTCGATATCATTGGCGATCCAATCAATGTTGCAGCAAGACTTCAGAGCACAGCAATCCCAGGCACAGTCCAAATCTCAGAAGATGTCTTCAACTTGATCAGTTCGATGAACTACAACATCGAAAAGCGTGGTGAAATCGAACTTAAAGGTAAAGGTAAACGAATGGCATATGCAGTTCGACCTCTTGCCATGAGTAGTTTCTTCAGCATCCAAAATGATTCAGAAGAAGTGAAATAACTTTTTATTATTATTAGTTTTAGATCATTGATCTGATATTTTTTTTCTTTATTTATGTTTTAATTTATGTTTCTAAAGTTCGTAACTATTATATTTTTATAAATTTTTTTTACAATTTGCAAAAAAAAGTATTCAATATAATGGAACTGAAGCTATATGCACTTCAGAAGTATGCCCATTCAATATACTTAAAAAGTGTGAACTCTAAATTTAATATATTATTGCTGTTAGCTTGCTGAGTCAAGCAGCTTGCATGATGCTAATACAGAGGCAGTTTTATCAAAAGGCAATGACAACAATGCTTCTAATTATAGAAATATCTAAATTTTGGTCCTTTACACCGATATTGAACTCAATTCATTAAAAATCAGCTCATTTACAGTATGAAAGTGCTTATCTTTGTCCCCTATCAATCATCTAATCTTCCATTCAAAAATTCAATATGAGCAAAATGTACGTTATTCGGTAATTGAAAATTTAGGTCTCTATGAAAAAAAATTGTAATCAGATGTTTGGTATAACAAACAACACAAAAGCCGTGAATAATCTTAGGCATCGTTAGAAAAAAATTTTTTTTGTAAAATATACGAATGGAACATCAGCAGCCGGTTGGAATGGTTGTTGGCAACTTTTATAGGTTGCTAAGGCATATTGGCGGCGGCAGCTTTGGAGAAATTTATGCTGGTGAAGATACTCGTAGCAATAAAAAAGTTGCGATTAAATTAGAACCTGCTAAAACGAAATCTCCTCAACTAGAAATAGAATACAGAATATATAACATCTTTGCAGGTGGTAACAATGTTCCTGAAATATTTTATTACGGTAGAGAACAAAATTATAATGTTCTTGTAATGGATTTACTTGGATTATCATTAGAAGATATTTTTGTCGCTGGTCCAGGTAAGTTCAATCTAAAAACAGTATTAATGCTAGCCGATCAAATGCTTACTTCGATTCAATACGTACATGAAAAGAACTTTATTCATCGTGACATTAAACCAGATAATTTCATCATGGGTGTTGGTCAACACTCAAATCAAGTGTATGTCATTGATTTTGGTTTATCAAAGAAATACCGAGATCCTACTACTAAAGCTCACATTCTTTACGTTGAAAATAAAGCACTTACAGGTACCGCTCGATATGCTTCTATCAATGCTATGCGAGGCTGTGAACAATCAAGACGAGATGACCTTGAATCACTTGGTTACGTTTGGCTTTACTTTTTACGCGGTGCACTTCCATGGCAAGGATTACCCGCACGAACTACGAAACAGAAATACGAAAAGATCTTGAAAGTTAAGATTGAAACAAGTTTAGAAGATTTGTGTCAAGGATTTCCCGAAGAATTTGTTACATACTTCAAAACTATTCGAGAAATGAAATTTGCAGATGATCCCGATTACGGTTTCCTTCGTGATTTGTTCCGAAATCTTTTCATTCGTCTTGGTTTTTCATACGATTACAACTACGAATGGTCACACTCTACACCAGTTGTTTTACCGATGCCTATCCTCAAACCAGAACTTCCACATGTAGAACTTCCGAAACAACCACAAACACAACCAGTCACTCCTCACCATTCTCCACGTGAAGAAAAGAAACAACAAAATCATTTCAAAGAAGACATCATTTTACCCACTCTTTCTAAGAAACAAGAGAAACGACGTGAATCTCCTCTTCGTGAACCTAAAAAGCGATTAGTTACTAAATGGAATCTTCCAAATGACCAAGCAATTCCTATTCCTATGGAACACCGTCCATCAGGAGTTAACGGAATGCAACTTAATTTCCGTGTCTCTAAACTTCAGATTCCATTTAATCCTCCTAAAACACAGTTACCTTCACCGAAACGTCCTAAGAACCATAACAATGTTAACAACAAGCGTTTAGTTTACAAGCGATGGGGTGAAAACAAATATTAACATCATTTTATTATTTATTATTTTTTATCTTTTTTGTTTGTATTTTAAATTATCAAGATATATATCATTAGTGTCTTATTTGACTTATATTAAGTGTCTGATAGATTATCATCATTCTTACACTCTTTGAATGATTCAATTAGAAAAAGTGTGTTTTTGTAATAGAATTATATTAATTTTTATCGTTTGATCATGAACAAAATAGAAATATGATATTTAACATAAAGAAAATTTATGGAAAGATTTGATGAACAAATTTTATTTTCTTTCTTTTGTTCAAATAATATTATTTCAAAATTCCTTTCACATGGACTTAAATTAACGAACTTTAAAATCATCTTAAATGATGATTCTCCTTTTTCTCTTGTATCAACATATCCAATAGATGAATAAGAATCAATACTACATCGATGGATATAAATCTGTCCATCATATGCTAGAAATAATTTTCCTTTGTTAATCTGAGGATTGTTTTGGAAAGATGAATCGAAAATATCATGTCTATTACCAGTATCAATTAATCCACTATAATCTTCATTTTCATAACCTTGAGAATTATTTATATAATTACATCGGTCAATTCTTCCTGGAGACCCCAAAAACTGGGTGATAATTGAGGTAATTGCTTTTAAATTCTTAAAATTACAGAATGAAATATTTACTGTTGATTTAAGAGATTCATAATAAGAACCTGTATATTGATCTGAAATACAGTTAGAAATGTTTGTTTTTGAAAGTGAGCCAAAGCCATTTGTCTGGTATATATATATATCATACAATACTCTGAACTCTTTCCTCCATTACAAATTGATCCTTGGAGGATTGTATTGTTGATTAGGCCAGAGAAATCAGCAAATTGACCCCATGAAGAATTTTGACTTTCAAATGAACAGAATTTATAAATAATAATAGCAGCGTTACTATCACTAGATCCATAAATTTATTATTAATTTGATATAAGTTATCATTGAAGCTTCTTTCGATTTTTATCAAAGTATATAAAATTTCCACCTGAATAAAAATTAAACCTTAAACGTGATTTTTAAAAAAGTGACATTTTTAACTTTCGATATCTAACTCTCATGGTAAGAAGCTAATTCATTAATATAAAAATGATATAATTAACCATATTTATTCATTTATGACAACATTTTAAAATTCAAATTAACATTTATCAAATCTATATCAAATAGTAAAGTTAACATATATCATCTATCAAACTATAATATATTAAATTTCTTACATGGTGGATATATAAACAATCTAATGGTATATTTTTACTCCTTATTATCAACTCGTTCTAACTTTCTGCAGCAATCATGTGGAACTAGAGCCTTAAAGGCATGGAAGCACGGTCTCATTCTAAAAACATTCTTTGTCTATAAAAGATTCTTTCAAGAAGGTTTCTCTATCAAAGCTCACATCCCCATTTATTAACCAATAGAGTAGTTGTCAAAAAAATATTAATTTTTATTGTTTACTAACCAAAAGAGTAGGTGACAAATACCTACCAAAAAGAAAGTTGATACATGGACGTAATGAAATAATTTTATTTTCTTTATTTGGTAAAAATAATAATGATATTTCAAGATTTCCTTCACATGGACTTAAATCAATGAACTTTAAATTATTTTTAAATGAATATTCTCCTCTTTCTGATGTATCAACAAATCCATAAGATGAATAAGAATCAATACTACATCGATGGATATAAATCTGTCCATCATATGCTAGAAATAATTTTCCTTTGTTAATCTGAGGATTGTTTTGGAAAGATGAATCGAAAATATCAAGTCTTTTAGATGCAATATAAACATTTCCCCAATATTCTGACTTTTGAGAATAATTTATATAATTACATAGGTCAATTTTTTCTTGACAACTCCAAAACGTAGTAATCAATCCTTCGGTTGCTTTTAAATTCTCAAAATTACAATATGAAACATTTACTATTGATTCAACATGACTATAACTAAAACCTGGATTTTGTTCTGAAATACAGTTAGAAATGTTTGTTTTTGAAAGTGATCCAATGCCATATTTTTGGAAAATCATACAACTTACAGAGCTATTTCCTCCATTAAAAATTGATCCTTGGAGGATTGTACTGTTGATTTTGCCTTAGAAATGAATAAGTTGGCCAAATGAAGGATTTTGACTTTCATATGAACAGAATTTGTCAATAATAATGGCAGTGTTACTAGAACTTTGAATATATACTGTCCCTGGACCTTGCGAAAAAATGGTTTCGAAAAGTAAAATCGAGTAATCATTTGTATCTTCGAACTTAACTGCTCTATCTTGTAGGTTGATGAACTTACAGATGTATGCAAAGCATTTTTTATCTGTTTGAGTGACTTGTTGAACTTCACCGGTAAAGACTGAAGAAGGAGGATTAATTCCTTCATAATATAGACGCCAAATACTATTTGTAGCTTCTTCGCAATGAATATGTTTCCTTAAAACAATTAATTTGAACTTAGGTTTGAGTCAAAAAGGCTCACAAATTAAAATTTAAAAATGCAGGGGATAACACTGAGTTTTCGGATAGTCAGAGTTTGCTACAATAAGAAGAATAAAAAATATTGTTATCATTCCACATTTATGGGTTCAAACATGCTAATATATGTGACTATTGTTTTTTAGCAATGATATTGAATATACATTTACTCCTAAAACATATATATTATATTCGGATATTTACAGATAGTACAAACCGACATCACCATTAAATATGTAAAAACTTCTTAAAATCAGAATATTGTTTGAGAATATCACTTCAAATAGCAATATAGGTGTTGAATAGTTAAAAGTTTTAGATCGATGTAAGTTCAATCTAAAAACAGTATTAGTGATAACTGATTAAATGCTTATATAAATTCAATAGTTGCATGAAAAGAACTTTATACATTGTGACATCAAACCAGATAATTTCATCATGGGTGTTGGTCAACACTCAAATCAAGTGTATGTCATTGATTTTGGATTAACAAATTTGAATGAACATGTAAGGTTTTCATCAATAATTAAAATAGCACCTTTGTTACCGAATTCGTTGCAGTAATTTGGTGCACTAAAGACTGTAACAACGGTTTGCTTAGGATAGAATGGGAATTCAAAACCATCATTAACAACTTGATGTGCACGGCAAATTAAGTCAAAGTCGTTTTGTTCAAGGAAGTTGTTTGCAACATCCGGACCAAATGTGTATGATATGCCGCGGTCGCTTTCTTGGTAGCCCATAGTATCGTTTTTAGGATCCGCCCAAAGCAAATCAGCAAGTGGACCGTTCTCTGGAACTTCTAATGGACGTTGTAGACTTTCGATCTCGCTAAGTTTGCTGATGTCCTTAGAAAGACCACCATGAACACAGAAGATACGATCGGAAATGATAGCAGCGATAGGAAGATATGAAAAAACTTCATTAAACTCTTGCCAGATGTCAGTATTTGGGAAGTAATAATCGCATTCGTCTTTGAAACCGTATAATGATGAGATATCTGGTGTTTCGTGATTTCCACGAAGAAGATAGATTGTATTAGGATATTTACACTTCAGACAGAGAAGCATAGTAAATGTAGCAACTGAATTGATTCATCGATCAACATAATAGCAAATAAATATGTATGTTGTATTTTTGACATCTCTGCAATGTTGTAAAAACTTCATGAGATCGGAGAATTGTCCGTGAACATCACCGCAAACAGAAATAGGAGAGTTAATTCTTAGAAAACGTTAATTATTTTTGCGATCTTGAATATGTCGAAGTTATTTTTGTTTCTAATGTTTGTAAGTTCAATCTAAATACTGTATTAATGTAAGATGATCAAATTCTTACTTAAATTCGATAGAAACATGAAATGAATTTTATTCATCATGAAATCAATCATGATAATTTCATCATGGGTGTTAGTCAGAACTCAAATCAAAGATATATGTATATATGTCTAGTTCTATTGTACCTGGATCTTGTGAAAAAACGTTTTCGAAAAAATAAATCGAGTAATCAATTGTATTTTAGAATTTAACGAGTCTAAATTGAAGGTCAATCAATTTGTATATGTATGCAAAGCATTTGTTATCTGGTGTCCTGACTTGTTGGATGTCAAATGTAATGATTTCTGAAGAATGGCTAAAATCTTTCATAATAATGATGCCAAATACTATCTGAAACTTCTTAACGATGAATATGATTCCACAAAACAATGAACTTGGTTTCGCATCGAATCAAAAAGACTTAATAATTAAGTCTAATTTTGATTATAAGAGTTTCCTGAGAACATGAAGAAAATTATTTGGTATTAGCATTCCACATTTATGGGTTTAATCATGCTACTATATTGGAAGAATATTTTGTCGAGATTATTGGTAAGATTCGTTTTTTACCAATAGAACAATTTTAAATACTCGAATTCTCTTACCAAAGAAGATTCCAGATATATTATATTCAGATATTTACAGTTTCGAAAAAGATACATTGTCAGAGTTGCAAGAGAATTTAATTCAATTCAAAATCATCTCCAGTAAATACGTAACAACTTCATTATATCAGAGTATTGTCTGCAAACATCACCGCAAACAGAAATATTGTCGTTAATTTGAATTAATGTTTAATCTTTAAAGATATTTAAGTTAAAAGGGCTTGTAAGTTCATTTTAAAAACAGTATTAATATTAGTAGATCATATGAATATTTATATTCAATACGTACATTAGGAGAACTTTATTCATCGTGACATTAAACCAGATAATTTCATCATGGGTGTTGGTCAACACTCAAATCAAGTGTATGTCATTGATTTTGGTTTATCAAAGAAATACCAAGACCCTACTACTAAAGATGACCTTGAATCACTTGGTTACGTTTGGCTTTACTTTTTACGCGGTGCACTTCCATGGCAAGGATTACCCGCACGAACTACGAAACAGAAATACGAAAAGATCTTGAAAGTTAAGATTGAAACAAGTCCAGAAGATTTGTGTCAAGGATTTCCCGAAGAATTTGTTACATAATGAAAAGATTTCGGAACAAATCACGAAGGAAACCGTAATCTGGATCATCTGCAAATTTATGTCAAGGTTTTTCAGAATAAGAAGAATAAAAAGATAATTAATCTTTATCATTTGATCAAGAACAAAATAGAAATAAAATAATTAACAAAAAGCAAATTTATGCATGGACGTAATGAAATAATTTTATTTTCTTTATTTGGTAAAAATAATAATGATATTTCAAGATTTCCTTCACATGGACTTAAATCAATGAACTTTAAATTATTTTTAAATGAAACTTCTCCTTTTTCTGATGTATCAACATATCCATAAGATGAATAAGAATCAATACTACATCGATGGATATAAATCTGTCCATCATATGCTTGAAATAATTTTCCTTTGTTAATCTGAGGATTGTTTTGGAAAGATGAATCGAAAATATCAAGTCTATAAGATTCTACAGAAACAATTCCATAATCTTCATAATTTTGAGAATTATTTATATAATTACATCGGTCAATTCTTCCTGGACATTCAAAAAACTTAGTAATCAATCCGCCAGTTGCTTTTAAATTCTCAAAATTACAAAATGAAACATTTACTGTTGATTCATAATCATATTCAAAACCTGGTTTTTGATCTGAAATACAGTTAGAAATGTTTGTTTTTGAAAGTGATCCAAAACCTTTTTCCTGGTAAATCATTCCAATTACCGAACTATCTCCTCCATTACAAATTGATCCTTGGAGGATTGTACTGTTGATTTTGCCTTAGAAATGAATAAGTTGGCCACCTGAAGGAGTTTGACTTTCAAATGAACAGAATTTATCAATAATCATGGCAGTGTTATTAGAATTTTTAATATATACTGTACCTGGACCTTTTGAAAAAACGTTTTTGCAAAGTAAAATCGAATAATCAGTTGTATTTTCGAATTTAACTGCTCTATCTTGAAGATTGCTGAATTTGCAGATGTATGCAAAGCATTTGTTATCTGTTGCTGTGACTTGTTGTTGAAGATCACCTGTAACAACTGAAGAAGGAGGATTAATTCCCTCATAATAAAGATGCCAAATACTATTTGTAACTTCTTCACAATGAACATATTTCCTCAAAACAATTAATTTGAACTTGGGTTTGAGTCAAAAAGGCTCGCTATTTAAATTTAAAAAGGAGGGGGGTAACACCATGGTGAACTTCCTTCCTAGAATTCAAACTTAATTTTCCTCCCTTTTAATGAAATTAAAAGAACTTTGGAGGAATATATATATACATGTTTAACTACTAACTTTGCAAAAAGTCCATTTGCATATAATATAATGCTTATATTTAGTAAAATTGAATGAGAAACTTCTTAAGAACTTCGTCTTATTCGACTAAATTTACATTCCCTAGCCCATGATTGGCCAGCGAACATATGTCGATTGCATTATAACAGAGTTCTTTCGAGATACGTCATTCAATGAGAGATCTCGAAAGGACTCTGTTATATTTGTGTAAAAACGCAATTTGCGACCTTAAACAGGCTAGAGAGAAGTAAAATAGTGCATGTAAATTAATCAAGAGAAGAGCAATGTTTATGCAGTCTATATGCTATGGAATAGCACATATACTGCATAAGCATTGCGCTTCTTATCTGCAGACCACTCATGAAAGACCAAATTGAGATTTAACGCAGAAATCATTTGCTGATAAGGATAGTGCAGCATCAAATATTGGCAGGATCATGCTATGCACAGTATCCTTATCAGCAAATGAATAGCTGATGATGGTCATCCATGAGAAATGACACCTTTGAGCTTTGAAAAATATTTTTTTTATAATAATAATATTTTATTAATATTAAAATGTTGTATTTAATTTAATTCAGTTCATGTTTCAGAGTTAAATTTTTTATCCACTCAATTTTTTGATACCCCCCTTCTCAATTCAAATTTACGCCAAAATCACAAAAAATATTATTTCATATAGAATTATATTATTTTAAACATTTTTATTCATACATCAAAATTGAAAGGTTATGGATTTTAAACATTTGATTTTTAGAATTTCTTGAGAATATGAAGAAAAATATTTGGTATTAACATTCCACATTTATGGGTTCAATCATTCTACTATATGTGGAGAATATTTTGTCGAAATTATTAGTAAGATTGGTTGTTTAGCATTAGAACAATTTTAAATATTCGAATTCTCTTACAAAAGAAGAATCCATATATATTGTATTCAGATATTTATAGTTTATACAAAGATACATTGTCAACGTTGAAAGAGAATTTAATTCTTATCAAAATCATCTACATTAAATACGTAACAACTTCATAATATCAGAGAATTAACTGTAATAGTGAAACACTAATAGTGGGATTTTATCTCTAAAATTTTTTTTCAAAAAAATGACAGAAAAAAAAACGTTTTGAGAATTCTGTTTTTGTGTTTTAGAAATTTTCTCACCTTTTTACCGATTGATATCCTTACATTAAAGATCAGAATTGAAGTCTTTATTATATTGGTTTAAGTACAGTCATATCAATTATAATGTACAATCATGTGGAGTATATCCATCATAATTTAATTAGAAACAAGTTAATTAAAATTTCGACATGTCACGCTTAATCATCCATTATAATTGATTAAAATATTCATAAACTTATTCTTCTGATGAATGAATATATCAAGTTCTTGGACTTTATTAGATAAAAATGGACGAGAAGATTTGTTTGTTAATGGTATACTTAAGCCTGTATGGCATAGTCTTCAATCTTTAAACAAAATATCAAGTCTATTATTATCAGTATCAATTAATCCAAAAGAATCTCCATTATCTTGAGAATTATTTATATAATTACATCGGTCAATTCTTCCTGAACACATCCAAAACTGAGTGATAACTGAGGTAATTGCTTTTAAATTCTCAAAATTACAAAATGAAATATTTGCTGTTGATTTAAGGCTCTAGTCCCACATGATTGTTGTATATAGTTAGAACGAGTGGATAATGAGGAGTAAAAATATACCATTAGATTGTTTATACATCCACCTTGTAAGAAATTTAAATAATATCTGATTCGAAATTTAACTATATTATAGTTTGAAATATGATATATGTTAACTTTTCTATTTGATATATGACAAATAAAGATTTTTTGATAATAGAAAATTTGAATTTTATAATTATAGATTTTGAAGCATAATGATATCATAAATGAATAAACATGTGGTTAATTATAACATTTTTAAATGATTGGATTAGCTTCTTACTTTGGGATTAAGTTATTGAAAGTAAATAAATGTCACTTTTATTAAAATCAAGTTTAAGGTTTAAATTATATTTATAAAATCGATTTGATTCAACATATTGGAAAGGAATTTTTTGGTCATTTCTTTTGGAAATTAATAAATTATAACTTATACTATTACGTCATAAAATTTGTTCAAATTTTTATAATGCTTAAGGTAATGAAATTGTTATTCAAAAATATTCCAACTCTATCGTCAAAAATCCTCTCAATTTGGAAAAAAATATCAAAAATTACAATCTTGCAAACCTAATTCCTCAATATATCTTTCACAGCTGGGTATACTGATAGTGTCGATAGAAACTATATAATTTTTCTAACAAAGTGACAGAGCGGAACTAAAAGTTTTTTCTTATACGTTGAGATATCATTCAATTTTTTGAATGTACTTTTGAAAAATTGAATACATACTTGTCAAAAAAAACGTTTTGACCCACAATCTCAACTATAATATAATAGTTCATATTAAATTATATTCATATCAGATAATAATGAACATCACTAGCATGCTAACAAAGTGACAGAGCGGAACTAAAAGTTTTTTCTTCTTGGTCAAAATATGTCAATTTTTTTCAGGTGGTAATTTTATATACTTTGGTAAAAATCGAAAGAAGCTAATGCTATTCGATGTTTAGATATATCTAAAGAATATGTAGTAACATGTTTATTAATAATAAAATTATGGATCACTTATTATTAGATTTTGTCAAAAAGTAACTTTTTCATTTTTCTTTGTTGAAAAAATAACTCAATCAGGGAGAAGTAAAAGTCATGTTTACTAATATAAATGATATACTATACTAATATCCTACAACATGACAGAGTCCTATTGTTTATAGGACGAATTATGTCGTTCAAAGTTGATAATAGTGAAATTTACAAATAACATTCTAGCAATGCTACACCCTACATCATAATATAATAATATAGCTTATATTACACTAATATAATATCTTTAATTATAAGTCATGAAAACTCTTATTGACAGATATATTCAATTTTAAAAATTGAAAGGGTGTTAAGGGTGCACCCGCATGTACGTTTATTTGAGAGGAGGAGGATTACCCTCTCAATTTTGAACGCTTCGTTAACGCAATATCTCGATGAATATTGTATTAAAATTGAATTTGCCCATACCAATATATCTGATACAATATCCTTAAGTTTTACTAAAAAGAATTTTTTAAAATCCCTGCAGATTCGGGGATTTTTAAATTTTTTGATTTTTTTCGCAAATTTTTCGAAAAAAAAAATATTTTCAGAAGAGCCTTAACGGCTAAGTTTTATGTTTAATGTTGAGTATCAAAAAGAATGGGCGTCTGATATAGCCATCATATATCCCAGAAGCAAATAAAAATTCTGACTTTTTAAGCATAAAAAATGAAATTTTATTTTTTGCAAAAAACAGGCCACCCGGATGTACGTTTATTTGAGAGGAGGAGGATTAAATTTTTGAAAGCAGTAAAATTTGTAAATATACTAGTTATATAATAATATGTATTATTTTAAAAAATAAAAAATTAAAGCACGTTAAAATCTTTTTTGATGAATTTTTACAAAAGCTACTTAGGATTATGCAAAATATTAGTAATTAAACATAAATTTCAAATCAGATTTTACTTATGATAAATATTTTAAATTTCCGAAAATTAAGTTCAGATCGACTCTATACGTAGTAATTACTAAATAAGGTGCCAAAAACCTATTAAACAGTATCAAAACTATCAAGATTGTAATGTTTTTGAAGAAAAATTTATAGAATTATGGACTTCAAACAGATATTATGTAAATAAAAATAATATAATGGATTTGTTTATTCGTATAATAGCAGCAATAAGTCGATTATTCACTTCTACTTCTGAGATTTGAATTTAATTTCGACAGAAAAAGAGATTCAAGAGGAAAATACTAGGGAATACAAACTGCCACCATGACAGGATTATTATGGAGCCAAGTTGTACTTTTTGATATTTTTAGAGTTTTCCTACCTATTTAGGTACCAAGTTATTGCTTAAAAATTAAGGTTCTAAATTCTGAAGTTTACATGATCCTCCCGGGCGCACCCTTAATAGATTCATAACAAGAACCTGTATATTGGTCTGAAATACAGTTAGAAATGTTTGTTTTTGAAAGTGATACAAAACCATTTGTCTGGAAAATCATACAATATACTGAACTATTTCCTCCGTTACAAATTGATCCTTGGAGGATTGTACTGTTGATTTTGCCGTTGAAATAAGTAAAATGGCCAGAGGAAGGATTTTGACTTTCAAATGAACAGAATTTATCAATAATAATGGCAGCATTACTTTGACTAGATATAGATACTGTACCAGGTCCTTGTGAAAAAACGTTTTCGCAAAGTAAAATCGAGTAATCTTCTGCATCTGAGAATTTAACTGCTCTATCTTGAAGATAGATGAATTTGCAGATGTATGCAAAGCATTTGTTATCTGTTGCTGTGACTTGTTGTTGAAGATCACCTGTAACAACTGAAGAAGGAGGATTAATTCCCTCATAATAAAGACGCCAAATACTACTTGAAACTTCTTCACCATGAACATATTTCCTTAAAAATGTTAATTTGAACTTTGGTGTGAGTCAAAAAGACTCGCTGATTAAATTTTAAAAAGCAGGGGGTAACACCATGGTGAACTTCCTTCCTATATCCAAATTGAGATCGGTAAAAATGAAATGAAATCATAAAGGATATTTGTAAATCAGAGTATGATGATGAATTAAAAATGATGGGGGGTAACACCATTGCGAATAACTTAACTTTCTATACCATCAGGAAGATGGATGTTTTTTGGGATAGAATATTATTTATAATGTGAAAACATGTGGGAATACCTATTTTAAAAAAACATTCGACTTCTAACTTATTAGAATAGATTGCAAATGCATTAGAAATTGAGTTATTTAGTAACAAAGAAAAGAAGAGTTTTTCTTATCATTAATTAATTAGAAATATTTGTTTGGTGTCTTGCATGCAGGTGTAACTGGACGAAGTTCATCTGGTGTAGTTGATTCTTCGGGTGGATTAACAAATTTGAATGAACATGTAAGGTTTTCATCAATAATTAAAATAGCACCTTTGTTACCGAATTCGTTGCAGTAATTTGGTGCACTAAAGACTGTAACAACGGTTTGCTTAGGATAGAATGGGAATTCAAAACCATCATTAACAACTTGATGTGCACGGCAAATTAAGTCAAAGTCGTTTTGTTCAAGGAAGTTGTTTGCAACATCCGGACCAAATGTGTATGATATGCCGCGGTCGCTTTCTTGGTAGCCCATAGTATCGTTTTTAGGATCCGCCCAAAGCAAATCAGCAAGTGGACCGTTCTCTGGAACTTCTAATGGACGTTGTAGACTTTCGATCTCGCTAAGTTTGCTGATGTCCTTAGAAAGACCACCATGAACACAGAAGATACGATCGGAAATGATAGCGGCGATAGGAAGATATGAAAAAACTTCATTAAACTCTTGCCAGATGTCAGTATTTGGGAAGTAATAATCGCATTCGTCTTTGAAACCGTATAATGATGAGATATCTGGTGTTTCGTGATTTCCACGAAGAAGATAGATTGTATTAGGATATTTACACTTCAGACAGAGAAGCATGGTAAATGTAGCAACTGAATTGATTCCACGATCAACATAGTCACCCATAAATAGGTATGTTGTATTTTTGACATCTCCGCCAAGTTGTAAAAACTTCATGAGATCGGAGAATTGTCCGTGAACATCACCGCAAACCGAAATAGGAGCGTTAATGCGAAGAAGGGTTGGATCTTTTTTCAGAACTGGAATAGCCATTTTGCAAAGCTTCTGCAAATCAGCTAATTCAAGCTGAACATATGTGTTTGAAGAATCTTTGTTATCCCAAAGGAATTTTATTATTCTATCAAGAAAATCATTGTTCTTCTCCATCTTGAAACTAAAAAAAACGGTTCTATATTTTTTAATAATTTGTAATTATTTAAGATATGGTATGTATAATTAAAAGGAAATGTAGCGGGATCATGATTTCTGAGGAAGTGTAAACCAATATAAAAGTGACTTTTCTGAAAAAATCTTTCTTGGTCATTAGCAATCAGATATCAAACCTCAATAGATATTGGTACTGCTTTATTGGAGTGTGTTCCAGTGGTTAAAACGCTGTAAATATTATTTAATCGAATAAATTTGCAAAAAATACTCGAAAGTTCTGTAATTTCAAGATGAATTTGTACTCGTCTTTTCCATCTGTAATAGTTTTTGAGTACCAAAAACTCTATTTGAGATTGTTTCATCATGAATGTCATTACATCACACCTGTAACCCAAAATTTGATAGAATTTACGGGCGTATGTCTGACAATCGCCACTTTCTGAATTCTAATGAATTTGTTATCCGTTCGACATTGATATGCTATGGTTTATGCCATTTCTAATCACAACAAGCTTATAATATTCGATTTCTTGAAATTGAAATTCGAGATATTCGCGCAATTTAATCGAATAGTTTAAACTACAGCATATAATAAGAACGAATCAACATTATTCTATATGTAGAACATGAAGATATAATAAACAACAATGGTTGTGGGTTCAAACTTCATCCCGAAATTTGACATTTTTCAGAATATCTTTTCATCATCGACTTCCGATTATGAAGAGAAACGATTTATATTTATAGAGGGTATATTTGTACTAATTGCATAAGTCAGAATCAGAATTAAAATTCGAACCTTTTGCATTGATGAATCAACGAATTGCATTTTTAATTGAAAGCAGTCAGCATGCATCAACAGTTCGAACATTACTGGTTGGCGATAAATCAAGTATCCATTAGGTTGTTTATCTTGTTTTTGAACCTTATGCAGTCCAAAGTAGTATATGAGAGCGGGTTGTGTGACTTTTTTTGTAAACGTAAGAATTCATACAATATAGAACGATTTTGTATCATTTTTTTTAACATATGAAGTAAAAAATGTATGATTCTTACGGTTTTTATTCTTACGTTTTTGAATAAATCAAGATTTAAAATGATACAAAATTGTAAGACATTTACACTCAGCCCAAACATAATGAAATAAAAAATAAACGCATTAAAAGATTAACATTAATTTTAAAATAATTTATTTCATCTTTTATAAAAGAAGCTATATATAGATGATGTCAGATATTCCGCGATTAATTAAACATTGTTTAAATCCTGAATGGAATCAATGGAGTCATAATCAAAGACCTCATAAACGAGAAAAAGAAATTAGAAACTAATGATTATTTGAATTTATGAAATCAATTATTTGATTCATTCTTTCTTCAATCTCTTCTATTCTTTTTGTTAAATCATCTATTTTCATTAATGAGGTGATTCTTGATTGAGGAATAGATTTCAAACTAATCACCCCTTTTATTTTTGAAATTTTGAATCCATCAACTTTAAACATTTTATTCAATTTACATGTTGTCAATTCTTCAAATAATTTTTTATTATTAGCATAATAGTCATTAAATTCTTCAACAGATGAAAAAATTTTTATTTCAGTAATTGGTTTAACAACGTTTATTTTTTGTTGAACATTTTCACTTTCATTTATTTCTTCCTCCTCTGTTTCATTTATTTTTAAAATCGGTTTCATTTATCATTAAATAAAAATTAGAATATAAGTGATGAAATATATTTTTTAATTAATATTAAATCAGAAATGGCGGCAGGATTCTTTAAAAAATTATGGGATGGAATTAAGAAAGCTGCAGGTTGGGTTTATAAAAAGATTATTAAACCTGTTGCAAACTTTTTGGCACCAGTAGCGAAAACGGCAGGAACTATCATAGGTGGAGTATTAGGTACTAAAGCAGGTAATCCGGCGATGGGAGCACAAGCAGGTAACGCAGTTGGTGGAATAGCTGAAGGAATACTTAATAAAATAGGAGGTAGATAGTTGAAAAATAAATATTATTTTTATCTTAGTATCGGTTGTAGTCTTTGATAAACTTTTTCTCCTTTATTTAAAATTTCTCTTATTGGGGCAGCTTTTGGTGTAATTGATTCAGCAACGTCACTAATTGCTTCTTTATTCTTAAATATCCAATTTGCTCCTTTCTTCATTGTTTCCCAAACTTTATGCGCTCCTCTTTTTACTCTATCCCACAGTTTCTTAAATATACCTGCAGCCATAGTTGATTATTTCATCAAAATTAAAAATTCATTTTCATCTTTTAATTTTGATTTTTTATTTAATAATAAATGACGACTAACTATTTGGTGCCAAACACTAAACCGATTAATGGAAACGTGTTTCATTCATTCGAAAAGATAAATGAAATATTCACAAAGAATGATGGTAGAAGATATTATAGAGAACTTGAAAGTTCATGCTATGACTCTGATACTCCATATTTTGATGATAAACAAACTCATTTAAGAATTACAAATCCAGCTCATGATGTGAACCAATTAGGTGACACATATATTAAACGCAAAGTTAAAGCAACTCTAGTTTCAAATAAAGCTTTCACATGCGATGCCACTTTTAAATGCATGCGTTTATTCGTTGGTTACAAATCATCAAATCAAAGCTTTAAACAATTAGAAGTAGAAACTGAAAGAGGTGATGCCGGTTATCTTCAGATGGATTGCGCCCGTGAATCTTTCGCATTTGCAACATATAAACCAAAATCAGAAAGGAAAGTTAAAAAGTTTGTTCATTCGTTATATAATAATGTTCAAAAATATGATAACTCAGTATGTGGTAAATATATTGACCCTTCAGAAGTTTTCAAGAGAGCAAATGAAGAAGTTGATGTCACTTTTGATATGATTATTCCGGTAAATGATTTGTTAGCATTTCAGGCGTTCGATGATTATCCTAAATCATTTGGTGAAATCATTCTTAAATATTATGTTTTCAGGGATACTTTAGTATTTTGTCAGGTTGACCCGTTAAGAGTTGCTGATTTACAAAATTACGTTTATGAAAAGATAACTGATGAAAATTATGAAAAGATTATGAATCATGTTTATAAATATGATCGCAAATTCCAACAAATCGGACTTCCTGCCAAATTAATTACAGGCTTAGCTGCTACATCTGCTGACGCAACAGTTGATGACGTTATTATTTCATGCATAAAGATGGAAGTTTTAGAGGATAAATGCATTACACCAGGATACGGTTTAATTGAAGAATCAGTTAAAGCAATACCACGTTTATTTAATAAGGAAGATCCATTCATGATTCCAGCTCAACATATTGACGTTCGTTCACTAAATGGAGGTTGCATCACTCCTGAAGGTATTAGCTCAGATTTCTCATACGCTCTTCATAATGTTACAGATGTTGTGTTAACATTTCCGAAGAATGCAATGCAAAGAACAGTTTTAGAAAATCCAATGCTTCGAGGTCTTCAGGTCACTATAGATTCCAGAAACTTCCCCGATCAAGCGATGACCACAGTGGGCGACATATTCTTTACACGTATGCTTCAAGCTTCTGATTTAGATGGAGTGAATGAATGCACGGAAGAATACGAGGACTCATTAACTAGACCACTGAATGATGATGATGGCAAGCCATTAGCTAGAACATGGAAAGACCAAACTTCATTCTTATGCACTATTCCAGTTCAACGTGATGGAGCGGGTATATTCTTTGATGGATTAGAAACTTTCAACTCACAAGTTACAGTACAAGTGAAAGCTTATCCAATCATTCAGGGTGAAAATGACACTTACTGTTCAAAGGTGATGGGGATGTTGACTCATCTTCGTTCATTGTTGGGGATATTAAATTTTGAAAAAGATGTTGGGGATGTTTTGTATTCTGACACTGGTTCCAATTTCATTTTAATCAAATGTGATAAAGTTAATACCCCAATGAGATTTTCACATCAAACATTAGACCCTAACTCTTACCCATCAATACAAAACATTTTATCCATCAACTTAAACACATTTTCTTTATCATATCCGTTTCAATTATCCGGGAATTCATTTATTCTTCATTCAAAAGATTTATCAAATATTAAATTTAGAATAACTGACCTATTTGATTGTGATTTAGAATTCATGAATGAAATATTATGGCAATTTCAAATAGAAAAAATAGCTGATGAGATAACAGATTAAATATTTATTTTTAAATTATAATAAATGATTAAACAACAGCAACCACAACAACTTAAGGCACAAAGCACCCAGATCCCTCAGACCATTACATACGCCATATATGCATATAATTCAAAGACGGCAGAACAAACGCAAAGGTTGAAATATGGAGATTTGGAGATAGTATTGAAAAATGAACATTTCGAATTCGTTTGCAAAGGTGGTGCAGTGATATCAAATATAAAAGAAATTTTATTTATGAATTCTAAAATTAAAGGTATAACGGATGATATAACATCAATTCCACCAGAAGAACAAAGATATTACGCATTAAATGCATTTCCTAAAGTTTTGAAGATTGGAAGATTTAATTTAAATGAGGAATTCATAAAAGGTTTCCTTAATGACATAATGAAGAAGGCAGATAAGGAATATGTTAATAGTGAATTAATGAAGAAAGCAAATAAGGAATATGTGGATAGTGAGTTAATGAAGAAAGCGGATAAGGAATATGTGGATAGTGAGTTAGAGAAGAAAGCAGATAAGGAATATGTGGCTAGTGAGTTAATGAAGAAAGCAGATAAGGAATATGTGGATGAAAAAGATAATGAAATTAAAGAAAGGGTTGAATGGTATCATGAATGGACATCAAAGATTTTTAAAACTAAAGCTGATACAGGATGGGTTTCAGGATGTTTAGACCTTAAAGCGGATAAAACTTATGTTAATGATGAGTTAGAGAAGAAAGCGGATAAGGAATATGTTAATAGTGAATTAATGAAGAAAGCAGATAAGGAATATGTTGATGAAAAAGATAATGAAATTAAAGAAAGGGTTAAATGGTATCATGAATGGACATCAAAGATTTTTAAAACTAAAGCTGATACAGGATGGGTTTCAGGATGTTTAGACCTTAAAGCAGATAAAACATATGTTAACGATGAGTTAGAGAAGAAGGCAGATAAGGAATGTGTTAATGAAATATACCAAAGTTTGATAGGAACAACTAAAAATATTGAAACTATTGTTGGTGACTTTTCTGTCAATGAAGAAAATAAATATTTTAGATGGCAATTGGTACAGTCCTTAAAAAATGGTGCACGGTGTAAACTCATTCCGAAAAATAACAATGAAATGTATGTAAGTTATAAAAAGAATGATAGCACACAAGTTAAAGTTCCATTAGACAACAACTGTTACTTAAACTTATATGGAGACGAACAAAAGAAATATTTAAGAGTTTATGAAATGGCAGATATGACATTGCCTGACCCAGCTCCAGCACCATATTATTATGACTATGGAGATGACGAGAGAGCACCACATGTAGATGAACAAAAGTTAACATTATATTTAGATTATTATAGATATAAAAGATATAATGCAATAGAAAAAACGAGAATAGTATATTATAGGGTGTCCAAAGGTGTGTTTAGCACAAACCTGAATACTGCGAATAGAAATAAACAAGTTACATATATATAAAGTTTATTTAAATATAATCACCATTGGATTCAATCACGCGTTCGCAGCGATCGATCCAGGCTTGAAAGACACGCTTTAAATCATCATGAGAAAATTGCTCAAATTGCTCTCTTACAAAATTTTCAAGATCATCTGGACTCGCGAATTCGCGTCCTTCAGCTCTCTTTTTTAGCGTGCCGAATAAATAAAAGTCAGAGGGTGCAATATCAGGTGAATAAATTGGGTTTGGAACAACTTTGACATTGTTTTCCACCAAGTAATTCATTACCTTATGACTTTTGTGAACTCTTGAATTATCAAAATGAATTGCAAACTTTTGTTTTTGTTGTTTGGATTTCTCAAACTCATCAGAATTGATAATTTGAGTAAGAACATTGTCAATTAGATACTGAGCATTCATCGTATTAGGTTTTTGAAGAATATCAATTGCGATGATGCCATTCACGCCCCAAAAAACCGACAACATCATCATTGGTGTGTCAATTTTTTTCTTCGGGAATGTTTGCGGATTTTCATCCTTCGGGATCCACATGATTTTGGCTTCTGTTGCATATTGAAACCAAGACTCGTCCCCTGTTACTAAAAAGCGAAACTTCTTGGATTGATACGCACCCAATATAGAGAGGAGCTCTTTCGAAGATTGGACTCTAGATTTTTTTTGAACTGAATTAAGGTTGTGCGGAACCCAACGTGTATACGCTAGTTTGTAGTTCAAATAATTGTGCAGATAATAACTGACTGTTGTACGTGGTATCTTTGTCATCTCCTCTATCCTTCTGAGTGATGCTCTTGGGTCTTCATCTAGCGCTTGAAGAATTGCTTTGATTTTTCTTTGATCCGGCGATTTTTTGTCAATTTTTATGATGGGCGCCTTTTTGTTCATGAAGTGATACATCCTAACATGATACGTTACAGTGGAATAGCTAAGAGCATCCATACCGAAGCATTTTACCAATGTCTCGTAGATTTTTTTACAGTCTTTGCATTTTTTTGCAAGAGCGAGGATGTTTTCTTTATGATTCATTAAAAAATGAAAAAAATCCCGCCAAAATTTCCCGCGAAACCGCCTCTTGTCTCAAAATTCATTTTATATCCCGGCATGGCGCCAAAATACAACATACTCATCATATACATATATTCATATTTTTTATTATATATTTATAATCAGCATATATCTCCTTTAATAGTCTCATATAGAGCGCTGTGCTAAACGCACCTTTGGACACCCTATATTATACAGATGACAGAAATAAATATTATAGTCAAGATTTTACCTACCCTGAAAACATAAGATTATATTATAAAAAATATTCTGACACAAACCAAAAGAAACCTGAAATAGTTGCACTATATTTTAAGTTCAAAAGAGACAATCCTATATTATCTCATATGTTTGATTTAATGAACCCAGTAGGTTCTATTTATACATCTATGGATGCAAGAGGTCCTCAAGTAATGTTTGGTGTTGGTGCATGGGAACAAATAGTCGACAGGTTTTTGTATTGTGCAAACTCTTCAAAGGAAACAGGTGGAAGTAAAACGATTTCAGGTGAAAATTTACCTGCACACAGTCACTACATAGATTTAAGTACATCTCAAGCAGGTTGGCATAAGCATAGATATTGGGATTGGTCAGGAATGACAAAAGGTAAAGGATATGATGTTATTGGAAGAGATAAAGATGGAAACCCAATATTTGATCCAAAGTTAAAATTAAAGTTACTGACAAGACAACAACTTGAAAAGTTACTGAAACCAAAACAGGAAAAAAAATGAGAAAATGAGAAAGAAAAATTTAAATTATGCAATTTTATTTTTATCATAAATGACAAAATTAATTAAGCCAACTATTTCTAAATTAATGATACCAATGAAATCATTTCGTGGAGTACTTATCCCAGGTTCTTCACAATTAGCCAGGGCAGGTGATGTGACTCAAGGTGGAACATTAGCGAATCCATTCAAATTATTAACTAAAGATGAACTTAATAAAACGATGATAAAATAACTGATAACGAAATTTTATTTCACTGCTACTAGGTTATTCAATAATGAATTATTTTTGAAGAACTGAAGGTGTCACTATGTCACTATGTGTCACTCGGTAATTTAACTTCTCTGAAAAAATGAGACAACATGACATTTTGACAACAGTCATGGAAATAAATTATTATCGTTAATGGTTACGTTAATGGTTTCAGGTTATTCAATAATGAATTATTTTTGAAGAACTGAAGGTGTCACTATGTCACTATGTGTCACTCGGTAATTTAACTTCTCTGAAAAAATGAGACAACATGACATTTTGACAACAGTCATGGAAATAAATTATTATCGTTAATGGTTACGTTAATGGTTTCAGGTTATTCAATAATGAATTATTTTTGAAGAACTGAAGGTGTCACTATGTCACTATGTGTCACTCGGTAATTTAACTTCTCTGAAAAAATGAGACAACATGACATTTTGACAACAGTCATGGAAATAAATTATTATCGTTAATGGTTACGTTAATGGTTTCAGGTTATTCAATAATGAATTATTTTTGAAGAACTGAAGGTGTCACTATGTCACTATGTGTCACTCGGTAATTTAACTTCTCTGAAAAAATGAGACAACATGACATTTTGACAACAACATAGGAGGATGGCAAAAATAAATTCCAATCATACTTTATAAAGCATTATTTACAGGTATTTCATCGTCAGTAAATGAATCCTCATTATCGTTTGGTTCAACCTGTTTATATAATCCTTTCATTTCTTCTTTCAAAACATAACACCATGTTTGTTTACCATCTATTCTTCTCTGTTTCTTATCACATTTATCTTTAATGCTCATTTGGAAATTCTTGTCTTTCATGTCTGATGGTTTGCAGAATAAAGCTTTTTTACACGTCATACCTGCACACAATTCATCATAATGTGTATTTATCCATACATCTAAAGGATTTGTTGATAATTCGATTAAATCTTGTTTGGCTTCAGTCATCGGTATGATTCGTACATTAAATGATGAAAGGTCATATTGCATAAAATACGTCAGTAAATTATCATAAAATTCCTTAGTGCATGAATTCATCAAATTCTTGAAGTAATCAAATTGACCCTTGAATTTACCATTAACTCTTAAAACTACATATCTTCTGTCTCCAACTTCAATTTTGACAGGGTAAACGTTATTAGTTACGAAAATGAAATTGGCAACGTTTTGTGCTGTTCTTCTGGGTTGATTCTTTTCATTAATTCTTATCTCATTATCCGTAATAATTGATTTCAAAGCGTTGAAGTTTGCGAGTCTATCTTCACCAACATTCTTGAGTTCATTAAGTACAAGAAACATTTTATTCTCAACTACTGAATTGAAATTACCCGTTAGCTCACCTATTTCGGTAATGTTTTTGCATGAATAACCAGCGAGAAGTTCAGAAATAATGTCTGTAAATCTGTTTTTACCTGTTCCCTGAAGTCCTTTCAAAATAATTGCTGTTTCATTCTTGATTCCAGGATGTTGAATCATTGATGCAATCCAGCCGAGAAGGTATTTATACACTTCATCGTTATTATCACAAATGACTTCTTTAATGAAATTCATAAACATCTCAATTTTTGAGTAATCAAGCTTTTCAAGAATGTTGTATTTATAACCCTGAAACGTTGAGAAAACATCGGGGGAATCAGATTTAAAGCAAACACCCTTAACGGTTAATGAAGACTTAATAGTACATCCCATGCTGTTATGGTTTTACCTTTTCTTTAAATAATTTAATCATTTTAAGTGACTCTTTCATGTTTGATTGAAGAACGAATGATATTTGATTCATTTTGTCGTGGATATTATAGTCCTTTTGAATGAAATATTTGTTTCCACAATCTACAAAACGGATTCCACGTGATAAATCCTCAATTACTTCAGAACTGTTTTTATACTGATGATTTTCAGCCTTGCGTCTAATATCTGTTATCAAAAACGAGTCGTCAAGTTTGATGTCAAATGTTATTTTTGGCTTACGTAATAAAGGCAAAACATATTCATCATAATATTCCTTTTGATATAGTTTTAGAATCTTCACCAAAACAAATGGAGAAGTCATTAAATGTGCATATCTACTACGTGCTTTTTCAAAATTACTTTTTGCATTTTCAGTTAAACTGCAGAAGTTATAAACGTTATCGTATGCTTCATTAATTAAATGATTAGGTAACGAATTAATTGCTTGAAACAGTGTGAATAATGTTATTTCTTTTTCTAAATTCATGTTTCCACCATCATTATGTACTTCAAAATCACAGATGCCATCAACTATGCTCTGAGCTAGTTTATCGTCAATGTTTACATCTTTGTTTTCATTCATGATATTCTTTATTTCTTCATTCTTCTGTTCAACTCTTACCTTAATATTCAAATCATTTAATATATCATTCACTGTTCTGGTTAATGTTGAATCATAACTTCCACGAATGAATGAGTATGTATTGATTGGTTCTGTTGCATTCTTGCGAACTCTTGAATCAGCCATAACCACTAATGAACGTTTTGAATCATCAATAGAAGTCATTATGTCAATATCATAATCATTGCAGGAATAACATTTAATCATTCTGTTCGAAACTGCATAGAAGAAATTAGTGTTGCAATAAATGTGAAGACCTCCTGAAGCGGTTTTAACGATAACATCTTTATCTGAAAGTTTTGATAAAATGTCTTTTCTAACTGTTTCTTTAAGTTCATCATTGTACGATTTATTGATATCAACATCTATAATCGTTAAATTCGAAATTTTATTTACTAATAAAGCCATACCAGTTTTCCTTCCTCTTCCTCCATCGTATTTGAGGTAGTTATGTAAATCAATCTTGTTTTCACCAATTCTTTCGTTGAGGGTTTTAGTTTCTGCCACAACTAATTCCTCAACTAATGAATCAATAACTTTTTCATCAACTAATGAATCAACTTTTTCATCAACTAATGAATCAACTAATTCCTCAACTAATGAATCAATAACTTTTTCATCAGAAACAATATAGTTGCTGTTGTTGTTTGTTGCTGTCATTTATATAGAAATAAAAAAATAAAAATAATTTTAAAACTAACTTTATTTTTGACTGTTGTCAAAATGTCATGTTGTCTCATTTTTTCAGAGAAGTTAAATTACCGAGTGACACATAGTGACATAGTGACACCTTCAGTTCTTCAAAAATAATTCATAAGTGCCTTCCTCATTAATCCCCCATGTTGTCAAAATGTCATGTTGTCTCATTTTTTCAGAGAAGTTAAATTACCGAGTGACACATAGTGACATAGTGACACCTTCAGTTCTTCAAAAATAATTCATAAGTGCCTTCCTCATTAATCCCCCATGTTGTCAAAATGTCATGTTGTCTCATTTTTTCAGAGAAGTTAAATTACCGAGTGACACATAGTGACATAGTGACACCTTCAGTTCTTCAAAAATAATTCATTAGATAGAAAAATAACGCTAATTTTATTTTTATATCTTTTTTTTGTTTTGTATGTAAAGACAGTAATGACAAACATTGAGTTTGAAACAGTTAGAAAGATAGACAATGACACCAAAGTGGTTAGAATAGGTGATTTAAACGTAAGATACTCAAAGAAATACAACAAATATTCTTTGTCAGACATTATATCTCCATCTGAAAAGAAAACAAACGACTGGGTTAGAAATGCTTCAACTCAGAAAATTTTGACAAGAAATCCTGAGCTTATGATATCAGTAACATTTCATGGAACAAGAGCATATCTTATAGACAAAAGTCTTATACCAATAGTTTTGTTATGGATTGACCCAGTTGTTGGATATAACTTCATAACATATGGTTCATTCGATACGGAACGTTGCAGTGAAGGCTTACTATACATCGTTCAGAAACCGAAGGACTTCAACACAAAGAGATATAAGATAGGAAGGACATATAATATAACTCAAAGATATGACAGTACAGTCAATAGAGTCAAGGTTGTGTTCGTTAATGATATGAGAGCTGCTGAAACAGAACTGCTTGAAGTTTTTGAGAAAATGTATGGTGCTCCCATAAAAGGTAAAGAAACGTTTGAAGTAGATGAGATAGATAAAGCTATAAAATTATTTGACGAAGTTGCTGAAAAATACATGTAAAACGTTTGTGAAAAATTAGGTGAGATCTCACCTCTTCACCTAAAAATTATTTTTATTGAATTCAGCACAAAAATAATTAATAAATACCATCCTCTCATGTTGTTGTCAAAATGTCATGTTGTCTCATTTTTTCAGAGAAGTTAAATTACCTGGTAGCACCGAAAAAATTAAATTTGGATTGAGTTTAAAAATTCATCTTTATTAAATTCATCTCTTCCAATCAATTTATTTATTCTATTAAATTCTTTTATTTTTGCTTCACTCAGTTTAAGGATTGAACGGTAAGTTTTTTAATTTTTCGATTATTTCTTTATCGTTTTCAACCCCACCGCATTGCTGCTTCTTTTTGCAATAGCATATTTTTGATTTAATTCTGTTTAGTTTCTTTTTATATTCATCGTCTGGACTCTTGGCTGCTTCGTTGTCACCCATTTCTTACGAAATAAAAAAAAATTAAATATTATTTAAATATAATGGAGTAATAAAATAAATCGGAATTTCTATTAATTTATTGTCAACTTCAACTAATGCATTGCCGTTAATATATCTAACAAATTCAGCTATTGTGTCAAATCTTCGTCTTCTTTTTGTCATTGATTTATTAGTTTTTCCATAATCGAGATGAATCAAAACTTTATCCCCTTGTTTAAAATTCATGAGCCCCGAATTAATTTGTTCACGTTTAACATCATTCAACCTTTCCATTTGCTTTCTAATATATTTCCATTCTTTTGAAATATCATTTTTCATTTCCACTGGTTTCATGTTTATAGTTCTATGCCATGTATTATTGTAATAATATACTAACTGTTGTATGATGGAGTCATGATTTCCATCCCAGTATATCTGACCGTTAACCCCTAACGCATCTCTAAGAGTTCTCATTACCGCATCAACTATTTTATTATGAAACGTATATGGAGAAGATGAGAAGTAAAAATTAATTTGTGGGAAATAATGAATCATAGTTGCCTGAAATCCTTTATCACTATCACCCCTGATATTATCTACTCTTTCATGATCTAGTAAGTATTGAATAGCTCTTCTTGTTTCCTGTTCTGTTTTCCCTTTCACCGGAATGCAATATAAATATCTAGTGTTAATGTTAATGGCAAATAAATAAGTAACGTTTCCTTTTGAATATTCCAGATGATCGATTTCGTATGAATATGGATATGGAGCAAATGAAGGGCGACTAAATTTTTCCTTTAACGGTTGAATTTTCGGGTCAGTTGGTTTATTTAATATCTTGAAACCCTTTTTAAAATCTTTTTGCTTCTTTAATGTTTGAAATGGATATAATAAAGTGAATGATGAAGGATTAACTGAAGGAGGAGGTGGTTTTGGTATTGCAGGCACTGTCGTTGGAGGTTTTGGTGTTGCAGGTACTGTCATTGGAGGTTTTGGTGTTGCAAGTGGTTTAATTTTATCTGCTTTGATTTTGGAATTCATTCCCTCCTTCATTAATTCTGGATGTATTCTATTCATTTGTTTTAAATATGCTGTATATAAAGGTTTGATATACTTTCCCGCTTCGAGTTTATGTTGAAGGATGAATTCCAAAAGTTGATCTTCATTTAAAAGTCGGGCTGAATATGGTTTAACTAATGAATCATAAATTAAAGCTTGTGCATCATTTATGGTCTGAAGGACTTGGACGTTTTGTTCCTTTTGCTTTTGCTTTTCCTTTTGCGGCTCAGGATTATATAATTTATATAATTCATCAATATCTTCTTCTGTTAATACTTCATTTTTGAAATCTTTCAACCGTTTAAGTTGTGATTTAGTTTTTCCCTTTGAATATTCATTATTTTTAATTTTGTCTTTAATTTCAGAAATTATTTTATCATGATATTTCAAAAATTCATTATCATAATATGAATCATAATATTCCATATCATCATCCGTTATATTTTCATTATGTTTTTGGAGATATGATTTAAAATCATTATAACTAAGAAAATTTTGATTAAATATTAAATTATCAATTAAAATTTTTAAATCTGTGTCATTCATTTATATAAAAATAAAATAAATGTTTAAGGGTGCCCATCATTCAACGGTTCCTTTTGTCTCTTCTGTGGCATTTCATTAAAAATAAAATTTTAAATTGTATTAAATAAATGGCATACAACATCCATTTTCACAACATACAGCCTTAGTGTGTGCTCCTGTTAATGCAGTCTTACCAATTGTTAAGCGAGTCATTGACCCGCTTTTAAGTTGTAAATTAATATTTTGACCATCAAATATCACTTTATCATTTATTATATCCAAATATTTTTTAGGTGTTAATTGTTTATTTTGTCGTAAACTAACACCTTTCATTTTTTGTGCAATCTTTTTAAAATCACTTCCATCAATTGAACCGTTGAATGATGTATAACACTTGGGGCATAAAGCAACCATGTTATCACCTTGTTTCTCAATTGCTAAACCCAATAACTTCTTCTCATGTGCTTTTTCTTCAGCTTTATTCTTTAATTTAGGTTTAAATTTCTCATCAAAACAGAAGAAATCAAATGGTGCGAATTTGTAAATGTTTTTATCATAAAATTGTTTATCGGTAACAATTGCTTGAAATGCTTGAGTGTTAGGAAGATTTGGGTCGCCAGCGATTGCCCAATAAGATGAATCAGTATCACCCTCAATGAAATGAAAACGATTAACATCCATGCATTTATACATAAAATCATAAATGAAAACCAAATACCAGTATTTAGCATTATCTAAAGTGAAGAATACCTCTTGTAAACATGTTCACATCTATAAAATCTATCTTTGAGCATCATTTGATACGTATCTTCACCTATTTCTCTTATGTTTTTAAACTTATTTGACATACATGCAACGCGTGCCTTCTGTGCATTCATTATTTTAGTCTTTGCGTAATTTTGTGTATTCATTGCATCGTAACCATATGATCCATTAAGCGAAATCTTGCAAAATAAACTTTTTCCTTTATTTCCTTCTAATTCAGCCTTTTGTCTTTCGTTCATAAATTTGTTCGCAAATTCATTAAAACAAGTGTTTTTAGTAAATGTTAAAATTGATTGAATATCATCAATGATAAAATGAAATCTGTCTATTAGATACCAAAGATAATAAGAAGAAAATGGTTGATATTGGTTGTGTGTTGATGCTAACTGAGTTAATTTTCTCTGTTTCTGGTCAACTGGTAGATTGTTTGATTTCATGTAATTATACATAAAACTGCCAATTGTTTTTTCATCTGTGATAATATCTAAGTTTCTTATTATCGGTAAAAAGTTTATGTAATCATTAATGTATTTTTCATCAATGTGACCCTTTACTTCAGCCACGAATAAAGTATTTTTCTTCTTAATTATTCCCAGTGCTTTTGCTTTCTTTGTTGCTGTATCACAAATGATAACACCATTCAATCTTCCCGGCATATACATTTTATGGTCAGTATATTGAATGAAATCATGAGGATTAGATGAAAATGATGAAGGATATAATGAATTAAAGTCAACACCAACGAAATGAGTCATAATGTTGGTGGTGTCCTCATTTGATACAGTTTTAGTTTCTGGATTATATGAAAGTTTATTAATGTGCGTGATTCCTTTAAGATTTACTCTATGTTGAACATTTGATAAACCACCAGTAATTCCATTACGGAGAATGTGATAAGCTTCAACTGAATCTAAAGTCATTGGTAAATTATTTTTTAATGCATAATTTCTTAAATTGATTCTTAAACGTTGAACATCTTCATCTTTATTTGATTTTACGACATTGCAATAACAACACATTAACTGACAATTTTCTTTGGTATGTGGTTTTTCATTATCGATTCTATCCAATGTTGGTTTATTTGCATATGTAAACGCTTTACCACACATTTTGCATTTAGATGAAAGGATTAAATCGTGATAGTATTGAAAATCATCCATTGAAACATTATTTTTAGTATCCCTTTCTGCTTTTTCATCTTGTTTCTTATATGATTCAATTTTATATTTCCAATACTTTTTCGTTAATTCAAAACTTGATTCTATCTCTTCCTCAGGATATTTTTCATTAGGATTAAAGTCTTTATATGCTAAAGCGTAACGAATCATTGAAGCATTCGATGATAAAGAAAGATTATGAAGCATGTCAATTTTATAAACAAATGTTTCTTCAATAATTTTATCAATTGGGTCAATCATAATTTCAACATCTTTATTGCAATAATGAATAAAATATTCTAATCTATTCTTAAAATTTTTAGCATCATTGAGATATATTTGATAATCACTATCTGATATAGTTTCTTGAGTTAATGCTGAATAAAATGAATCTTGAGTGAATGGTTCCTCTTTATATAATTCTTCTTCGTAATTCTCCCATGTGATGAATTGATAAGGGAAAAAGGATTTAACACGTGATTTATTGTTTCCGAAATCTTGAGTGAATTGGTCTAATGTCCCACCCGCTATATAATTTCTGATGTCAATAAATCTCAATTCATATGGAACGTTTGTTTTCTTTACAATGATTTGCTTAAATTGTGAAGATGAACCCAGCATTGATTTTATTTTCCATTTTGCAGTATTTAAATCATGAAGAATTAAATTTAAATCAAACTTTCCCGAATTAAAACCTATGATATTCACTTTATTGAATTCCTCATTTAGAAGTTCTTTAAATGCTTCCTTCTGTTTTTCATTTAATGTATGAGACAAAGTCCCCACCGTTTGCGACTTCAATAATTCATTGTATTGTTCAATATTTGATTCAACAACTAATGAACAGGTTGAAAATAAAAACTCAATCCAATCAGAAATAAAAGAATCACTCGAAGTTAAACAAAAATTCCTCGTATATGTTTTATCATTTAATTTAACTGTTGATGATACCATGAATGGTTTTAAGTAAGCATTCAAAGTTGCACACTCAGAAAGTTGTAATTCTTCTTTAGTCTCTAATGTTTCGAAGTCAAAAGTAATATAATATCTTGTCGGTTGATAATATTCCTGCAAATTGTGAGCTAATAACCACTGATATATCTTCTGTTTCGTAATATGTGGTGCATATGGTTGCTGTGTCTTTTGCAACTGAACGTCTTGAATTAATCTTCCATTATTTTCTTTACATTTCTCACAATGCTTTAAAAATCTTCTTTGGTTTTTCCTTTCTGGATCATCACGGATAGAATAAACTTCTTCTTTACAATATGGACAAACTTTATAGCCGGTGAGTGCTTCAACGTCTGTTATTCTGTCAGCGTGAAGTTTTCCACATGGACTCTGTGTTAATAAAATATTTACTGTTTCAAATTCTGGATCTATCATTATTGATTCCACTAATGGAAAGTCTACCTTATTTATGTCCACGTCTTCTGGTTGAGGATCACAATAATAGAAATCAATATTAACATTTAACATTCTCGCTAATCTCTCACTTTCTGATGAAATGTCAAACCCTTCATATGCATCTATTGCTTCATTTAAATAGCTTCTACGAGTTTTAGGATTAACACCATCAGGAATGTTATAGAAGCGTTTAAATAACCTTCTGCCTTCTGCTCTAATTTGATTATCATTCATTTTAGCTGTTCCGTTTTTGTTCATTTATGTAAGAACAAAATATCAAAAAATAAATAAAGTTTATTTTTATTAAAGCCCATAAAATGAATTAAGAACACATAAATTTTTATCATCTGCGATGTGACGAATACATTTTAATTTACTCAAGAATGCGTACCCTGATACATTAAATCTAATTCCTGTCTTATTTAATTTCACAACTTTGAAAAGGAATGTATGAATAGCTATAAAATGATGAGAAGATGTTTTATGGGTTGCTTCCATTTTTTCTGAAATAAATGAATAAATATAATGTTTATAAGTTTTCATATCTTTTATGTTCTTAATAACGAATGGTATAGACCTTTCAACTTCGTCTTCCTTCGGTGCTGTTCTTTCATATGAAACATTATTGGTATCTTCAATAATGAAACCACAATCACACAAAATTTTATAGGTTCCAATGGTTTCTTTTGATATTTTATCTAATAAATCAAAAACTTTATCAACACCTGTGCATTTATTTAAATAATAATTTGTGTAAATATCATGATCTTCTTTCTTAATCGTATTAGTTGCATATGTCACGTTTTTAAGAGCTTTTTTGAATTTTTCGGAATCTAAAGGTGGTGAAAGTAGGATACAGGGGTATTTTTCATTATCAATAAATTGTAACTTATGTTTACGAATAAATTTAGTACCTTCTTCTGAAAGTGTTTCGTCTATTTCACCATCTAATAAATTTTGTGTTGATTCTGAGACATAATTTTTATATCTTTCTTCATGAGATTTCTGAACTTCTGATTCTGAAGCTGGGATATTCATTAAACCCTCTACTTCATTTTCATTATATTTTTCAACTTCTCTTAATTCCTTAATTTTTTCATCTATTTCATCTCTTATTTTTTCCAGTCTTTCAATTTCATCATATTCATCATCTTTAATTCGTTCTTCATAATATTCAGGTTCTTTAGGTTTTTCTTCTTTTTTAGATGTGGGATATAAGAAATTTATAACATCATCTTTATTCATTTTTCCATCATAATCAAACTCATTTAAGAACTCCGCGAATTTTTTACAATTTCTTAAATAATATTTATCAACTTCATAACCTGCCTCCTCTAATATATCCTTTATTTCCTCGTTTGTGAATCCTAATTTTTTAACGTCGTTAGTTTTGACGCTCATTTCAAACAAAATAAAAATTCTTTATCATTATATTTATACCTCATTAATGAAAATAGATGATTTAACAAAAAGAATAGAAGAGATTGAAGAAAGAATGAATCAAATAATTGATTTCATAAATTCAAATAATCATTAGTTTCTAATTTCTTTTTCTCGTTTATGAGGTCTTTGATTATGACTCCATTGATTCCATTCAGGATTTAAACAATGTTTAATTAATCGCGGAATATCTGACATCATCTATATATAGCTTCTTTTATAAAAGATGAAATAAATTATTTTAAAATTAATGTTAATCTTTTAATGCGTTTATTTTTTATTTCATTATGTTTGGGCTGAGTGTAAATGTCTTACAATTTTGTATCATTTTAAATCTTGATTTATTCAAAAACGTAAGAATAAAAACCGTAAGAATCATACATTTTTTACTTCATATGTTAAAAAAAATGATACAAAATCGTTCTATATTGGAGGGGGGCACAAACTTGCCCAGTGAGGTGAAGTGAAAAGTGACATGTTTACATGTCAGAAATGTAGAGTGTCAGATTTGAAACAAAAAATGGATTAATTTATTATTATATGATAGAGAGATTTGGTAAGTTACTATCAAATTTGTAAGTAAGGGGAAAAAAAGTAAGAAAGAAAAAAAATTTTTTTAAAAATAAAAAGCCACTCGCTTCGCTCGCGGTTGACAAAAAGAACAAATTCGTAAAATAATTGTATGAAATTACGAAACTAAGCCACTCGCTTCGCTCGCGGCTTAAGAAAAGAACAGATTCGAAAAAAGATTGTATGAAATTACGAAACTAAACCGCGAGCGAAGCGAGCGGCTTAAGAAAAGAACAGATTCGAAAAAAGATTGTACGAAATCACGAAACTAAGCCGCGAGCGAAGCGAGCGGCTTAAGTAAACAACATATTTCAGATTATCGATACTAAAAATTTTTTTATTTTATTACATTTTTTTTTGCTTTTTTTTTAAGGGTGCACACGAGAGGATCATGTAAACTTCAGAATTTAGAACCTTATTTTCAGGCATTATCTTGGCTACCTATTTAGGCTCGAAAAGCAAAAAATATCAAAAAATACAACTTGACTCCATTCTGACCCTTTCATGGAGGTAGTTTTTATCCGCTAGTATTTTCCCTTTGAATCTCTTTACAATTCGAAATCAAATTCAAAACTCAGTAGAAGAAAGGAAGAATCGACTTACTACGGTTGTAATACGAATAAATACATATATTTAATTATTTTTATTTACATAATAATTGTTTGAAGCTCATATTCCAACAAATTTTTAAATAAAAACATTAAAATGTTGAAAATGTTCATATATTTTAATAGGCTTTTGGTACTTTATTGAGGAATTACTACATACATAGTCGAACTGAACTTGATATTTTGAAATTTAAATTATTTATCAAAATTAAAATTTAACTTGAAATTTATAATTATTTAGTCATATTTTGCATAATTCTAAGTAGATTTTGTAAAAAATCAAGAAAGAAAAATTTTAACGTGCATTATTTTTCTTTTTTATAATAATACATATTATTATATAATTAACATATTCATAATGTTTCACCCTTTCAAAAATATAATCCTCCTCCTCTCAAATAAACGTACATACGGGTGGCCTCTTTTTTCAAAAAATTAAAATTTGAAATTTTGGGCTCAAATATTAGAGATTTTTTCAACCTTCAACGATATATGTTGTCTATATCAGACCTCCTTTCTTTTTGATACTTAACATTGTTCCTAAATCTTAGCCGTTAAGGCTGTTCTGAAAATATTTTTTTTCGAAAAAATTCGAAAAAAATTCTTAAAATTCAAAAATCCCTTAATTCCTGAGGATTTTGGAAAAAAGTTTTTACAGTTTTTAACATGACAACATGTGTATATTATATGAAGTATATTGATAAGGTAAAAATCAAATTTTATTCCATATTCATCGAGAAAATAAACTAACGAATCCCTCAAAATTGAGAGGGTAATCCTCCTCCTCTCAAATAAACGTACATACGGGTGCACCCTTAAGAAGCTAAATTCTGAAGTTTACATGATCCTCTCGTGTGCACCCTTAAAAAATGCAAAAAAAATTGAATACTTTACTGGCTGGGCAAATTTGTCGCCGCCCCTTCTATATTGTATGAATTCTTACGTTTACAAAAAAAGTCACACAACCCGCTCTCATATACTACTGTCCAATATTATAGGGTTATTAATATCTTTTGCATAAAGAGAAATTTATAGAATAAAATAAATCTTACACTAAATATTCACATATTTTACTTTTAATCTTAAATTCGTTGATTTTCAGATGTTAATTCGGGTACGTCAAATAATCAGTAGTGTTCCAAATCTAGCTGAATATCAAATTTTATTCGTGTTTTGGCAAATTCTAGGAGATAAGAAATTTGATCGAATCTAAATTCAAAGAAATTAACAACAATAGTTATTGTATGCAACTATCTACACATAAAGCATTCTATTGTTAATATTAATTTTTACGATGGTTAGGAAATCGATTTATTGATTTCGAAAGACTCATATGAAATTACTGAAACTGTGTTAGTGATTTGCACCAACAAATTTTAAAATAGAATTGATAAACATCAACGAATTTTGATATGCTTGGCCATAACTCAAATATCACCTCAAAAGTTTTATCTCAATTTAGAATTATTAGAAAGAGATGCTTGATGTAAAAGCAATTAATTTCTGAAGCGAAAATTATTCATCGTTTGTATCGATTAATTTTACAAAAATTTTGAGTAAATTTACGCTCAATTTTTTTAAAGCAGAATTTCAATGAACAAGATTGATTTATTTAATTTTCCAAAAAATGTTAGATGTGATTTTGAAAATAAATTGATAGCGTTAACAATTTCTCAGAAAAAATTGTGAATGAAAAATCGATGAAATAAGAATAAAAGCGTTTCTCAATCGATTATATAAAACTTTCAAATGCGTTATGTAGTTTAATGGCTAGTTCGCTTACTAAAATTTAAAAATTGAACTTGATTTCCGCTGAGAATCGACCAAAGACATGGTGTTCACTGTGAAAAATTTGAAAAAGAACCGATAAGAATGATCGGCCGTTCACATACAAAACACTGGGATAGATGGAAGGAGATCTTTACGCAGCTCAGTCTGGTTCTAACCAGAGTGTTGAAAATGCTCAACAACCCGCACCTGCCGTTCCTGTAGGTAGAGATGGTCTTCCAATTACAGTTCCAGCATCATCGGATGCTTCAAGCAACTCAGAACACGTTGAAATCGGTAAGGATGGCTTACCAATTCAGCCAGTCGATACAGAGCACCCATTCGAAAAGATTGACGTCGAAGGTGGCGAAGAAGATCAACCAGAAAAGGATATTAAGAGAAAAGGCTTCTTAGCTACATCAATGAACCTTTTGAACTCACTTCTTGGTGCTGGTATATTATCTGTTCCAAGTACTTTTGCAGATACTGGTTATATCGGTTCCCTGGCTATTCTTATTATTATTGCTCTTCTTTCATACTATGCTACATATCTAGTCATTGTTGCTCAAGATATTTCAAAAGCTGATGGTTTCTCCGATCTTGCCTTCAAGACATACGGAAAATGGGGCTACATCGCTCTTGATATTCTCACACTTTTGTTCCTTGTCTCAGCCTCACTCGCATATATCATTATTGCCGGTGATATTATCTTATCATGGTTCTCATTCGGCGGAAAGGATCTCTCAGGTCTCTGGCCAAGAGCTATCACGATTCTCATCTATGCTTGTTGTATTCCAATTGCATTGACCATTCCTCGTGATATTTCTTTCCTTTCTTATTTCTCTACCGCTACAGTTATGTTCATTCTCTTCTATGTATGCGTACTTGTTGTCAAGTCATGCATCTACATGAAGCAGAACCACGGTATCAATCCATCTTGTTTCGCTGCCAAATTCAACATTACACTTTTCAACACAATTTCTATTTGCGCTCTTACATTCGCTTTGCCATGCGTTTGTATTCCATCTCTTGAGCTCTTTACAACAGATACAAAGAAGAGAAGCACTGTTTCTTTGTTCACCATCTTTATCTGCTCAATGTTTGTTATTTTCCCATCAATCTTCTCATACTTCGAGTTCGGCGACAAAACAGAAGGTAACATCTTGAATTCGTTCCCAGATAACGATATTTTAATGGTTGTTACACGTAGTGTCTTCTTCTTCGTCGTCAGCTTCGCTTTCCCAATGATTTCACAGTCTACACTTTCAGTTTGGTCCGCTTTGATCTTCAAGATCGACCAACAGAGAAAATTACCATGGAAGAAGCGCCTCGTTGTTCTTATTGTTACAGATGGTATTCCTCTCCTCATCGCTATGTTCGTGAAGGACGCAAAGCCAATTCTCGCCATTGGTGGTGCTATCGGTGGTTGTATGGCCAACTTCACATTCCCTGCGATTTTGTACTTGAAGGAGTCACCAGATAAATTAACAAACTGGAAGAACATTTGTTGTATTGCTTTCGCAATCTTCGGACTTATAGCTGGTGTCCTTTCTACTTACGTAGCAGTTAAAGATTGTATTCGTGCTTTCAGCACCTAAAGCAACTTAATAAATATAGCAACAGTATTATTTAATAAAAGATGTTCTATACTTTAGAAAAATTTAAAAAAAAAATTAACAATTTTAGCTAAATCTCAAACTACTAAGCATAGCAAATTATAATTAAAACACTGAATTTGTACAAAATCTGAAAATTTCAATACGATCGAAATAATTATGAATATTCAATGAAGATAACATGAAGAATCTTTTTATTTGAAGTATTTGTATTAAATCAACCCTAAAATGTTGGTAAATTGCCACTCTTCAATTAAATTTTTATCAATTTTAAGATCTGAATGATTTTTATATGTGAATTGTCATTTATTTAAGTTGTTATGGATGAACATGTTCCTTAGACATCAATCTTTGCATAATAAATTTTCATAAAATTTGAAATTCCGCATATATGTAGGAACTTTACTTATTTTATAGTTATGCAAGAGTCATATGATATTGTGAGATAGGAGCTACAACTCTAAATTTTATCATATAAAAGACGTTAGACGAATGAATCAGCACGAAATTCCGAGTTCTTCGCCTGACGTTACTAAAATTAAAGAAGCACATAAGTCAGCATTAGATATTGCAGATCATGTTATTCAAGAAAGTTCTCTTGTCGAACATTTTCAAAATAAAGTTAACGAAGTACAGATTGCAAGAGAACAAATCATCACACTCCAATCTCAATTGAAAATTTCAGAAGAAGCGCAGCGTTTAATGGAAGCCGAGTTTAGTTTTCAAAAAGAAGAATACGAAAAAGAAATTGAAAAGCACAAGAAGTATGAAGAAGAGTTACAAAATGAACTTATCAAGAAATGCAGTCAACAAACTACAATAAATGTCGAAGCATTGATTGCAAAAGAAAAAGAAAAATATGAAACGAAAACAAAGGAATTACAATCTCAAATCGAGCAGCTTCAAACTAGTTTGAATGAAGCTAATTCAAAAAGTAAATCTACATCCGAAAATCAAATCGATTTTTCCGAGATTTCAAACGTTTCTGCATCTTTACAAGCGAAAATTGACGAAAGCAATCAGAAAATCAAACAGTTACAAGCTGAAATACAGTCAAAAGATCAAATTATTCGCTCTCAAGCAACTCAATTAAAAGAAAAAGAAAATTCGCTCTCTGAGTTAAAAAGCCAAATAAATACTACAAATGAATCTGTTCCTGTGGTTATAGAAAAGCTGAGGAATAGATTAAACCGTGCAAAGGACAAAATAACAGAAATGCAAAAAATAGAAGTTCAAAATAAGAAATTCGCTGAAATTTTAACACATTACGAAACCCAACGGGAGATATTAAACGATATTCTACAGACTAACGATGAAAATCCAAAACAAGATTGGACAAATCTACAAAAAGCAGCAGTCAATGCCATGGCCATGTCACGAGAATTACCAAAAGTCAAATCACAGTTAGAATCTGCTCAACAACAAGTTGATTCCTTGAAACAATCAATGAAAGATTATAATTCTTTGAAAGATGACTTCAACGCGGCCAAATCAAGGCTTATAGAGCTCAATAATATTAATGATAAATATAATAAGCTTCAAATCGACTATAATATGCTGAAATCTTCAGCAAATCGAAATGAACAATTTTCTAGTATGATGTCAATTAGAAATAGATGCGCATTAGCGTTAAATATGTCTCAAAGAGAGATAACTAATGCAGTTTCTAAGCTCCATACTTCAATTACTGGAAAAACAGAAAATAATTTACGTCCAATCGCTTTATCTTTGTTCTTTATCACAAGATGGAGACGTATTGCACAGCATAGAACCCCAGAAACCGAAATTGATCCGATGGCATTAGTTGCTTTCTCTTCTTCAAACGGACATTCAACATTACTCAAAATTGATGCAATTTGCAAGTCATTTATTGGCCTAACAAATGAAGTTGTTTCAATCAAAGCGAAGCTAGCTCGTAGCCAAGAAAAGAGACAAGCCATGAAACAGATAATCATTGATCAGCAAACAGCAAGTGAGCAAGGATATGCCAAGCTTAAACGTGAAAAACAAGTTGCTGTTTTACTGAAAGAAAGAATGAAAGAACTTCAAAAAGAAATGTCGTTGTTGATAAGTTCAGAACGTGCTGAAGAACTGAGAACAAGAATAACAGAATTGGAAGTTGAAAATGATAAATTGACATCCGAAAACCAAGAAATGGATGAAACAATTAATGAACAAGCTGCGGCCATCGATAAATTGTCCGCTCAATTGGTCGAAGCAGAAGCATCGAAGAATTATTCTGGTAAAGAAGTTGAGAGGCTTAAACAATTGGCTTCTAAGAGAGAGAAAGAAGCAGAAGTTCTTGATGCAAGATTGAAAGAAAAGACAAGAGATATGTTGGCATTAGAAAGATATGCTGTGCAAACTGAAAACAATCCATTCAAGAGAGGTGCCGAAAGTTCTTCCACAACGATTGTGACTAAGGTAAATGGAAAATTCCTTCCTAGTCAATAAATTTATTTTCAAATTTTTTGTTTTGTATAAAAAAATGTTTATTATTACTTGTTAATTTTCGATATATTGTTTACATCTCTCATGAAATTCATTTTTTCTGAATGGAAGTCGATGAAATAAATTCCAACCAGAAAAAATCAGATCAATTACTCTTTCAATCAGGAAATTTAGGTAATACTGTTGCATGTCACAACAGGTATAATTCAATTTCAAGGATTATTGAAGAACATCCTGATATTTTTGAAATAATTCATCGAATGTTTCATGAAAACAATGTAGAATTAGGAAATATATTACATTTTCTAGCTGAAGAAGCCATTTCAAATACAATTTTATTCGATATCAGTTTCGAAACATTTGAGATCGCAAATATCTTCGATTCATTGCTCAAATCCAAAAGTATATTTGTCTATGATATACTCAAAATAGTATTAGCTCTATCCCATACAATAGAATACGCAAATATATTTATGAAAGAAAATATTCATCAAATGCTTTTTGAAATCATATGCAATCAATCTGTTTCAAAGCAAATCATTGCATTATCCGCTAAATCTTTACATAATTTAGCGAAATCAAGTAATGAAAACGCATCATTGATTTTATATCAATGTAATCTACAGAAACTATGTTCATCAGCAAAGTATTACGATTCTCAACTATATTACATATGTATGAAGTTCATAATTACACTTTCAAAAGTAAATCAAATTACATTAAGACAATTTAACAATCTAAAAGAATTTTCATGTATACTCATATCAAATATTACAAAAATAAGTGTCAAAGAACTGTTAATTCTCTTAGAAAACATTTCAAATTCTCAATTTAGCGAAAATTTATTCCAAGATGAAGTAATCATATCATTTTTGAATAGTTTACTTAAAGATAAGACAGAATACATTAGATTTGCTGCTTTGTCAATCATTAGAAATGGAATTAAATATGGAATTTCATTATCTCCTGAGAATTTGCCAATTGCACTTTATTATTTACAGTACGATGATGAACTTCCTTTTGTTGCAGCTTCAGAGATAATAATTGCTTATCTTTCACAAAATTTAAATATTGATCTTGATATTTTTTATATTTTAACTAGAATCGAGAATGGATCGATGAATATAAGATACACTGCATTAGATTTGTTGTTAATGTATATTACAACATTTCCTTTCAAAATTACAGACGAAATTTTGAATCCTATGTTTGAAACACTTATTCCTCTTCTTCATATCAATGAAACACGTGTTATTGAGAAGATTCTGATAATTATTCACTCATTATTGAGACAAGACTCTCAAATGGGAAATATTCACAAATTAATTGAGTTATTTAATGATTTAGATGGATTTGAATACATCCAGGAACTAATTGATAGTCAGTCTCAATCTATTCATGATAAATCACAGATTATTATTGATACTTTTTATCAAGAAAATTGAAATTTTATAAATTGTTTTATTGTTTGAATAAATACTCATGTTTTGTATAATATATAACTATAAACAATCTTTGTTGTCATGATAGACATATATATTATGCAATTATTAAATGAAAGCAAAATTCCCTTAAAATATTATGGTTAACTGATATGACAAATTTGATATCTGAATAAGTATTTCTCTTAATGATTCATATTTTGGATTAAGGAACAAATTCATTGAATCCAAAAATTAATCATAGTAATTCTGCTAATTTAGAGCAACAATTTATGCTCTCATTCCGTATTAATGCAAATAAATCTCAAATATATGATACATATAGCTAAAATAGGGATAAAATTATAAAAAAGTGACAATGAATTATCCTTCCAATAGAGAATATCAGCTAATCTCAGATGTTAAGCTGCCGAAATATCTAGAAGTCATTGATTCATTGGAAGAAGATATTTTCTCTATCACGGAGATCATAATTGAAGATATTGCAATTGAAATTAAGAATTATTTAAAAGATTTCTCATATATGGAAGATTATTTTAAAGAAGTTATTACAAAAGCTTTGTATCACAGACCAAAAGAGATCTTGAGTCTTTGTAATCTTTATTATATCCTTTTTTCAGATTCATCTCAAGAAATTGAAGATATTTTATTAAATTCCTTCTTTAACATCAAGAGAACAGGCAAGAATGAAGGAATATTCAAATCATTTAGCGACCTAAGAGATATATTTGATAAAGATTCAATTGGATATTATTTAAGATATGATTTGATTGAAAACATTCAAAATAAATCATTTGAAATCTTGAAAAGTAGAGAGCCAAAGGAATTTAGTTACACAAAAGAAGATGTAACAATATCTACATTTCCTCTAGAGATATCTAATACAGGATTGAGTTCAGAGATGATTGATGTTGCCGCTTTCTTTGGATCAATAAATTGTTTTAAATTCTTGTTGTTAAATGGTCAGAAAATCACTGATAACACATTTAGCTGCAGCATTAGGAGCGGAAATTTAGAATTGATTAAACTCTGCAAGAACACAGTTCCTAGTTTGAAAGTTAATGATTTGACATATGCAATCGAATATCGAAGAAATGAAATTGCTGATTGGATTTTAGAGAATAATGAAGTTAGAATAATGCAACCATTTGATGATTGTTTCAAAGGAAATACAAGAGCATTTGTTTTTGCTTTCGATAATCATCCAAATGTTGTTAGAGATTTCTCTGATCTTAAAGTTATTGATGTAAATACTAATTATGAATTAGTGAAGTTCTTTAATCTGAGAGATTTTGATATTTACAAATATGATGAATCAATTGAAAAACTAAAGAAAAAGAAGAAAGATGATGTTGTATCATTCTTAATCAAAAATAAAAAGGATTAAAGCATTCTTTAGAACTATTACTATCAAATACATGTCTTCCATTTAAGTTTTTTTCACTCAAAGAAATTTCGAATTATTGTTGCATTATAAAGGGCAGTTTCTCTACCATAACCTTGAAAGTTCTTCAAACTCTTGCCTGTGCATATCCTATATGGTCTAATAAAACTAACCAGAGAGAGATAAATTGAATAATTGCTATTTTATAACCTGGATAAACCGTATAAAAATTCAAGGTTATTGTAACATTTTTATTTTTACAAATCAACATAAATCTACCAGTATCATACTGATGTAAATATTTCTTTTGAAATTTTTTGAATATTTTTATATAAAATTGATGATTGAAAAAGGTTATCCTTATTTAACATTTGAAGGTCATCAATATAACGTCGCAACAAGTGGATTCCCTCCATTGTTCCATATTGGATGGTTTCTACTGCAATTTTTGGTATCTTTCTCTTCAAAAGATCAAATTTATTTAGAAAAGAAACTTAATTTATCATTTTCTTATAATAATTGCATACAGAAAGGATGGTACATGGTATACATGAATGAAACGCAGTATAATCTTGTAAAAAAATATTGACAAAATTAAAATTTTCGACCCGAATTCATTTAGAAAACCCAAGAAGCAAGCAAACTCAGATAGTATTTACGTAATTAAAGCTGCTCCTGATTGGAAACCAAAAAATAATTTTTCAAAAATACTCGAATATGTATCTGATACGGTCTTCATAGTATCAAATATTTCGTACAATGATATTATTAATGATCCTACAATCCAAAAATCGCAGATTGGAGGCAAAAGAGTTTGGCACAACAGATTTGTCGGAGGACAGCTCCAAGATGGAGAATCTACAATGGTAATCCAAGATAATCAAATAATCAGTAATAGATACCTTCAAAGTATTGGAATTGATGGAACTGGAGAAATCATCACTGTTATTGATTCAGGATTAGATATTGGACATTGTTTCTTTAGAGATCCAAATAATTCATACGAAACTATCTTGGGGAATACGAATTTAAACCATAGAAAAGTTGTTAGATATGAATCTTTTGCTGACTTTACAGATAACGTTGATGGACATGGAACACATGTGTCAGGAACGATTGCTGGTGAATCTGTTGAACCAAATCGTTTAATTGCTGCTTATAACGGTATAGCTCCAAAATCTAAAATTTATTTTGTTGATATAGGTGTTACATCACAATCAGCATCAAAACTATCTGGTCAAGTTAACTATAATATAGTTTTCAATCAAATGTTGGCACTTAATTCACTAATTCAATCAAATTCATGGGGATATGATGTAAAAAGTCCAGAAGTTACTATGGTATTCGATCAATTCGCCTTAGCTACATCAATGTTGATTGTTTTCTCTAATGGAAATGAAAAAACGAGAAATTCTGTATTTTCTCCTGCAGATGGCAAAAATATTTTATCAGTGGCATTCTCAACTAAGCCATATACATCAGATATCGAACTTGGTAAATACATTGCAAAAATAATTTTTGATGATAACGTCAAACGCGATGTAATCAAAAGTTATAAGCTTGGAACAGCTGATCCACCTATAGTTAACACGGAAATGCAGTTCTGTGATACAGATGCAAAAGATTGCACTTATGAAACCGGAAAAGTAATGGTTTCACCGGTTTCTCCCTCTATTTCATTATCTTATCCTTTTGTTCAGATTAGTCAAACAGATTATGAAGTTGCAAAGACAAAAACGAGTTGTTCAATTTTATTACTTCCTTCAACAACTCCAAGGGGATTCCAAAGGCATGAATACTCATCAAGAGGTACTACACTACTTGGTACTCTAAAACCAGAAATAATTGCTCCAGGAACAAATACGATCTCATCAAAAGGTTCTGGTGGAAATCCAAACAATATCGGTGAATGTTCTATCAATGCTCTTATCAAACTTAACGGTTCATCTATGTCTACTCCTGCAATTTCTGGAATGGCAGGTTTAATTGAAAATTATTTCAAAGACGGATGGTATCCAAAGATGAGTAAGAATCCTGAAGAAGGATTTAACGTTTCCTCTTATGTTGTATGTTCAATTCTTATTAATTCTGCAAAATCGATGAATAATGACCCAGTTCCAAATTACGAACAAGGATTTGGAATGCCAGATCTTAAAGAAGTCCTCGGATTTGGTGATGTCGGAGTGAGGTTCTTTGGATTCAAAATGAAACCAAAATCCAGAATGAAATTTCAAATCAAAACTACTCGTGTTGCAGATTTTTCTGCAACAATCTCATACAATGACTATCCTTACGGCTCAGATAATGGATACATCCTAGTTATTGACATAGATATGATAGTTAGAGATCCAAATGGAAAAATTTACAACGGAAATAATGTTCCTGGAGAGTTTACGTCAACCAATGAAAAAGTATTCATTAAAGACGCTCCTGTTGGAACTTATTTCATAGATTTGATAAATCCGACTAATGTAACTGATAATTTAACAGTTATAATAGGAATGGCAGTATCTGGTGGATTTGACACAACAGATAACGAAGTAAATCCTTCTAATGGAGTTATTTTAGAGAATAATGAGTGTATAAATTCATGTGGAAATGGAAAATGTTCTGATGGATTATGTGAATGCGATGAAAATCATATTGGAGTTTATTGTCAGCGCGAAATCAATAAAATAAACCTCAATCAAAATAATACAATCACATTAACTCCAAGATATGCTTATTATTTCAAGTTTGATAATGAAGATACAGATAATGATCCTAGTATGAGAATAACAAGTTCACTTCCTGCTTCTGTAAGAGTTTGTCTTGATAATTAACCTCATAATGCAATGTATGATTGGACAATATGTAATACATTAGATAGCTCTGGCGAAAAGAATATTTCTATTCCAAAATCATCAGGAAAAACAATATATGGTGTAATGTATCCGATTTATGATGAACCTTTCAGTATTACTTATATTGCTGGCAATAATATTGGTGAAACATCAAAGAGCAGCTTAGATAAAGGTGTTAAGATAGCATTAATTGCAGTAGGTGCAACTCTTGCTGTAATTTTGATAACTATTTTAGTAGTTTATTTAATTATTCGTTTTCGAAAGGGTAGTTCAAGGGTTAAACCGAAAGAGTCGAGTTCTAGCTCGAGTTCAAGCTCAAGTTCCAATACTCATTAAAAAATTTATTGTTTGTTTTTGTTGTATTAAAAATTTGAGTGATATCATGATAGAAAAAGAAATAGTTTTTCATTTTTAACAACATACATGGTAGAAAACCTACATATACATTTTTTAATAAAAATATAATAAAAAATACAAACAAAAATATAAATAATGAGTTAGAAAGCGCAGAACAAAACAGATAATGGAATGAATCCGTCGCAGAATTCCATCTTCATCTCTGTTTTGACGTGAGCTCTGCAGATCGGACATGTTGGGTTGATTGAAAGCCATTTCTTGGCACAATCATAACAAAATACATCTCCACAATCAAGCTGAACTCCTTCAATGATATCGTTCATGCAGATAATGCATGGATCTGTAAGTTTCTCTTTAGGAGCTGGTTTGAGGGCAACTTCTGAGTTAATCTTATATTTCTTGAGGGCAGAAACCAAGTCCCAAAGAAGCCAAAGTAGGAAATAACACTTCATGGTGATGAAGATTAAGCAAGATTATGGACGCTCGTAGATGAGAAGCTTCATCAATGTTGGATGTGATGCTTGGCCGTACAAAAACCAAATCCATTCTGTGGTGCATAAGATTGCTCTTATCAGAATGAAAAGTCGTTGGTACACGCCAAAGAAACCTCTGCGTATAACATTGATGCTGATAATATTATGACCTATCAAGAAGCATTTTGCAGCTGAAGTGAAGCTGAAGATAGATAAGGACAAAATGAAAAGCTTGAAATAGATGACTTCTGTGCCAAACTCATTGAGAATGGATGATCTCAATAGAAGCATACCAATGATGGTTATGGACATCATCAGATAACTCCAAGGAAGTAAGAACGAAGGGCTCTTGAAGAAGTATGAGCTTGTCTTCATCATTTGATTAACAACTCCTTTGAGCATTTTTTCTGTTTTAATGTATAAAAGAATCATGATTAAGCCGATCAAGAAAAAGTAGAACTTATGACCTAAGATCTTAAGGAACACTAATGTAATAAGCGCATATGAGAATGTTCTAAGCTGATTATCGAACAAAGTTGAGTTAGCAGCCCGGACTTTGGGCATATTTTTTAGAATTTTGATGTGTTTATCAAACCGTAAAATTGTATGAGTTAAGATTTTCTCACAAAATAAATTTCTTTAATATGCATAGTACTGTAGATTGATCAATAAAGAAATTGTGATTAATGCAGATAAATCTGTATAACGTCCTTTTGATTTTTATCGTATTTGAAAAAATATTATGTGGATCCCTTTGGTATGATTTGTCTTTTACACGAGACAAAAAATTGATGGAATTTTATTTCAAATTTACGTTTGAATGTAATAAAATGATAGGCATTAGACAACAGTGCAACACGTATATTTTATTTGAAGGTGGACTTTTCATAACATTAATTGAATTTTTTCTGATGTTTCAAATTTTAGTGATAAAAACTTTCCAACAAATATTGATGGAAAGCAATTGTACAACACTATTTACGAAAGACCAATTTTAAAAGTGTTGAAATATTCATTCAAAATAATTTTAAATGCGATAAAGGTCAAACCTTAATCGTAAATCTAAAGGATTATATTCAAATCATAAAATTAATTGTTTCAAAAAATTGGTAATTCAAATGCTATCCTTATTTCTGAATGACGACATTATTTTTATTCGCTAAGTAATTAGAATTGAAGCTTTGGAGATATTATTTCATATGCCTTTTTAACGTCATTAATAGTAAAACTTCAAATTTGAAAATCCGTGAATTAATCCTTTAACGTCATTAAATCGCAAAAATGTTTCTAAATTCTCATGTGTTTAATGGATATTGCAGATAAACTCTATAAAACCCTTAAAATAAAAAATTCAAAATATATTTTTCTTCCGAGTAATTATTATGATGATGAATATACAATAAGTATCGCATGGGTGAAAATATTCTAAGTAGGTATTATATAAAAACAGATTTTTATAATAACAAAAATTTAAAATTCATCGATTAAAAATGGTTGTCTGAATGATCCTTGTTGATTCATATCTCCATATGATGTGATATGGTTCATTCCGTAAGATTCATCCTTTACACTTTCTAATAACGCTCCCCAAGACAAACCAGGCTGTTGTCCGTCAATTGGAATCTCTACTTCAGGACCTGAGTCAACAGGAAGTGTTGGTTCAGGTGGAGGTGGTGTAGAAACTCTGTATTTACGAACAATGTTTTCTAACCTTTGTAATTTTGAAAAAGTTTGATCCAAAACGGAAAGTAAAAGATCTTTCAAGGGTTGGCTCAATCCTCTGATAACAGGCATTTGGACACATCTTGTAAGTAAAGCGCCTGGTTCTCTGGACCATTCAATTCTCATAACTTTCTGGGCTTGAACGAGACCTCTTCCTTCATTTATCATTGTCTGGGCACTGAGTACTGATTGCAAGAGTTCTGATGAAATGGAATGGTTATCTACCGCAGCACGAATTTCAGCTTGTAGAGCGTCAATGTTCAGTATATCTGAATCAATGTTGGCAAATACTTTAAGAGCGTACTTAAGCTTTTCTGATGATAAGACTTCTGACTCTGTATTTGAGATTGATCCGCACATTAATCTCCACCATGACCAAACATCGCAAACTGACTCTTCAACGGTCATTCTTTTTGGTTGGCCACCAAAGTAAAGACGAACATGGCCTCTGCCAGCTGTTTTTGAGTGAATTTGGAAGAAAAAGTCTGCATTGCTGTTTAATGATGCAGCACGGACTTGAAATCCGGCTTGATGTGTTGCATATCTTTCAGTAAATACTTTGATTCCATTCGAAACTAATAAGTCAATGAAATGATCAGAAATTGATTTCACTTTTGCATTTCCGTAGTCGCAGATAAAGAAATGAACGACAGGAGCTCTTGGAACGAGAACATTTGGTGACATGGGCGGCGAATTCGGAGATAAAGCTTGGTTTAATAAAATTGAAGAAGTGTAAGCTGCATTGTTCTGTGGAGGCGGTGGAAGTACTTTCTGTGTATTGTTGTTGTTGCTAGTAAGAATTACTGATTTGTTTGGCCTTGTAATTACAATTGGTGTTGTCATTATTTGATAAAAAAAGATGAATAAAAAAATTCAAGGCTTGAATGAACAAACACACCCCCAAAATATTGAAATTCTGAATATTGTTTTTGAAATTTGAGAGCGATGCCTCCCCATTTAAAGCTATTTTCAATACTAGAATGGTCGAATTTTAGAGAATAAATTGACTATAAATTCTCTACATATAATATCACCTTGAATTTTTCTCTAAATTTTGCTCGTGATCAGAGTTTTTTTAACTGATTTGGCTTATTCTCCAAATCAACTTGATGAGAAATGAGGATGAATAATAAACCATTTAATATCTTATGAGGAGTTCAATTGAATTTACTGGTGATTTGAGTCGGAGAAATCAGCATCAATGGTGGAAATTTGAAAAGTGTAATTCATAATTATGGATTGAAAATCATCATGAGATATTAAAGTCAGATTGAGTTCACGTGATTATTCCTATGCTTATTGGCATATTTCAATTTTTGATAAAAAAATATTTTGAGATCAAGCAGAATCCAATTAAACCTATCGTTGTCTTTATTGGTTGGCATTATTTTCGCCTTTAAAATGATTTGATAGCTATATTATTGGAAATATCCCAAAATATGATGAAAGAATATTTAATATTTAGTAGCTTTGCTTATGGGTGATTGATTTATTATAGTTATGAATGATTATTTTCATAAAAATTTCGAAAGATTAAGGGTGCACCCGTATGTACGTTTATTTGAGAGGAGGAGGATTACCCTCTCAATTTTGAGGGATTCGTTAGTTTATTTTCTCGATGAATATGCAATAAAATTTGATTTTTACCTTATCAATATACTTCATATAATATACACATGTTCATGTAAAAACTTTTTTCCAAAATCCTCAGGAATTAAGGGATTTTTGAATTTTAAGGATACCCTTACATTGCGTAGTTAGAAAGAGAATATGATATTGTCATGATTGCTAAAGTTTTAGGCTCCAGAAATGAATATACATCAAACTGAAACAATTGATAAATTGAATGAACTTTTGAGAGGTTCTCAAATAAAAAAAATTATCTAATTTTTTACAATATTACTATTATTTTATCCACATATGTATATATAGTAATTTGAGAAAACTTTTAGGAAAAAATAAGTTTAATAAAAATCTGAATTTTACTTGTTGTGGGATTGTTATTAATTGACACTCCAGACGTATTACTAATAGTTATGCGTATGCAATTAAAGTATTTCTGATGGACAAAATGTGAGATTTATATCAGATAATTCATTTCTACTATTAAGTTATTCATTTATGAGTTTGCACTTATTCGCACTAAATAAATAACTATTAAAAATTGTTTTAATTAATTGACACCATATAATAGAGTGAATTTTGTTTGATCAAACAACAATAGATGATAGATATAAAGCCAAGAAACTTGCTATTAATATGCTCTACTTGCTATTTCAATGTAAGTATGATATTTTCTAAATGTTTCGTTCAGATAACTTAGATATATTAGTCAAATTTGAAATTTTAATAGCACATATATTAAAAATAATTATTATTCATAAAAGATTAATGAAATAGTAAAAAAATCAATCAAATTATAAAAATACAACATTTAGAAGAATTCTTATTATCCTTCAAAAGTCAGTATTTCTGCTGTAATTTTCTACAACATTGTAGTTATTGCACTTTGTCTATGGATTTGTATATATGTTATATATAAATTATATATCTAAACTGCCCATAAGTGCAATTTTTATATAAATTGTTTATTTCTTTAACAATTTCATATGAAATATGCTTTTTTAAGCGTATCAAAGCTGTGTTCTTAATGTGCATGGATATATCAAGAAAAATGTCGAAAAAAAATGTGAATTCACAAATTCACTGAATTTTCACCGTTTTTTGAATTTTGCTACAGCACTAATATTAAATAATACTAAAATCTTCTGTCTTTGTAAAAGAATAAATTCTGACAAAAAGTGCTCGTTTAAATTTAATGATCATCTGTATGACTAAGTGGTAAAAAGTGTTTATGACCAAAAAAGGTTACATGCTTAGTCTATTTTTCTGACAGGATACTCTAGATTTACATGATCTCTATTTCATATCTCCGTTTTTAGATTCTTCGACAGATTTTATGATAGAAAACCAAGATTAACAAATTTCCGGCATGTTAATGAAGAAATCTGCAGCTACCCTCAATATTATTTCAATAATCAGTATCGTTTCTCTTACAATTTATTTTTTTCTCAATAATTTAACAAGAAATAACAATACACACTTGGTTTTACGTATAAAAGCTAAGTGTCGAACTTAATCAACTTTACTTACTTAGCAAATGAATATTTTTGTGGTTGCGAGTTCTGAATGCTGAAGTTTTAGATTTCTCTATAAATGATATCATTGCACTTACAATGTTGTTCCAGCCTATCGCATAAATCATAGAAAATCCAAAAAAAAAAATAATATAAAGAAAATTCATGTCATGAAGTTCAAAAATACCGTGTAACATTAAAATTTGTTATGCATAATACATTTTAGCTATTATTGATTTTTTTTAATTTTCGAGAAATTGAATAGTGAGTCCGATAGAGAAATTTTTAAAAATCCTAGTGCCTCATAGAAGTAATTTCCCTCGTCTCCCATACTTCCAAATGTATGCATATGACATAAACTTTTATGCATTACACAAGTGGCCAATAATATCTATAGAGTAAAAAATTAGAATTTAATTTTTTTATATGATAGTTATATTTCAGATTTGCGAGCGTAACTTTTTTCTCCATGGCATACTTGTTTTAAGAGCAAATGATCAAAATCGTCCTTCAATTATTGAAGGAGCTGATATCTTTTGAAAATTGAATTGAAAGGGTATTCAATTTTCAAATTTCCTCTCAATTTTGGAAACATATCAACTCTATGAATTAACAATTATGTGCCTTCACAGTTTATCAGTCATATAAGGTGCTTATAAAGAAAAAAGTTACGCTCGCAAAATATGTTTTTATATAGATTTCACATAAAATAATTATGTAATTTCTAAAAAGAATATTTTTGTTCTTGAATATTAAAGTGTATTGTAGTTTAAAAAGTTTTAAATATGTTGCTAAAATTTCAGGTTTATAGCTCATGTCTAGCATGACTTCTTCGTATGCGCAAAAAATCTGACACGTAAGGGTATCCTTAAGAATTTTTTTCGAATTTTTTCGAAAAAAAAAATATTTTCAGAACAGCCTTAACGGCTAAGATTTAGGAACAATGTTAAGTATCAAAAAGAAAGGAGGTCTGATATAGACAACATATATCGTTGAAGGTTGAAAAAATCTCTAATATTTGAGCCCAAAATTTCAAATTTTAATTTTTTGAAAAAAGAGGCCACCTGTATGTACGTTTATTTGAGAGGAGGAGGATTATATTTTTGAAAGGGTGAAACATTATGAATATGTTAATTATATAATAATATGTATTATTATAAAAAAGAAAAAATAAACCACGTTAAAATTTTTCTTTCTTGATTTTTTACAAAATCTACCTAGAATTATGCAAAATATGACTAAATAATTATAAATTTCAAGTTAAATTTTAATTTTGATAAATAATTTAAATTTCAAAATATCAAGTTCAGTTCGACTATGTATGTAGTAATTCCTCAATAAAGTGCCAAAACCCTATTAAAATATATGAACATTTTCAACATTTTAATGTTTTTATTTAAAAATTTGATGGAATATGAGCTTCAAACAATTATTATGTAAATAAAAATAATTAAATATATGTATTTATTCGTATTACAACCGTAGTAAGTCGATTCTTCCTTTCTTCTACTGAGGTTTGAATTTGATTTCGAATTGTAAAGAGATTCAAAGGGAAAATACTAGCGGATAAAAACTACCTCCATGAAAGGGTCATAATGGAGTCAAGTTGTATTTTTTGATATTTTTTGCTTTTCGAGCCTAAATAGGTAGCCAAGATAATGCCTAAAAATAAGGTTCTAAATTCTGAAGTTTACATGATCCTCTCGTGTGCACCCTTAAATAGGGTTGTTAAAAATATCAAAAATTAGCGTTTTGAAGACACCATAGTGTCTTATAATTTTCCCTTCCTTATTGGCGTGTAGAAATAAATGCGCCAATAGATTGAAGAAGAAGAATTGTTTTTCTCTTAATGAACTTTAATCCTTTTGATATAAGAATATTAAAAACATTAATATAATTTCGATTTCGGAAATTAAATTTCCAAATTTTTTGTCGACCTAACGTCGGGAATCTAACAACCCTACCCTTAAACTATAAGGTACGACCAAATAAAACTAATCCTGTAAAGGAAAAGAAGCCAGAAAAAGAAAAGAAAGTAGAGAAAGAAAAACCTTTGGAAATTACTAAAACAAATATATAAATAAATTTTCTTGAATTTGTTAAAAATTTATTGAAAATGTCACTTTTTAAAATTTTAATGTTACGAACATATCAAGCAAAGGATTGGTTTTTCCACCATGTTGGTTTTAGCGAAAGGATCGATAATATTTATAAATACATGAAATTGAAAGATGATGGCTATTTCCAGGAAGTTGAATCTAAAATTAACGGTAAAAAATACGGCTGCGGTCATTTCAGTATTAGAGACATTAAATCATTTAACTGTAAACCACGTGGGAAAGGAAGATTCAACATTATTCGAGGTAACAGGACTAAATCTACGAAACTGGAATTAGTTGATGTGATGAAGATGCAAAACCTTCGAGATTTCAATGGATCAACATTCCAATGTGCATCGAACTTCAATTGTCTTGAGTTTGCTTCACATCTTGAGTCTCCTTCGTCAGGAATTTCGAGATATTCCACTGATTTTACACAAGGACCGACTCTTTCTGTTTCATCTTTTGGTGCTTTGCTGTACAGAAATTATTTTGTTGACCATGAAGGTCATAAAGGCCAACTATCTCATGATATCAATTTATTGTCTAGAACCCCTTTAAAAGTCATCAAAGGAAAAGTTTTCTTGAACACAAAAGAAGAAATTTCTAAATTGAACGAATTTGATTTTCGTGACGAAAACAATTATCAAATTGGTGTTCATGAGAAAGTTCAGATCACAACAGATAGAGTTAAAGGTCATGAATATAAAGATAGTGAACGAAATCAGTTTGTTAACCAACTCTTCTGTTCTTCGTATTCATTTGGAGATTATTGTGACATTAATAACAAAAATGTCATATCATCATTAGAAAATTTGCTTAAAACAGAGTATAAACTAAGTATATTGAGCGGCATTGAGAACTCTATAAAATATCGTATGCTGCAAGGAAGTGATAAACTTGTTCTAACATGTCTTGGTGTTGGATATTTCAACAATCCACCAGAATTGATTTGTCGATCAATCAAAGCAAATCGAGAACTTATTCACGAAAGTGGTCTTGATGTTTATCTTGTTTGCTTCAGTGATGATGACCAAAGAGGATTCAAATCTGTTTATCCTCATCTCGTAGATTTAGTTTCTGAAACAAAAGGTGAAATTATATCTGCATTCTAGATTAATTCAATAATGATAAAATTCATTTAGGTTAGAAATTCTATTTTAAATGTTTCTGTTGACTTCTTTATTTTTATAAATTGAAATACATTATGTTTCATTTTATTTTCCATAGCGAGTAAATTTTTTTTTGAAATTCTATCGTTAAGGATGGAATAATCTCGCTGCCTTTCCATGTGTAAAAACCCGATCGAAGTATATTTTAGTGCTTTGGTATTTAATCACTCAAAACTTAAAGTAACCCAATTGACTACTCGAGAATATCCTTTGATCTGAAAGATTTTAGGGGAGAAAAATCTAAGAGCAATTATTTTTGGGAAAAAAGTTACTTCCCAAATATGTCTTCAATGATCAACCATCCCATTTTTGAATTTACAATCGGTTTTATTGAAATCAAAAAAGTGACAAAATATATTACCGTACCTTGAATAACCGGCGAACCATTCAATTGGTCATAGACCAATTTGAGATACCCTTTTCAGAGGAATCTAAAATGTTGTTTATATGGTTATTTATATATTATTTAATCATTTTCTTAAATAAAAATCATATGTTCTCAATTTTTCTTCATAACGATTCTTATAAATTTTAATGTTTTTACTATGTGTGCTAAATATTATTAATTACTAAATGATTTTAAAAAGAAAAAACATGTTTTTACTTTGTACGTTAACATACGTTAATATCACTTCGGCTATGGATAGAGGCCAACAGCGCCTTATTAAATGTTATAGACCGAAAATAGATTTTTTCGGTTTTCTCTTCAAATAATTGAAAGAATGATACTATTATAGGTTTATTATATTATATAGCATATAATCATGCTATAGCCGAAAATTATAAGTTTTGAGAAGATTGAATATAACACAATTAAATTTGAATGTAAGTTAAATTGCTTGTTGTTTTTAATATCTATTTAATGAGAAATCCAATATTGCAAAATTCAAATTGAATGATTGAAAGAACAGAAAAAGTCATTCTTTTCAATTTCGAATATGTTTCATTGTATTTATAATTATATGGCAAATAAGATATTTAAACTTGATTTTTGAAGGAAAATTCACAAAATTGAATAAATTCAAATAATTTTTATTCAAAAATAAACTAGTTATTTGAGTTTAATACTAATTATCTATTCAAACTACAAAGTTTGTAATTTAAAATATTTTGTGAGATCAGATTGAATTAATTCAAGGTTCTTTTCAATTAATATTAATGACCATATTACGCATTTTCGAACATTCTAAACCAAATATATAAAAATGGGAGACGAATGTTAAATTTGCTAGACATAAAGAAGTTGTTTACCGAGTTTTAGCTCTTATCTCTAACAAAAAATTAATTTTTAAAAAAATGACCGAATACGTTTCACAGCGAGAAAAAAATAAAAGGCAAGATAGAATTTTCTAGACATAAAGAAGTTGTTTACCGAGTTTTAGCTCTTATCTCTAACAAAAAATTAATTTTTAAAAAAATGACCGAATACGTTTCACAGCGAGAAAAAAATAAAACTGTACACTGATTTTCATTTTCATTTCCAGTCACTTTACTTATTATTTTTTCTTTTTTTCATTTTAATTATAAATTATTTCATAATACGTTTATTTACGTTACCATTTTCTTTATTCTTTTGAACTCCATACTAGACACTTATAGAATATTTTGATTGTTAACGTACTTCATTAGAATGAATCCTTACAAAGGGTATGTCGATCGAATTTACCTAATTGGTATTTCCAATCAGATTGAAGAAGGTAAAATGACATGGGAAGAAGCTTGCACCCATGTTCCCATCGCCCCAACCCTTCAATCAAATGATTTCAAATATTTAGATGTTTCAAAATCTTTTTTACAAAATCAATTTAGCTTACAGAATATCCCATTGCCTAAAGGCAAGAAAGGTCGTAGGGTCAATCCCTACGACCAAATCAAAGCTCTTGCTGTGATACATGACCACTGGGCCTTTCCCTGTGGTCAAACAAAACAATGGAAACGTTTGAAATTACAACAAATTGATGTATCTTATAGAGAAGTACGCAGATACTTCAAAGAAAATCATTTCACCAAGACGCGATTAGAGCATGCCGGGCAGAAACAGCAGTAAGATATTGGGCGCTTTCACCCAATCTTATCTGGCACGCAGATGTTCATTATTTTAGGGGTGTTCGTGGCCAGTATATTTATGGCATAATCGACGATTTTAGCCGCAAAGTCCTAGCGTGTATACAAATACCAGATATGCTGGCAGCGACGACAGCGAACGTTGCGGCTTCCGCCTTCATTGAATTTGGCGCCCCTTATTGTTTCTGGACCGACAACGGTTCAGAAAATAGGGGCGCCTTTCAAGATCTACTTGATCTTTGGGGCGCCCAATGGCGGCATACAGACTCTCATTCTCCCTACCAAAATGGGAAGATTGAGAGATTCTGGCCGACATTGGAGCGCTGCCAAAGCATTCAGGCTATTCCTGCCTTTATTTGGGAGTACAATAATAACACACCGCATGAAGATCTCCCAATTAATCCATTAACTGGAACAAATTACACGCCAAATCAAATGTATCAGCTGAAACCGAAATATACAAATGCAGATACAGAAAGGTTGTGGCAAATATGGGATACAGATACAGGCATGACCGCTGTTGACACATTCACAGCGTAATAATAAACATAATTTTTTAATTTCATTTTTAACAAGTTTTTTTAAATGTATGTAATGAATAATTCATTAGAAAATGATAATGCACATTGTAACAGAATAGAACAATCACCAAATTTTTTTTGAAATTAAAAAATAAAAGTAAAAAGTATAAAGTAATCTAACCAAAAAAGATATTTAAAAGAATTTTGGAAAAAACAGAATAAGGATAATGATATTATTTTAGATACACAATCGATGTACTGAAGAATAATCCGGTAAAATGATGATATAAAATTAGAATATTTTACAAGTAGCTAAAAGAATAAAACTATAATATAAAATAAATGAAGTTTAATGAAACAATAAAGGTTAAATAAATAATAAAGATTTTTATTTTATATCAGTATTGAGAAGAAGTAACAGCTGACACTTGGTAGATAACTTCTTTATGTCTAGAAAATTCTATCTTGCCTTTTATTTTTTTCTCGCTGTGAAACATATTCGGTCATTTTTTTAAAAATTAATTTTTTGTTAGAGATAAGAGCTAAAACTCGGTAAACAACTTCTTTATGTCTAGCAAATTTAACATTCGTCTCCCATTTTTATATATTTGGTTTAGAATGTTCGAAAATGCGTAATATGGTCATTAATATTAATTGAAAAGAACCTTGAATTAATTCAATCTGATCTCACAAAATATTTTAAATTACAAACTTTGTAGTTTGAATAGATAATTAGTATTAAACTCAAATAACTAGTTTATTTTTGAATAAAAATTATTTGAATTTATTCAATTTTGTGAATTTTCCTTCAAAAATCAAGTTTAAATATCTTATTTGCCATATAATTATAAATACAATGAAACATATTCGAAATTGAAAAGAATGACTTTTTCTGTTCTTTCAATCATTCAATTTGAATTTTGCAATATTGGATTTCTCATTAAATAGATATTAAAAACAACAAGCAATTTAACTTACATTCAAATTTAATTGTGTTATATTCAATCTTCTCAAAACTTATAATTTTCGGCTATAGCATGATTATATGCTATATAATATAATAAACCTATAATAGTATCATTCTTTCAATTATTTGAAGAGAAAACCGAAAAAATCTATTTTCGGTCTATAACATTTAATATTTTGTAAATGTTATCGGTTCTTACGCTTTTGGAAGGAGGGATGGTATTTTTGGAGCATTTATATTACATTGGTACTAAGGCTTTTGGAAAATTTACAAAATAAATTTAATATTTTGTAAATGTTATCGGTTCTTAAGTTAGTATACATATCTTCAGTACGGTGGCACTGCACGCCATCTTACCGAAGATATGTCAATCTGACACTTTACAAAACCACTAACGTATATTTTACATCGCATATGCAATATTTCTAATAACCTTAAACTATTTCTGCCACGTAAAGTATTTATCACATAAACCACCTCATCTCACCTCTCTGTACGTTATATATTGTGCGCAGGTCATTGCCCATGGCAACTCCCCGCGACACAATGCACGTGCATGAAAAAATAAACGTTCTCACTAACGTTCTCACTAACGTTCTCACTAACGTTCTCACTAACGTTCTCACTAACGTTCTCACTAACGTTCCCACTAATGTTCTCATTTACAAAAGTATTGCAACTCTTTCCATTGCTGTGCTTCGCATAATAGTTCATATTCTTCAGTATCACTACTGTCGCTCCAATCGTCTGAGTCAAAGTCGCTGTCATAATTAATGTTTATAAGTTTTGACAAATGTAATGAAACACGCTTACCGTTTGTATCTACTGCTTGTATATATCTTCCATTATGTTTGCTATCATAAATGCTTAAACTAACTTTACCCTTTCTCCCTCGTATCTGATAGAATGTATTCTCACGCGGAACGAAGAACAAATTCTTGAACTCATGACCGTTGTAGTTTGTTATCTCAATAGTTTTCGTCATTACATCAAATAAAAATTTTCAGTAAAAATAAAACTAACGTTAAAAATTTCTCATAACATAAACGTTCTCATTGCTTTATAACTCTCTTCCTTGGTTTCTTTTTAGTTGCTTTCTTTACGTCCGTCTCCAACTTGACTGTCTTTCTTCTTCGTCCATAATGATCCAATTACTTCCACCAGTCAATGGTCAAATGGTCTTTCGTAAGGGTTTCCATACATTCCATAGGGACCATACGGAAGAACTACTGGTGGAGAAGAAACATTTTCTTTAGTTCCATCGAATCTATTGAAATGCATTGTTTCACCTTTCATCTGGTCATTAAAGTCTTTTGCGTGTTTTGCAAACTCATCGTCCTTTCCTAAAGCATTTTCTGACTCAGTCGCAACCAAATTGGATGCTTTATTTA